CTGTTCCTCACACAACGTCTTATACCTACCATGATACCTCACGTAGTAATTAAACTAGACCTCCGTGAAGCTCTATAACCTTACTCGTGCACAATCGTGACAGTAACGGTCACGTGTTCAGCACGAACGTACCGAGTCTGTGAGCCGCACTGTACGTTTAATAATGCCCTAAGTACAGTACGTAGTACAGATTGTATTACCCTTTTAGAAAGTTTGTATAGGGATTCTAGAGGAGTAGGAGGGCTCTAGTAAGCAGGAGGCTTGCAGGGAGCGTTTAGGTAGGCTTCTAAGGCTCTAATTAGGTAAAAGTTTTGCAAGGATGCTTACATCTCTCTGCTGTTAGCCTTATAAGCTGTAGAAGTTAAATGCCCTCTCCACTGCGTCCTCTGCCCTGTCTCGCAATATTACACTGTTTGTGGCTAAAGATTAATCGCAGCAGTTCCTAGAGAACTACAATTATAACACTAGCGTTAAGTTTATAATTAACTAGAATAATACATAGCTATTAGACTTAAAACAGGCGTTGCCCTTAGCGTAATTAAGTTACTAAGAAAAGAATAAGACTACATTGCAAGGCAGTTGTACACTATTAAAGGTGTAGGCTTATACCGCGGATATAATGTCCCTAGAGGAGTAGGGCAAGGGAATCTGCCTCTAGCTCTGCTGTTAGAGTTATAAGTAGATCTCTCTGCTCTTGTTACTAAGAAGAATTAGTTATTTTATAGTTAAATCTTGCGTCTCTAGAGGCTTATAATCTTAGTTGTTTTAACTAGAGTACAGCGTACTTTAATTAAATTATACTACTTATACAGATCACGTGAGTTGTAACACCTACCTCTCCTCCCTATCGTACGAACGTAGATAGAATCTCACCCGTACAGGCCTCAAAATCGCCCAATTGTACAGTACTACGCTTCGTTCGAAGCTGTGTACCCTTCACCGGTCACCAACGAGTCTCAACCTCATTCAAAAGTTTTCATCATTCATCACTTCCTTATACATACATTTCTAGTGCCTAGTTCATCAGCCTCTCATGTTCCCCTTGCCTCGCCCTCGTCCTCGTCCCCGTCCCCTTCCCCGTCCCTGTCTCCTCCCAGTTCCTCTTACGGCAGGCTTCTTTAGGCTCAAATCTGTCTCCTCATCACTTCCTTGTACAAAATAATGACTCTTCACCTTCACGTCGCCTTCACCGCCCTCATGGTCGGCGTCAGCGGGCTTCTGGAGCACCGAGTGGAGAGAGATTGGCGTTTGGTATGCATTATTGGTGGCCATTTTAGTCCGTTCAATATGTTCATGGTCGCCGTGGTCGATAGTAAGCTCTCCATTGAGAACGACATGGTCTTCCTGGCTCGAGGGGATGAAGCTGACTGCTATGTTATCGCGCTCTTGCTCCTGGCTTGCCCGGTCAGGATTCTCGGTGTGTTCTCGCTCGAATCCACCCATTTGACTCTCACGAGCAGGTTCGTCGCGCAGGAACCCGCCTTCAAACCCCTCAAGATTCTGGAACTTGTCCTGGTGCGACTTCTTCGATGCGGCAGTAGTACCCACAGGATCCTTATCTGGCAACTCAACATCATCCCCATACTCCGATTTCATCCTCTCCACAATCCTCAAACCAGTGAAGAATTTCTTCCACAACCCTAACACCAGCTTCTCTCTCTTCTCCAATTCCTTCTTCGCCTTCTCTATCTCGTCGGCCTCCCACGCATCAACCACTAAATCCATGTTCTCCTCTGCAACTACCACACCGCGGATAACGGGGACAGCGCGCTGTTTCCCAAACTCGAAACCCGTACAAGCCTCGGCAAAGTCGACTCCAAGTTTCTTGCATATTCGCGCCGTACCTTTGAGCGGAATGTGGACTGCGCCTTGAGGTATCATGGTCGGGACGTAAACATCAATGTTTCCGAATGAGTTTCTAGGGATCTTTCCATCAACGATGGGGTCGGGGATGATCCAATCAGTTTGCGCTTCGGAATACAAGCCTTGTTTAACCTTTCCGCCTTCTTCCCGCTCGCGCTCCTCAATCTCGCGTTTCCTTGTAATAGTGACAGCACGCATCGGCACATACTTGAGTGGTTGTTCGCCTTCCTTAACCGCTCGTCCTTCTTTATGCCAAGACTCCACGGTCTTACACAGCACGACGTCCTTACGTAAGTACACAGGCTCTTTCTTTTCTTTCTCCCCCTTCCCTATCGCGAAATGGCGGATAACCTTCGCGCCAGGCTTTAGTGCTTCCTCTCGCTTCATATGTCTCTCTAGCACATACTCCGCAGAGTTCTTGTACCCCTGAAGCGTCTCCCTTCCGCCTTCCTCATCCATATCTTTTGGCTTGGCTGGTGCAGCGGGGACAAGATCGCCCTCGTCTTCAACCTCATCCCAGGGTTGCCGATGCGCGATATCGCGAGCGTAGGGCCGGAGCACAGATTTGAACCAGTCCCATTCTTCCCACTTCCGAACCTTTCCCCGTTTGTCGCGGATGGGGATTTGTTCGACGGGCATACGGAAGCCTTTAGTTTTGCCAGGCCATTGGCGTTTGGGGAGGTAGCGCGTTGTCACCTCTTTTGCGGTGCCATCGGAGGAGAAGGCGATTAGATACGCGAAGACTTGTTTAATTTTGTCAGCTTTTACTCGGTCGGACGCGGTTCCGCGAGAGTAGAAGTTTAAGAGTGCATCAGGCTGTGATGGTGTTGCGATGGCGGGCAGTCTCGTCAGAGCGCGTGGGAGGGGAGATACGGCGATTGGGGTGTGGGTGAGGTGGGAGATGGCTTCTGTCCAGTATGTTGGATAGCGCAGATCATGGCGCAGGCTATCGCTATATTTGCGGGATGTGGAAGGTTTCTTGAGAGCCTTGGGTTCGAGATCGGAGTCGGAAGAAATAGATATTACGCTACTGAGATCGCTGCTTTCGAGGTCGATGGGTGAGTAGTGCGAGCCGATCATCTCGTTCTTCCCTCGTGATTTAGAAGAGGCTGGTTGGGAATCTTTCGCTTTTGTTTTAACTTTTAGTTTCTCCAAGTCTTTGGGCATGCCCTCCTCGCTTTGACTGAATCCGAAGCCGACAGGCTGAAGGCTCGTTACCATCCGAGCCTCGATGCCAAGACCACGCAGAAGAGCTGTAAATAGTTGCTCTCCGACATCTCTGCTGCCTTCACACTTCCGAGCCTTGTCACGGAATGCTTCCAGGTTCTCGATGCGCTCGCCAAAGGTGTCGGCGTCGGAAGCATCTTCGCCCCAGGCCGCGATCTCTGCTTTAAGGGTGGAGGGAGAGAGGTATCCACGCTTTCGTAACGAGGGTGCAGTGATCTTGAATTTGGATTTCCAATACGCCGAAAGATATTTGAGAAGTCGAAGGAGTGGGTCGCCTGCCGATAGATTTGGCGCGTTCGGCTCAATTCGATCGGATGTGGCGCCCCAGTCACGAATTCTTGTTTCCTTGCCCTTTCCCTTTGAAGAGTTGTTCTTTGCCTCTGTATTTGTATACACCTGGACACCATCCTTCCCACCGTCCACCCACTTTCTATTGTTTGTATCAACACCAGCCTTCTTCTTGGTCCAAGAAACCTGCACAATTCGCTTTGGGCCATCTGTTATCCCTACATCCCTCCAATATAGATTGATCTCTCTCCAGCATCCCGAAGTCATATTTTCCACAAGTATCTTCTGCGTCCATGGATCTTGGACCCACGAGTTGCGTATTAGGTTGTGAAACATAAGAAACTGAACGTGGATGCAATGTGTGACTGCTCGTACTTGGCGCTCAATTTTTGAGGGACCCTTCTTGCCGTTTGCTGTCGAAGAGAAGGCTACAGGCGCCGAGGCGGGATTCAGAGTGAGCTCAAGATCGCCGGAGACTTCCGGGACGGGCTCATTTTCGAGGCGGGTATGGTGATGAACTCTCAAGGCATCCTCCCACTCATCCTCGGTCTCATTGTCGGAATTAGCATCTTTTGCTTGCTGTTTTCCTTTTCTATGAAATTCTGATGCCTTTGTACTATCTATCACGACATCCTCAAACTCCTCTTCGCTGCTTTCCGGGTCGCTAAGCTCGCTACTATCGTCATTGCCTCTTAGAAGTGCCTGCGTCTGTGACAAAGTTCTTGATAGCTTCGGTGCTGCGTCCAGGGACTGGAAAACAGATTCTTTCGGGCGCCGCGGGGGATTGCGAGCGGCGCGTTTTGGGTAAGGTACAGCGGTCGGGGAGGTAGAACGCAGACGTTTTCGACGTAGGAAAGGCGGCATTATGAGTAACCTTCGAGTGGAGAATAGTTTGCCATGGAGGAGGAGACGTGGATGATGAGGATGACAGTGGGAGGCTGCTTTGAGGTTGGTTGGTGACGCACACTGTTCCGATGATGCGGAATAGAGACTAATGTTGGGATCGGCGCATGGGCCATATCAAGCCACACTTCTGGTGGCACAGCAGCCTTCACTTCTACAGCATGTTACTACATAATAATTAGGGTATAAGTTATGTATTAAAGGTTTAGCTAGAAGAAGGTAGAAGATTAATAAGATGATGTCTCTCTCCTAAACCGCCCCTGTTTGTTTGAGACGGTTTCTTTTTTATGCAGCATTCCCGAAGATCTTGCACATCATTCAGCCTCTTGATATATTTTCTCGACCTCAATGCTACTATTTTCTCTCCAAAGAAAAGTTCCAGTTTAAAATTTTCGGGTCCAATTAACGTTCTCTTAGCCCTATATTGGAGCTAGTCCTTCGTCAGACACCTTTCCTTCTTGCGTACACTCCCGAGCAGCCTTACTTGAGCCAGGACAACCTAGCTTGTGTTTACGGGGCCTCACCCTTTGAGAAGAGCTGTGCTGTGACGCTAATTTTGGGCGCGAGTGTGTGGATGTTTTTCAACATAGTCATTTGAGCAGAGTCTTCTACGATCTATTTTCCCTAGTTGCGGTATGCATTAAAAGTGAGAGAAAATGAATTCATCTAAAGATTTATGCTGAGGCCCTAAACGCCTTGGAGATGCTGTACCTGATTTAATCTTGCCCCTAGCTGTTCGAGTACCTTCAGGACGGTTGTTCGCAGACTCCCCGCAGCCTCAGGATCGTAAACAACGCCCAGAGGACTAAAAATAACAATTCCTGCTCGAACACTTGCCCTTTTTGTAGGAAAATGGTTACTTCTTCAAGGAGGTATTTCATATTAGTGCAGGGGTCATGCTAATCTTCTCTTCTCTATCCAACTGAATTGACCAGATGCCGAGAGCGGAAGCAGTCGAACGTTAAGTACTTTAGAAAGGCATGAAAATAATAATGTTTTGGTTCATTTTGGAGCGGTCTGGGAGTGATAGGGTGGACGGTGAAGGGGACTGGCGGTGGTGGAGGGCAGAGACAAACGAGAGGGCTTCACTAATGCAACACTTCAGGTTTTTGCCACGAGTATTGGTGTGGGCGCACAGGCTCACTTACAGAGGTATTACAACTATCCCTCATATTCGACCCACACCAAGCCTTCTCTACAGGCTCCCCAGCCAGGTATTCGTCTCCCCCTACCCGAGCAATCCGACAATCCGCATCCCTTGCTAAATCCCACTCCGCCAGACATCAACCGCAAATCCGCAAACCTGCACCAACAAACCCACCCTGCACCCCCTGCACACACACGTACACAAAAATGGTCTCCCCACCCTTCTTCGTCATCATCATAATCGCCGGCCCCACAATCCTCGGCAGTATGGGAACCTACATCGCATACACTACTTACCGGCGTCGGCTTCGCCGTGCGCGGGCAACGCGACTAGGAGATCATGGCGGCGGTAATGGTGAAGGTGATATTGCCTTAGGCATGTTAGATTCAAATGGTCGTAATATGCCGCTGTCAACACCACTGGCAGTGAAGGCAGGAAATGCCCTCGTATCTCTGGCAACGAAAGAAGCTAGCCATGAAGACAGGGATGATGGTGATGAAAATGGGATATACACCCTTCCAAGTGGGAATAAGGACATGGGTAGGGAGAGCGGGAAATACATGATGAGTGGAGGAACGCAGGGCGGGAACCGGGATATATTGGGGTTTAGGAGGTGAATTTGTATACGACCCGGTCTTTGTGAGGAGAAGAATAGAGGGAGGAATAGAGAGAGAGGGAGAGGTAGAGGGACAAGAGAGAGAATGCGGTTGGGATCGGATACTGGGTATAGGGATTTTAACATGCTTTAGTATTGTGCTACAAAGGGATGCTGGATTGGGGTAGGGAGATGTGGAAGAAAGGAGGAAGCAAAGCAGAACCAGCGGCTTCTAGCTTTGGCATGAGAACAGGGAATGATGAGCAACGAAAGACCATAAACTTCAGAAGAAGAGATGAATGACTAATGTAAGTTAATGGTATCCTGGTATCCAAACCTCCCAAACCAAACCAAACCGAACACACGCGCACAGTGAATGCGAGGCTCGCACCTCGATTGTAACATCCCGTCTCCAAGAAAATCTTACAATGCTTCTGACTGAGAAAGACCCAACCCAATCCAACCCAACACATACACAGAACAGAATGAAAAACTGACCGTCAACTGATTCTGAATAACTAAAAGAGTTAAAACTGTAATAAAAACTGTAATAGTGGGTGATGTAATGATAATAGGCCGTCGGACTGACAGACCAGACTGGAAAGTTGAAGAATAGCACCACACAACCTTCTTCACCTTTAGCTCTTATTCATCCCATGCCTTCACTTGCTTGTCGTTGTATTTAAGACACTTCGAGGGGTTGCGTGACACTGTGCTTGCTCCCTGAGACCCTGATTTCTCTCATCCTGGCCCGTCGAACGCTCTTCACTGATCCTCGGACTTGTATCTACCGCCTTCGGAACCGCATGATGGAATTCCGGGATCATGATACTCGGGGGACGAATCGTGGTATTGCTCGTTTTCTCTTCCAACCTCCTCTCTTCTTCTTGAAGGTCGACGACATCATTCCTCTGTGTCTCCACTCCACCCGAAATGTCAGGTGTGATAACTAGCTCGCTGGCGCGAACCCCCTCACCGATCAACGTACCGTCTTTCTCATCCCATAACCTTCCTTCAACCCTTCCACCACCTTCGTCCGCCCCGTTCGTGGGATTCAGCTCAGTCATCTTATTTTCCAAACTCTGTCGTATGCGCTCTGCTTCGTAGCTCACGCGTTGCGGTTCGTCGAACCCAGAGTCTTGATGCAGCGGCGAGCCATACCCAAGTGGCAGCCCCTCAATCGAGAATCCCGTTCCAACGCGACTGGGTGCAAGACTACTCGCCACACTTGCATCCATAGCGATTTCGTTTTCCAGATCTGCGAGCGTGTTCGTCATTTTAGTGTCGTCGGATTGAACTAGGTTATGGACGCGGTCGGAGAACGATGCTTTGCTCGACGGATGTCTATGATGGCCCAATTTCTCCCCTTCACTCGTTGCTCCTCCCTCGTTCGTATTATTCATTGGTAGCGGCTGTGACTGAGGCGGCTGCAATTCCGCAACTGTAGACAGACTTAGGGGGGTATCGTCGCTCTTCTTACTTCCCACCAACGAGTTCTCGAGTTCTCCTGGCGGCGTTGTGATACAGACATCCTTCGGTTCCTGGGTCGCGAAATCATGCGCTTCGATGCCAAGACTACCTCTCTGCACAAGCCTGGTGTCACCGTCGACATAAACTTGTTCCCATCTGGTTTCGCGACTAGCAGGTAGACTCGCAAGTTCGTTTTCGAGTTCGCTGTCATCGAGAGACATTATTGACCGAGGAGCGGGGTAGGGCGAGCAGGAAGACCGTCGGTTACGGCTCGGACTGCGGAGGCCAGGAGAGCGGCCACGGGTGGCATTGGGGAGAATGTAAGACCCGCTTGAGCCAATGTATTCAGTAGATGGCATGTTGACATTAGAAAAGGATGAGCGAGACCGCTGGCGGTGCTTTGTGATATCATCTAAATCGACTGCGGTTGCGGGGTCGATATATTCCTTGTCGGATCGGTGGGTTGAGACGCTTTGTCGTGATTCTGTCATGAGTCGGGTGCGCTCAGTCGATGGATCAGGGAATTGCCTTAGCATGTCCTTCGCCGCTGGCCTTTCTCGTGGAGAGTCGCTGAGACATGCTGTCACAATATCGCGGAAATATGCAGGAACAGTATCTGACCTTGAGAATGATCGGGCGATTGGGCGTTCTTCGCGCTCCGGTTCATCTTGTTGGTTTGCGAGGGCCCAAAGCACCATACCGAGCTGGAAGATATCAGACTTGACCCCAATGTAGATAGATATCCGTTGGCCGCTCTCAATGAGCCTCGCAAGCTCAGGCGGTTCCCAACCAACAGGACAGCCACGGCGATTGATGTCAATGATCTTGGCATCGTCATTGTGATCAATAACGATGTTTGACAGCGTGAAGTCGCCTTGCACAAACCCAGCCTCGTGAATTTCTGACAGACCTTCCACAATCTGTCGTGCCCACTTCTCACGTCGTTCCCATAGCAGTCGGTCTGTGCCCTTGTCGTCGTAGATGAGGTCCACAAGAGCACCTTGTTCCGCGTAGCTGATCAGCAGACCTTTGATGAGTCCACTCTTGTCATCAACAATGATGCCTTCAAACTTGATGACCGACTTTGAGTCTCTCAAGTTATACAGGGCATTGATCTCGTAGAGAAACTCCTCGACAGCATCTGGACCTGGAATCTCCTTCTTGATATATACCTTGTTCTGCACAGAAACCTTATATACAAACCCTGAGATATGGGAATCGAAGCTGACAGCGTTCTCCTTAAATTTCTTGCAATCAAGATGGTCAAGGGCGGACAATGGCGGATATGGAATGATTTCATTGACATCCTCGGTAACATGTACATGGAGACGTCCATCTGCGGTTTGGAGCTTGAGATTGGTGACGGTGTCGTAAAACTGGATATCAGGGAGTGAGTCGCGGATGGCCTCATATATCCTCGAACATTTGTCTCGTTGGTAGTGAAGGCTCTTTAGATCGGCTTCGAGAGAATCGGGGGTGATCTCGCGGTAGTCACAGGACACTGTGACTCTCCTCCACTTGTTCGGCTCTTCCGCATACGTGATGAAGAACTTTTCTCGGTCGGACATGTCGCGGAAATGCATGCTGAGGTTCAGTATCCATTTCGCCTCTAGTTCCTCCTGCAGCAACAGCTCGTCAATGTCAGACGAGGAGCGTTGGGAGCCATTTTCGTAGAAGGAGTCCCCTGCGAGGGAGAGTGGGGGTGGCTCTCCAGCAGTCAAGTAGTCTATACTCTCTTCCATGCGGTAATCCACCTGCCTCGCACCCGCTGGTATATTGGAGCCCTCCCCTCCCCCAATTGTTGGCTTCTGCTCCTTCTCACTTGTGTGTAGACTTAGAACATCAGGCGCGGAACTCGAAGGTACGTTTATGGTTGGTGGCGACAGCGTCCGCTTCAGCGCGAGGGCATTCGATCCTCTTCGGTCCACTGACGCGGCTCGCCTCTGCTCGGGGTCTATCGGCACGGGAAGCAGCTTCTCCCTCTTCTCGGAGTTCATCCTCTTGAACGTCAGCGGTCTGGGCAGTCCAGGAACGACTCTCCTGCTACTCCTCCTCCCCAGCAACCCCGATGGCCGCCCAAGTCCATGCCCATGCTCTCCACTCGAATGTGGCCGTCCATTCTCCTTATTCTCATCGTCTGTCTGCCGGCCATGCTTCTCGCCCAATGCACCTGGAGGCGGCTCCTCCTCATCCCTCTTCAACCAACTACCAATTTTTTGCAGACTTAGCCGATCCCACATGCTACGATGTTCGTTCGCCTCGGTCCGCGCTCGCTGTCTACTTCTACTCCTCGACGACTCGCCGAGGTCTGGGGCGAGTAGCTGTGGCATGATCCGTCACACAGCGAAGTGCGCACTGTCCACAGGGACGCGGAACAGGGTACTAGACACTCAGGACCCCTTTTGTCTTTTTCTCCCCGGAGGCTCCTCAGCCTCAGCCTTCCTACGCTATCGACCGATTAAATGTGGAGAGAGGAAAAGCGAGCGATCTATCGAGGTCGCCCGCCTTGCCTCTGCCTCTGCGACTTGGTGAATTCTGGACTCGTGGGCCGTGGAGGTGCCGACTTCATGCCGTGTAGACGTCGTGTGTAACTTGGGCTTGCTGCATCCATCCAGTCTAGTTCATGTCTTGTATTCCAGATCCGTCGCTGGCATGGAGGCACTCTGCTTCTAAAAATCCCTTTCCTTCAAAGTCCGGGCCGGGCCCTGTCCTAATGAGATTGCAGCCCAAGCGGGAGGGTTGGCGCCTGGCGAAAAAATAGGAAACCCCAGTGCCTCAGAATAGCAATGGGAAAGGATATTCCGGATGAGGCTCTGGCAGGGCGTGGTCAGGCTGGAAGCAGAGATTCCGGGCGGCGCTGGGGAGGGCGACAGCGAGCTGGGTGTGGAGTCAAGGTAGGAGTGGTCGGGTCAAACAATGATGCATATGATGGTGAGATGAGGCTGGGTTGGCAAACGCAGCCAATCAGGGATTGTAGCTGCTGTTGAACACGGCCAGACAACAATCCGGCTTAGCAACTTCCCAGCGCTTTGCAACCTCAGGACTCGAGGACGTGAACACTGGCCAGAGTTACGCAGAGACGGACAGCGAAGGAAGAGATCGGTACACAGAGGGAGAAGGAGAGGAGTCACAGTGCTAACTTCAGTTTTCTGCAGCCGGCTACTGCTGCGCTCCCAGTGAAGCGGTCAAGGCCCACGCGCACAGATTGGACAGGACTGCCGGTCGTGCAGCCCTCACGGCCCAAGCGTTGAGAAAGAAAAGTAGAGTAAAAGACGACTCAATCACAGCACAATTCAACCCATGTTCTGATTGGATACGCTTCGGACCCGACCTGGCAGCCACTCTCCGGTGAAAGGTCGCACAAATATGCTTCCATGTCCGCGATGCAAAATTCAGCCTCCGAGAAGAACTTTCCCAGCCTCCAATCCCCAATTTGCCCTCACCATTCCCCCACAACTTCCCACGACTCTTCTCTCACGTCCGCACTCCGGAACTAGAGCTGCTCTCCTGATATGAAACTAACCCTCCCCTCCCACCTCACATTAGCCTGGCTACCAACCCCTCTCCAACGCTGCACCTCTTACCCACAGCAAGTGCAAATGCAGTACTTCCGGCTATGTACGAGGTACTCCGTTTTGCATTTCAAGTCCCCAGCGCCAACTCCAACCCTTCGTCACTTGCTCCGCCCATCAAACCCTTCGCGGACACAGGTGCAGCAGCGGAACCGGATCCCGCGCCCTGAGCTCTCAGCGCATTTGCACTCGGCGTTAGCGCCCATGCACGACGCCCAGACGCGCGATATTAAGAGGTCAGAGGGGTTCCGACAGAAGGGGCTCGTGTGGTGCTCCTGCTGCTACGACATTCTGCATGCCGAGGGTAAGATCGGGATGTGTTGCAGTTACGAAGTTACTGTGCAGTTGTGCGAGGTAGCTGTTTCGACTGGTGCATGTCTTGGAAGAAAGACTTGTCTTTTCTTGATAAGTCTTGATATCTCGGACAACTGTCTCAAACGCAATTGAGTACGGTCTGCCCTCCGCCCTCTCATCCCCTCCGCTCCCAACCTCTTTGTGCCCAAAAAGTGAAGCAATCCAATCCACCAACGCTCTGCTCCAGCCTCCGTACTCCCGCTATGCTCAGCCTTCTTCCGCCCTCCCATCCTCTCCCCTCCCATTCGCTCTCCCCTCTCTGCGCTGTCCTCTCCCATGCATAGTAGAACTTTAACATTGCGATGCCCATTGACACGTCAATACCGTTCGTTCATGCGCATGCGCTCTGCTTGCCCCACCAATACCAACCTCATGATTCCCGCTGCACACACCGGTTTCGGCGACAGAAAATAAGAATCGCACCGCGCTGCACGACACCATCGTCGTCACGTCTCTGATTCTTGATGGAATTGGAACAATGATTGATTATCTGCCCACAATTGCAATCTAGCAATTGGGCTCTCCTATCCAGTCCACACAAATCCGGGACACACCCTTCCACTAACGTTACCCCAGCTCAACACCCTACGCTGACATCCCACATCTCACACCCCATCTCCGCTCTACCAGACCATGTCAGCCCGTCACTCCGTCCGGTTAGCTTCGCACCCTGGATGTAAGCATCAGCACGCGGACTCACGCGGACTCACGCGGGCGGCAAAAGCAAATATTCTCGTTCCCGCCCCAGCCTTTGCACCGTTATTAATCTATCTGTGCTGAGTTTATCGTGTGGCTGCATGTCTGCCGATTCGCATCCCTGTCACCTAGGAGAGGTGGAGAGGGGTAGGTACATTTGAAAATGTCTAGTCACGTTTCGAAGCTGCATGTACATACCCTTCATTTGCTAGCGGGTTAGGGGGTTTGTGGGAAGCCTTTGAAGGTACAAGAGATGACGGTAATGATAACTGAGGTGGTGGACTATTCAAAAAGCCCAGCGAGTGGATGTTGAGTATCTCTCTCTGTATGTTAGTGGTTAGCCAAGGGTGCACGGTAGAACTCTCTTTCCCCTCCGCACATTTTAAGCGTACGAGCCCCTCTTCCTTACTCTATCCTATTATCAAACCCTCCACCCTTCAGAGAAACTTCAGCAAGGGAAACTAAGATGCAAGACTACTTTGAAATGCAAGCGAAGAGGTTTTCAAGCTTCTTGAGCAAGTGTTCAGGATCCGACCGTCCTTAGCGAGCCAGCTGGACAGGATAATGCCTACCTAGTGCTTTGCTGATCAGCGCAAACCATGAAAGGGTAGCACAATGATAGCTAATGCTGTTGTTATAAAATACAACTCTTGAGCAAACCATCTACATGATACACATGAGCACAGTCTATTCGTATTCTATCAGAGAAGAGATCCCAACTACGACCATGAAGCCCCTTAGGACTATATGCATTCAGACCCGTAGGCCCGCCTGTACTCCAGGAAATGCACTATACAATGCAATAATGTACAGATCTATTCACACTCCCTACTTTCTTCTCCCAACTCTAACCATTCCCTCATTCCCTTTCCCTCCCTTCTCAATCCTCATCCCCGCTCTCCTCTTCCTCCTCCTTTTCCTCCTTGACCTTCTCCTTTTTTGTCTTCTTCTCCGCCTTCTTCGATTTAAGCTCCTTCTCCCAAACCTTATTCGCGGTATCGCGATCTAGGTCCGGAAAGACGAGGTCGAAGACCTCGGCGTACCAGGACACGGGTTTCCCTTGGATGCCTTCCTTGATGTTCTAGAACACTATAGTTAGCACAATTCTCCATAAACCCCCAATCCACCATCAAAGTGAATGCGAAAGACAAAGAGAACAGAAACAGGGACATACCTCCGGCAACTCCAGCCAATCACTCATATTATCCTGGGGAAAAATAACCATCTTCGCGCCCGCCCGTCTCGCCGCTACGGTCTTCTCTCTCAATCCCCCAATCCTCAGCACCTTGCCTGTGACCGTCAACTCGCCCGTCATGGCAATCGTAGGCTCGAGTTTGCGGCCCAGCGCCAACGACAACATGCTCGTCGCCATTGTGATGCCGGCGCTTGGTCCATCCTTCGGTACTGCGCCCTCCGGACAGTGCAAATGTATCCGCGCATGCTCAAAGAAGCGGTTCTTGGGGAAGTCGCGCGCGACGAGACCTTTAGCGAAGGAGTACGCGACGGTTGCGGATTCTTTCATGACGGATTTGAGGGAGCCGGTGCGTTCGAGGCCTGGGGATGATGTGGCCGAGAGCACGTTTTCGAGGATAGATTCGACATACAGTGCTGCACCGCCCATGGAGGTCCAGGCCAATCCCATGGCGACGCCGGGGGGGGTCGTGTCGTAGAGGCGGTCGGAAGTGAAGATTGGTGGGCCAACGTAGTCTTTTAGATTGTCCTTGTTGATGGAGACGTGAACCGAGTCTGGGACTTTGAGGGCGACGCGCGGGATTTTCGTGGTCTCCTTTTCGATGTTCTCGGGGGTTTCTCTGACATCGGTGTCATCTTTTTCGGATTCTTGTTGCGCGGCTTTGCCTTCGTCAGTCAGGGCTTGCGATTCAGATAGGGCCTCTTCGCCGAGCTCAGTCACGATTTTGAGGGCGGATTTGCGGTAGACTTTTTCGATCTGTTTCTTCAGATTTCGGACACCGGATTCGCGGCAGTACTTGTTGATGAGTTCGATTATGGCCTCTTTTTCAAGCGTAACATCGACGTCCTTTAAACCGCTAATCTCCTTGGCGGCGGGACCGAGGTAGCGTTCTGCAATCGCCATCTTCTCATCGGCGACGTAGCCGGAGAGCTCGATCATCTCCATTCTATCGAGCAGGGGGCGCGGGATAGTGTCGGTCATATTCGCTGTACAGACGAAGAGGACTTTGGAGAGATCGACCGGGACATCCATGTAGTGATCCAAGAAGCTGTTATTTTGCTCTGGGTCAAGTAGCTCGAGTAACGCCGAAGAGGGATCACCGTTATGGCCTCGACCTATCTTATCCACTTCATCAATCAAGATGAGCGGGTTTTCGGTTTGGCATTTCTTGAGAGCCTGAATAATGCGACCGGGAAGAGCGCCGACATACGTCCTCCGATGACCCTTGATCTCAGCAACATCGGACAGACCACCGACACTGAAGCGGTAGTATTGTCGGTTCAAAGCTCGAGCGACTGACTTCCCGATAGAAGTCTTACCTACACCAGGGGGTCCGACCATGCAGAGGATCTTGCCTTCGACCGTTCCGCGGAGTTTGCCGACAGCGATGAATTCCAAGATGCGGTCTTTGACGTCCTTAAGGCCGTAGTGATCTTCGTCGAGAACTTCCCGTGCGTGTTGAATACCGAAATTCTCCGCGCTCTGCTGCCCCCAAGGAAGCTGCGTGAGCCAATCGAGGTAATTACGCGTGACATTGAATTCCGATGCGGCCGGCTCGAGGTGTGCGAGCTTGCTCATCTCTTCTTCAAAGACTTTCTTCACTGCCTCCGGCATAGCAAGCTTGCTCGCTTTGTCGTTAAACTTTTCGATGAGCTTATCCTTGCCGTCGGATTCAATACCAAGTTCGCGCTTGATGCCCTTCATCTGCTCCATTAACCAGTATTCGCGTTGCTTCTTGTGTATCTTAGTTTCGACATCCTTAACAATTTTCGACTGGAGCTCCGCGTTCATAAGTTCTTTCTTAAGGACAAGTAGGGCCTTGCTTAGCCGCGTCTCTATATTCATTGCCTCGAGTGCTTCCTGCAGCTCATGGGAGTCCGCCTGCGCAACCGCAGCAGCGAAGTCAGCTAACCTGACCGGATCCTCCCCGACGTTCATCGTGGTTTGTACTGAGAATGTGGAGATGTGATCGCGGAAGAGCGGGTTGAGGAGAGCGACAGCTTTGAAGGTGTTGACGATCTCGCTGACGAGGGCAGGGATAACTTTGTTATTCTTCATGTCGAATGGTTCTTCAACCATGTTCTCGACGTCCGCGATGCTGACTTTGCGGTCTCTGAGGAAGGAGGTGGCATCGTAATAATGCGGTGGCTTGTGGGCATCCGCACTGCTCTCCTCGAAGCTAGCCACAACGTCGCCCTTTGACTCTTGTCCTTCTAACTCTTGTTTAGCTGACTCCCCCTCTGCGATCTCAGATACCAATAATTCATCCACCTTTTGAGTTTCCTCGGGTTTGTCTGGAGTCGGAGGCTTGAGACCGGTCATCTTGATCCTGCGGTGAGGGTACAAAACGCATGTCATGGCAAAATCACCATCGAGCCCTACAGGAAACGCACTGGTGACCTGACAAAACGTACCTACATCGTAGACTTCGTTCGGGTTATCAATGACATCCTTATCTGCATCATCGTCCTTAAGTAAGAAGGCACCGATGTATGGCTGTCCTCGTTTCACCATGTCCGCAATTGCCTGTCCGACCTCCTTATTGCGTATCGTGATAGCTTTGTAGAAGCCCGGAAAAAGTGGCCGCTTACCGATTGGGATAGCCATGACCTGCGGGTACACTTCTGGAATTAGCGGTTTTACAAGTGAGCGTTCTGGTTTCCGTTTCTTGCTCGATACCTCAACCCCAGATCCTGAAGCCCCATCTGCTCCTGCGCTACCCCGCGCTTCACCTGACTTTGAGGAAGGTATCGGGTCAGGTGTCTTCGATTTGGCGTCGAGGTCCTCTGCCTCTTCTTGAGTCTCGGGTCGCTCGGATCGTTCCTCATCGCTCTCTTCCTTGACTTCTTCTTGTGGATCTGGGGATGATTTTGGGTTCTTCTCTTTCTGTCTGCTTAATGAGGTGGAGAAATTGCGGGAGGCAAAGAGCGCGGCGGGCGGTGAAGGGTATCGCCGAGAGTATACTGATAAGTTGGACGCTGAACATTGCGACGGAAGGAAGGAAGTTGGCACTCGGATTACGGGGATCCGGGTTGCTGATCGCGATACATGGCGAAGGGCGACGCGCCATGGCAGGTTTTGTCCATGAAGCATCTTGCGGCGTTGGTAGCACTTGCCTCGGGAGTGATGGCGGCGCTATTTCGAGGAAGGAGTACTGCAGGCGCCCGTGTCGCCCTTCAGGAAATGCAATGCACCTAATTAGTAGCGGGAGGTAATGCAGGTGACGTCGGAGTGGATGGAGAGGAGTGCAGTGTCGGGACTGAGGAGCGAGTGTCGCCGCGTGAATTGAATTGATCAGCAGCGCTCAAAATCTCGACATCATCGTCAAAGCTCCGACACTCCGGGCAGCCAAGCCGTCGGTCAAACATTCATCCAGCTACGCCACGCCCACAATGCTCCTCCACTGCTTTCTCTGTGTCCCTCGTGCCTCGCGACAGACATTTGGGATGGCCTATCATATTGTTAGGAGGCAATTCAGTGCAATTCCAGACACCTAAAGAACTTGCGACCTACCTAGCTCAATGGCAGTCTTATCCGACCTGCCGGTGGAACTGCTGGGGGCTATTCTTTCAAGATGGCTTGCACTGATATTTCAAGCCTATCTCATGCCAACGAATCCCTCAGAGCAGCTCCTGCTCAATACTTGTTCAAAGATATCGTCGTGACCTAGGGTGCACACGTCCTGCTCCTCCCTGGTACAATCCAGCACTCTACACACTAGTTCAATACCCAGAGCTTGAGTCTTAGGTTGAAATGTCGAATCTCGAACTAGGAACTACTAGCTAGGGCCAGGACCGCAAAATAATCCGGATTAAGGCGGCTCATGAGCCTTTGAGCTCTTCACTCGGTCGGTCATTGCGGTCCCACTACCTTTAATTTCGATGCATAATTGGATTGTCAACATAGAGATGAATGATTTGAATTTCACTATACTTCGGTGTATATCTTAATGTACCTATCTGCGATATCTTGTTCTAGATATCATATTCATCTCGTTCGACTGGCTTCCTTAGACTTGCTCCACCTGGCAACTACCTCTGCCTGATGTGTCAGAACTGCGGTCGAGCCTCAGTGGACAGGCCTCTGCACGGTACCCACAGAACCTCAACCCTTTTTGAAGGGCTTTCTTCCACTACTCCAGCTCCCTGCAATCGAAACTCTTGACCTCTCACAATTGAGCAACATGGGCACCATATCTAGTTGGATTTCACTTCAACATTCAATCTCAACTAGTTTGACCACTCTGCGGCGAAGCTGTTAAGCGAACAGCACGACCCTGCCATTCATTCTCCAGTGAATCACTCGGCTTACAATCCTGGAATATAACTATGTATGTAGTGGCGACGGTTCCCTTGGCTGCGGCCTTCATGAGGTAATCAAACATGTCAAGACAACGCTCAGGCACCCCGCTGTCACTTGTACCCTATTTAATTCTCGACGGTAGACTTTCGCCCCTTTAATAGCTCATAGGACGTCATCTGCAAAGGCCCTCTGGGTTCGCTCAAAATTTTCGGCGGACGAGAAACTCTCTCTAGCTATCTTCGTACTTACTTAGCAAGAACACACAACAAGTGCTGAACCTGCATACTTCCACGCTGTGTTGCGATCGATTGGCCTCTAGTTTTATATAGCGAGGGCCTGTGGAACGGCGAGAGGCAATCGCATGGTGTCCTGATATCTCTATACAAGTCCATAAGGGGTCTGTGAAACAGCGGGGAAGGGGAGACAGTTACTCACAATCTGGACACTATGCGCTTGGGTAACTGTGGTGAGTAGTATGGCAGAGCGATTGGAACGAACGAAAGATGGGTTGTGGAAGGAAATGTGTGAACAGCAGGGGCTGCTATCTGAGATTTTCGTAATGCTTTGAGACCACTGGCGAGTTGTCTTCAGCGAGTGAATATGAGCCAGTCAAAATCGTTTGTGGCACCTTTAAGGATATTCGAAGTTTTAGAGGACATCAGCAACCTCCATTCGAATGACCTTGGGACTATGCATACTTATGTACTATCTACATCGACGTTCTCTATTTAAATCCCCTGTTACCTCCAGTAATCGTGTAATTCCTTGTCATCGAAAATACGGCAATACCACGATATCCATTTCTTTCAAAATAAAGTTGGAAGCTTTTAGATAATTTTTTCTGACAGGATAATATCGTTCCTAGCACAGTTGTGCAGCCGCGAGTGTGGTTTCAATATGGCAGCTTAGTAATCGTGAGAAGTTTGAAAGTCAGTTTCTCAATCGGATCTATCGTCTATCATCTTTTACCACAACTCATCGTGATGCATGTTTCCACCCTGCTAATGGCTTCTAACTACTCACAGGGCTCGGCTGAATCCCTTCACTGATACCACCCCCCCATTCTAGCTCAGGAGTTGTGATGGAATGAATGCGGGGAACCCTCCTGAGGCTCCTCTTCGCCTGACCCGAACATTTGGGCTTCATCGACAGTTTCCATCTCGGTTGCTAGATGGCAAATGGTCCATTATCTGTGTTCGCATCGTATCGCGATCTATCTCTTACACAAACTGTTCAAGATCTATGACGGTATGTTCGAGGAGCTAGAGCCGTGAAATGCAGTGCACTCAACAAACGGGAGATCGACAATTGGCCCAGGGGCATCAACTCCACTTTGAGATAAGAAGATTATCGACTATTCTTCCGGGAAACTCTTACCAGGGTCCAAAAGCGAGTAGTGATCAAGCATTCGCGATACCGAGAATTGTATTGCGATCTAGAGGTTTAGTTTCACGTGCAACTGCCCCTTTCCTAGCTTTAACAACGATGCGGTCTCTGGCAAACTCATAATTCCTAGCGAAGCATCCACAATTTTCTGTCTCCTAAATTGAGCGCTTGCACACCTTGTACGAAACATTTTCTCAATGCTTCACAGTAGGTCAAACTCACCAGATTTCGAACCCCACAAAAATCTTTCCTCCTTTTCCCAGCAAGGAAGCATCGATGCGGAGTCATAATGGAGCTTCGGCAAAGGCAAATGATCCACGGTCGCTATTATTGCCATCCAAGAGGACCATCCGTCAAGATCCGATGCTCTAGATTAAATTTCGCTTTCCAAGGTTAGCCTCGTGTAGCTTCATCCTGGCTGGAGGGCTGGTGGTGGTTCAACGGTCACTTTCCGTCAAACCAACGTCATGTTGCTTTACTTCCAGAAAGGTTCCATGCTTACTGCGATCACATGCTATGTAATGCCCAATTTGTAACTGTACGCATTTTTCCTTCATTAAAGCGGGGTGATTTCTCTACCTATTTTGCTTTTCACGGTCTTTTGGCACACCTTTCTTCACCCTAGTCTTCTGTTACTCAATTGGCACTTTAGAATTCAAAACACATCATGTCATCTCCGTCTTTGAATGAGGAGAAAGGTGCGTCAGTGCCTGAGTGCTACCGAATTTCGCCTCGCATCCAGTAGATTGACTATTCTCTCAGAAAATCCCAAAGATTCATGGGGATCTATTTCGACTTCCCGTGGCGGGTGTACAGCCCCAGGTCCCCATCTAGCCCTCATAAAGCGAGTAGTCATTGATGGAGAAGAGAAGGAAGTAGAAATCCATACCTGGAAGGGCCCCAATGATCCAGACAATCCGTATGAACACAAGCAGCTTATTTCGTGCTTCAGCGGACTGACTCGGAACGGCAGGTTCAATTGGTCCATTACGTACAGGTGGATTCTCACAGTAACTGTGTGCTTCATATCAATTTTGACAGGTCTTCCAGCTGGTTCATATGGGGCAGGGAACAATTACATGGCAGCTCGATTCAATGTCCAGAATGAGCCGTTCCCGAATCTCTATTGGGCAACTTGCAGCTGGAATGTTGGGGCTGCGCTATTCCCACTCGTCTTCGTGCCACTAACTGAGAACACCGGGCGTATGCCGGGTTACTTCGTATGTACTCCTCCGTGCCCGTATGAAATTCGGGGTTTAACAAAAACGTAGGCCGCGTATATTGTTTTTGAATTGTTCCTATTTGGCTCAGCCTTTGCAGACAATTTTGCGACAGTAGTAGTCACCAGATTTTTTGGCGGTGGAGCGTCATCCGTTTCAATCAACATCGTTGGTGGAAGTATTAGCGACATCTAGCGCGGCGATAAAGCTCGAAGTCTTCCCATGTCTCTCTTCGGATTCACTAGTGTAGCTGGCATTGCTCTTGGGCCATTTGTCGGCAGCGCCATTGTCCAAATCCACGAACCCACTAGGGGCCTCGAGGCACCCTGGAGATGGTAAGGATATCCTTGTGTCGAGTCGTTCAAACCTGATGCTTTCTAGGATCTACTACATCCAAATAATCTATAATGCCGCCCTCATCCCAATCTTCTATCTCATCCTCAAAGAAACCCGCGGCGATGTCATCCTCACGAAACGGGCCAAAAAACTACGACAAGATACCGGTCGAACCATCTATGCCGCACCCGAACTAAACCGCGCGTCTGTTGCCTCTCTTCTCAAAATTTCATTCATGCGGCCCACAAAGATGCTCCTCACCGAACCAGTCGTCACATTCTTCACCCTCTGGATAAGCTTCGCCTGGGGCATCCTATTCCTGTTCTTCTCATCAGTCGTCCAGACCTTCGGCACTAATTACGGCTTTACCACCTTTCAAACTGGCCTGGTTCAACTCGCCATCACTGCTGGCGCCGCAATCGGAACATTTATTAACCCCATACAAGACTGGCTGTATGTCCGCACTGCCTCCAAGAATACCGAGAGACCCGGGAAACCCATCCCAGAAGGCCGGCTGTACACCAGTATTCCTGGCTCAATCCTCTTCACCGGCGGGCTGTTCATGTACGGATGGAGCTCACGGCCCGATATCCATTGGATTGTGCCTACAATTGGTGTGTGTATCGTTGGTGTAGGGATCTATTCCATCTACATGGGCGTAGTGAATTACCTGACGGACGCTTACGAGAAATACGCAGCCTCCGCGCTCTCCGCCGCCTCGCTTGGTCGGAATTCCTTCGGTGCGTTCCTGCCACTTGCCTCGTTCTCTTTGTTCAATAATCTGGGGTATGGATGGGCTGGAAGTTTGCTGGGGTTTATTGGCGCCGCGTTGAGTATTGTGCCGGTTGTGTTGGTGTTGAAGGGGCCGGGGATAAGGAGGAGTAGTCCGTTTATGCTCGAGGCGATGTACGATGAGGAGGCAGATTAGGGGAGTGATAGTTGGTGGTTAGCGCAGGACCCGGTGCGGGAGTTGCAGGAGGGACACCTGGAGCTCTTGGGAAGCCGGTGTAGGCGTGGTAGCACTTAAGGTGGCTCGGTAGCTTTGGAGACATTGTAGGTAGTATAGGTAGGTGTTTGGAGGTTTCTTCAATCATGTCTATTGGCTTTGACTTTCGAGTTCGGTCCTTGAAAGCGTTCCAAGAATAGTCTCCGGGGTAAAAGGGAATCCACTAGAATTAGAATATAGCTTATCCTTCAAAGTAGTGGCCGATGTCTCTCTTATCAAGGAATCCAAAGTCTCCACAGCGAGAATGAGAATCTCTAAGCTGGTCCAGCCATACCATTAGAAGATGGTCGAGTAACAATCCACTTAATCTGTTAATGAGATTACTGGAGGGCAAGGTCAAATCATATTTTCCTTCTCCCGATTATTCCTGTGTAGATACTCCTTGCGGAATGGTCAACTTGGTGGAGAATCCGTACAGTCTTTGGAGTTTTGGAGCTTGCTGGTCCACCTTGTCTTGGGCAGCGTTTCCATCAGGAAGTAGTACGATTCGACTCAGGCTTTCTAGACAAGTTACGTCTTACTTATTATATACTTTTGTTTGCTTCACCTGACAGCAGGGGTTAATATAATTAAGTTACAGTTTAATTAAAGCTGCTTGTACTTCTTAACTTTTTACTAAAAGTTATAACATAACTGTTAAAGCTTTTAGAGTAGTAGGGTCCCCCTTACTTTTAATATAGCATGTAAGGTTATTTAATTTACTAAAAACAACCTTATAACGTAGCTAGTTCTTCTAGAGTTGCAAAGCTTTAATTATAGAGCCTAAGAGATAATTACAGTTATAAGTAACTATCCTTTTCCCCCTACTAAAGGCTCTGTGCTATCTCCCTATACAAGGGACTGTTATCTTTTGCTATAATAAGGTTGTCTAAGGTTGTTGTAGTATAGGGCAAGCTCTAAGGCTACACTAACACGTAAATAGTGGCACAAACACGCTCCCCTAGCCCTCACGCGCGTCAGAGACTGCAACCTTAAAAAAGTCTACCTTAATTATATACTGCTTACTTTTAAGCCTTATTAATTAAATTGTAACAGTTAAAAATGTAGTTACGTTTGTTTGCCTCACGTAATTGTAGGTGGAGCAAAAGTATCAATTGTACTACTTCCTGTTGGAAACGCTGGTCTTGGGATTGAGTTATTGAAGCGCATATGAGAAGAGCGTTTTTTTTGCTGTGCTAAGGTAACTCGAACACGTTAATATGAACATGGAGCGTGTGTAGACGCGTTGATACGGCCTCTGGTGTCTCGTTCGGTCAAAAAATGCCTCTTTTTCTCTTCAGAAACATTACCTACACATCATTGCCTTTAAGTAGACAGACATACGAATGGCTGGCCTTACGAACAGTAGTCAAATTCCTGCTTGATGATTTCAAATATACAAGAGCCTCGAAGCTGTGCCTTTAAGCAGCCTTAATTGTTCCAGAGGAGTGAGGCGGTGTTTTCTTCAGAAACTACCTTCTCTAGGTACCTCCATCGAATTATTAATGATGCTTCTAGATCGTTGAGAACGCCTATCTGTTCAGTCGCTGAGTAAAAAAGAGGCGCTCGACTCCTGTATCTATATCCAAAGTACTCTCGTGGAACCCTTGGAAATAATCATGCAAAATCTTTTTTTCGTGGGGACGAGAGATGCGGTCGCATGCAAGCTCGGAATTTTAGTAGCAACTGGAGGATGGAATGCTGCACGCAGTCCTGTCGGACGTGATAACTTTCTCGTGCGTCGGTTTAACATTCCAAATTGTATCTTGCATGCTCATTGACATCCACCTTCGTAAAGTCCCTCGCTTTCCTCCAAAACCCGAATGTCGTCTGTGGAGGGACCCAAGTACGGCTGGTCACGCAATAAAAGTTCTCAGAACGGTTTACGAAAATATCCAATACTGAACGCTTATTTCTGGACAGGGTGTGGTGTCAGGAATACTACCTCGTATTTCCCATGCGGCTGAGAAGCACATGGAATAATTTGCAACCATCCCCGGACTTACGCTTTCGTCGGGTCAGCCCCATTTCAGTCCTCCTCCCGCTGCCGGTCATCCTTCGCAAACGCACTATCGCTAAATCGAGCCACGTACGCGATTACGAGGGCCAGTGCATCGTGAGTTAATCTAAACACACCTCACTGACCATAACGTCATTGGTTTGAGCACTAAATTCGTCCTTCGTCCTCGCTACCTTTCTTCTCGAACGAATATTTTGGTCGCCGGCTTCGACATGATGCGAAACACGAAATACGTTGCAATATAAATTTATTTCGATTCAGCTGGTCTTGTGTAGTACCAAGCCGGAATGCAGAAGGTTAGGGCCAAAGTGCAGTCTTTACATCCTCTCATTTGTCCTCAGTGCTATAATGCTTGCCGAATTGACCTCCTTGAGCCATGTCTAGCACGACCTGACGAGCTACTCCGATTCCGCGATCTCTGAAAATCAACCGCAGAATGGTGTATTTAAACATCGAAATTCCCCCCTGATGGTATCAACTTTACTTCCAACGCACACTTCAGCACACTTCCCACAATATATCCAAAATACCTACCACCTCAAACACAATGAAGGTTTCCACTCTTGTCATTGCTGCTATTCCTTCCCTCGTCTCTGGATGGTACGTAAGGTTTCAATGCAAGCTCCATATCCTTTTGCAATCCCAATGCAAGATTTCGAGAAACAGTCCCATAACTTCCAGAGTCGGTATACCCATTATGAGGTTGTACGCTAACTTTCCTTCCCTCGTTTCAAGGCACCTCCAGCTCTACGCTGCCGAACAATATGTAGATGTTATCGAAGACCGTTCCGGCACGGTGGGCCAACCCTGCAAGGACCTATCTAGGATTAACGTCGCATCATCCATGCATTGGGACAACGGCGCATTGGGCTGCAACGTCATCTTGTACAATGGTTATGGGTGTGAAGGCGACGTTCTTGCGAATGCGAACTACCAGGATTGGAATATCCCTAGGTTTTCGAGTGCGTCGAATGACAAGGTCAATTCGTACAAGATCAATTGCTGAAGCTGAGCTGGGAAAGAGTATGGTTGGCTTGAATGGTCGGGATTCAGAAGGTATTCGGCCTAAATAGTCTATGCTAGCAAAGGAACTTGTTCGGTCTATTCCCACTTGAACTCTTCCTCCGCCTCCATAGCCATCTCCATTATTGTGACCGTACTTGCAGTTATTAGTGTCGACATAGATCGTGAGCTCCAAGTTCAATGCTGCAAGGGTCGCGACGAGTGAACGAGCTATTTCGATGGTAGTGGTGTTCGGGTCACCCACGGATGGCTTGTTTGGTGCTGAAGGTATTGTTGTGGTATTGATCTGCAGGAAAAGATTCAGCTGGGAACGATACACTTGAAGTCGTGGCTGTTGCGGTGCGCCTGAAATCAATTTCAACTCCTCCAAAAGCTCACCCTTATAGCTTCCCCACTAGGTAGTCTTTATATGATGCGCAGGATGGATGCGCGGCAGCTGCATCTAAGGAGGAATGGGTCGTAAAAACAACAATTTTTTTTGGGGTTTTATTGAAGGGATCTGATTGGTTCCCAGAAGTATTGTGGTTAGATCTTATACTGAAATGTTAGTGATTCAGAGTGCAGGCCACAGGGGTAATGTTTATTCTTGAAGAGGCGAGTTTGTGAGGCAGCTACCTAACCGATGGTGAAGGCTCGAGGGATTTTTGACATAGTGAAAATCTCTATGACGTGCAGAGGTCGCGTATAAAGGTTTGCTGGACGCAGTCAGTTATAGCTAGTCCTTCTAACGTGTATTTAGAGGAACAAATACAATAGGTTATATATATAGGTTGCAGTTTTCGAAACATGAATTAGGGGTGAGCGAGGAGACGAATGTAGTTTACAGGGCGATAGTCTTATTGAATCTATGCATACACACATGCCTAAAAGAAGTTTCAACGCAAAATCTATGAGGAAAACGAGTTATAAATAGAAGAGGGCTAGATCTAGTCTTTCACCTACTAGGAACCTTAGGACAACTGCGTACTTCCGTTGTTTGTCCCAATTTCACCGCCGCTTGAAAGTTGAGTTCATTTCAGATTTTCGCTCTATAAATATTCAGCATTTTCAAATTCTGTCTAATAATGGGGGTCAAATTGGTCTTGATCGAGGTCGAAGCCTTGGTATAGTGGGTGATCCTGTGTCTAAAATGGTTGCTCTGTATCGTTGCAGCCCGCGAAGCAGAGGTCGAGGTCGAGGTCGAGTAAGAGGTCGATTCCGGGAGTCTAAAATTCCCTTCTTTTTTTTTATATTTTTTTTTTTTAGAATTTTGAGAGCTTCGCACCCCCATCGAAGAGTGCACTGAGTTCAAGGATTTTTACACAGAGCAGAGACCACCAAGTTGCACGTCGTAGAGTTTCAGTAGCCGCCAAGCCCGTCCCGTCGATTACCTAGATCCTGCCTTTTTGCCATCCAACCTTCACCCTCGCATTTATTCGTCCTATTTTAACAATATATACTTTCTCTTCCACTTCTCATATTCTCCTTTGTTAATCTCTGGATCTGATTAGGAAAGAACCCGACACTGCAAAGCCGCGGCTTACAGCCTTCGTCGTGGCGAAGCTCTCGAGTCTCTATACAGGGATTGATACAGTATGAACGCTGCCCTTTGTGCGGAGAGCTATCTAAAAGGCAACTACTTACTGCACAGTAAGCCTTTATCTCTAATCTTTACCTTAGCAGTACCCTCCCGTCGAGTCTACGTCCTTGTTCAAGTCTAACAAAACGATCACTTCGTATATTTGTTGAACCGCTCTCATTGTTGAAGACTTATAAGTACTGATAACACGATAGCCCTTCAACACAACTCGCGAGACACGTGCTTAATACTATAATTTCCCTTGCGCTCATCCTGGCCGCGCACTATCTGGGAAGTTTGGCGAACCGGGCAATTCTCTGAGGACCACCACTTCTCTGATTCTGAAGAGAAATAACTTATCATATGTTCGCTAGTACGCCCTGCTGCGGGTGGGCCGGGTGCTGGTTTCTTCCGAACTAGTCACGAAAGCAACGAACAAGGGAAATGAGTCTACTACACACGAGTTCATTCAAGTAAGTGATTTCCATCAAGACTAATGATGAGAGGTGTGTTTATAGTCCTTGAGGAAGAAGAAGCGGTCGCAACTAGCTCTCCTCTATCAACCGCCTTGTCACCAATTCTGCCGAAGTTATGCTCGGAATCACGATTATCGATGCAGCTGTCCAAATCGGTAAGGGAAGTACATTTTCTTGCGTCAGCCTCCTGAGGCATCCCAAGTACATAAAAACATAAGTAATCTGGAGATGCACTACTGTGTACTACCTGAAGCTCATAGTTCTATGCTCGAATTTGCCGCCTCTAGTGCAAAAGTCCGAGTATACCCCGACTTTAGCTGAATAAAACAAAATTCACCCTCAGCGATCTTCATGGGAACGATCTTACCAGTTCGCCCCTCCACTCGAAAACTATAACAACCATGCTTTATCGACGCAAAAACGTACTGGCATTCTCGCACAGTTACTATCGAGGCTGTCGCATATACCCAACCAGGAACAGGATGCGTTTCCGGCAATCGCCGCACACTCGCGGCCGACTCTGACCAAACTTTCCAAGCTCTCAACCTTATCCTCAGGTACAGCAGCAAGAGAAAGGGCCGCCCGCATTACATGGAAAGTGTAACAAGTTCTCTCATACTTGAGACTGCCAAGCTTGCAGAGCCCACAGCTTACCGCTAGCAAAAAGGCACTGATGTCTGTATGTTCCCTACAAATTAAGGCCAACTGGTCATTTAACATGCCCCTTTGGCTCTTCTGGCGCACTCACTTTACTACACCGAACCTAACTATGATATAGAATCAGCATTCGAAATGGACATTAATGCCGGCGCCCAGAGTCTCCTGCCCATTCAAAAAGACCACACGAAGCGGCCCCCGACGATACTAAGTTTCCAAACTCTGCTCTCGATAATTGTAACAAGAACGCGAGTCACTGTATGGCATGATAAAATAGAAAGGCTTCTCAAGCTTGAGACAAGCCAAGCTTGCAGAGTTTGCAGAACCTGCCGCCAATATGCATCTCAGGAAACCCTTGATGAATTATACCTGGAGATCGAACTAGGCATACAGCAGAAAACATGCCGGCCGCAGTTAATCACCCCACACACAGCGAGGCAGACACGTCTTCTTAGCCTTTCAACTCCATGGACTTGCTGAGGAATATCTGCTTTATAGTATATGCGGCTTGCAGGGGTTTGAGGTATGAGAGAAATGATGTATTATGGATTGAGGGTTCAAGGAGTTATGTGATATATAATATTGTGGGATGCGAAGTCCTGAGTTGATTGGACAGCCCCATCGGCGAGCGCTCAGACTTACAGTATATAAGCGCCTGTTGTATGAAGTAGACTATCAAGTTTCCTGAGAGTGTGTCGCAATCTAGGCATTTGCTATGACGGTATTAAGCCTCCCAACGCTGGCCTCAACTTCCGCAGCAAGAGAAAAGGGGTAGCGATTCTTTTACACCTGCGGCTTAGGAAAAGGAACGTTTTCTTCTCTTGACGATTTACTCCATTTTTGCTTGTGGTTCTACCACAACTCAATCAAGCTAGAAGTAGATCAAATATAGGCCACTACAGGCTCTCGGCCTCGCTATGCAACCACAAAGGATGACGATGAGGTAGGGTTCTGCTCTGCATTGCCAAACAGCGCAAAGGCCCAACCAAACGTAGTTAGTATTGTTCGGAGATTACGGCTGGTCACTCCCATCTCCACAACCAGTCGAAATACTACAATAACTGAGGAGGTTGGACCCACAATACCAAAGACTTGGGTCAAAAATGGAACCCATGGGTGGCCATGGAGTAGTCTTAGCCGCTCCAAGTGGTCACAAGTTGAGGCTGTAGTTTATGCTCAAGCTTAGTTAAGATATTCGTTATCTGTAAGTTTGATATTCAAAATATTATGGAGACGAGGGAAGACTGTTATGGTATTGTGAATGCTAATCCTTTCTAGTATAACGACAGCAATTGCTCCTCGTCTGCAGTCTCTAGCAGCGGGTTGCTGGAAGCTGTAGGATTTTTTGGAGGCGGTATGAGCAGAGTGGTTGAATTTGTGTCTAACACGCTGGCGGCACTTCGTTGCAGAAGACATGGCGGTTACGTGAGATGTTTATGTAGCTGAGGGTGCGAAGATATGTGACGTAAAATATCTGAATTAAGATGAAAGTATAATCGCACGAGGAAGTGAGTGCCTAAGGCATATACGTAAAAGACAATCTTACCGGTGCGCTAGCCGAGCTCAGAGTGAAACTACACAAAAATCATGTTCCAGTGAATCAAGCATATTCCAGGGTCCGTTGCTACGCCAGAGTCCCGAGAGTCGTACGTCTATCAGTCAAGCGTACGCCCCGCTATTTCATTTTCAGTTTTGATTTTATTGGGTATATATATTAAAATTTTGGAGTATCTTTCGCCTTCGGGCATTCACCACTGGCGTCTCACTCCGTTACCGTGTAGATTAGTATGGGCACCAGTTACTAACACGTGAACCAAGGAGCAACTTAATTTTCTCTTTATCTTTTTGGTTGTTGGTTCGGTTCGCCTAGTGGGATGTTCTTTTAGAGACTTTTGGAACGTTTATTTTGGACAGCGGGTGAGAACGGGTGATGTGCAGGCCATTAATGAATTGAACGTAAAAAATTTTACTATTTAGTATACTTGAGAGATATATTTCACATGAAACTTACAAAAAGATGTATTTGGCTGAGCTTTGAGACCGATTATAAAATAGTCATTATGCTTCCCAGAAGTCTGAACAGCGTGCCAAACACACTCTCCACTCATTCAAAAATACCCCACCAAACATCCATACACCTCACGTTTCCCCCACCATCACAAACACCCTTCACACTCTCCTTCACAGAATCAAGCATACTTGCCAACAACCCTAAAACCCTCTCCCTCTCTAGACCTACACCTCCAACGTCCTCACGCGCCCGTCGTAAAAACCCCGCCCCGTCGTCCTCCCCTAATAGCATATTGACCTCCCACTTCGCATCGTCTAGTTCTTCATCAGGGTGCACCATCCCTTCCCTCACAACCCCCCACCCCGCCTCCTTTGCCAATTTCTTAATCTCCGCCGGCGACAAAAGTGTCCGAATATTCTGGTCCGAGTCGGGAATATGCGCTTCACACGCTGCACGCGTTAGCGCAGTAAGGACATGCGGCATTGCGGCTGGATGTTGGGATGCCAGACTCCATTCCGCGACACAGAGTTTGTGGGCGTGGTGCTTAGCTGCCCGTAGCGTATTTAAGACGTCTGTGGAACTGCTGAAATACCACAAACAGTGGCAGAGGATCGCGGCGTCATATCTTTGTCCTCTTCCCTCTCTGTAGTCTCCTGGCTCTAGTCCCTGGGTGGAAGCCCTGGCGAAAAACTCATCGGGCGTACATTGGTGAAATGAAATCCTGCCGCCAATTTCAGGATGCATTTTCAATCGAGCTTGCGCTGCGCCGAGTGTTTCTGGAGAGCCATAATCGAGAGGCGCGGGATCGATAGCGTCGATGTGGCCGGTGGGGCCGATGAGATGGGCAAGGAGGGCGGTGCAGTCGCCTTGGCCGCAGCCTATTTCGAGGATTCGGGTGTTTGGGGTTTGGGATGGGGTTAAGTTTGGGTCTGGGGAGAGGGAGAAGGCGTTGAGGAGGTTGATGCGGTGGGTGGTTTGCGTGGGGAGGAGGTTGTATTTTGCAGCTAGGGCAGGGGCGGAGGAAGGGAAGAGCATGGTGGTGGATTGTGAAGAATTGATTCGGTAATCACTATTTCTTGAACGAAGAGGTTATATGGAGATGCTGTAGTTTTTCTAGTTGGGAGATGGGAGACGATAAGCGAAAAGTGCCCCAGGAGCAGTGTTCAGCTGGGAAACTCCCGAAAAATTTGTCGAGTGACAAAACAATCGATATTAAGCAACTAGGCTTTATAGTCTCCCAATTCAACTTTTAAGTGCAGTCCATTGCAGTTTCATGACTCACGATTCCAGGATATGCATGTCAGCAGCTACGAGCTTACTCATGAGTGCAACGACCTGGCAAATTGGATAGATAATGGGCTATATGTAACACGACACTCGTTGGAAGGGAATCATTTAATTTACGGTGTAACGAGAGGACTTAACGACGAGGTTGTTGAGGGAAGCGGGAGGCGATCTACAATCTTGAGGTAAGCTAAGGTTCGGAGAGTGAACTAGCGTGACGAGAAATGTAAGAGTCGCACAAAGAGCACGTGGCCGAATTGATAGCTATCTAGGCAAATAAAATAACTATTGAAGGACATTAAGATGAGTTGTTGGCAATTAAAATGATATTGGTGAAGAATTACTTGGGTCCGACTTCTTTGCATAAACCGAGTACCTCATCTCGTGCTCCACTTACCTCACGTGATGCAAACCATTCTTTTCTTAGCCTTAGAGACAATAGTATCAATTTAAGATAACGAGGAATTATAATGCTGCAATTTTGTCTATAAGAAAACTTTGAAACGTATAAGAAGCTATGGTTTCATGTTACCGTCCTCAAAACAATACTTCCGCAAGTAATGAATACGGAAAGTCTGGACTTCTGTGTCTGTGAGAGGGTTCACGTCGATACCGGCGAACCCTTCGTAATATTATTTGTACTCTTTCCCCCTGAATATAAGACGAAGAGTAGCTGTACGAAAAGGCCGGAAGCTAACTGTAGCGGCAGACAAGGCGGAATTCGAATTTAATAAAGGGACTCCCAAGGCTGACCTATTTTTAATTTCGAGTTTGTGCATTTAGACAAGCCCCTTGCTTGTCATCGGCTCCCAGCGGGTGGAATAAAGGCCCCAATGACGTGTTCCAACCACGGTCCCATATACTTGGAACGAGGTACTGGTTGGAGGTAAGAAACTCTTAAATTTGTTGTCTACGAAACTACGTTTGACTTCTTCGCCGTCGCGGAAACGGAAGGCATGAGCTCCCACAAAAGTTTTCTACCTAGAAGATGACTGATATCAATAGCTAGCGACGGTGCAGGGGAGAACACCTAACGAAACAGAGAGGCTCTAATTCCCTGCACATGGCCGCTGAGGGATGGAGTTAGGTACAGGGCAATCTGTCTTAGATTCCTCATACTGCTACGGAAGGTGAGGTGCTCTCAAAGACTACACGAGGTCCCCCCAGCGCACTCTCAAGCATAGAGCTATGGTTGATTAAACTACTGTTCTTAGCAATAGCGCTGAGGGACCTCGTAGCAGTCCTCTAGTTTTCTGGGCTCGTTAGGAGATGCCCACACTCGTATACGGTATATTGCCGAATCCGTCGAGATTTTGAGGAAGAGGGGGCATATATCTCCAGGAATCCAGCTAGGGTCCATCATCAAGCTACATCTTAATCAACAACATGCTCTACTAGGAATAGCATATCCAACGATGCCACCCGGGGCGAATAATCCATAAAGACATAGAACACTCCAGATGTGATGTCTCTGGCGGCGTATCCAGCAAACTCGAGCTCTTGCTTCGAGATAAGGAGTGTAACCTGATGCTCAATGCACTACCTAAGAACAAAGATGAGAACGCCAAGATGGGGAGGATAGAACTATAATTTCGGATCTCGGTCAGCCAAACTGGCGTTGATACGAAGAGTAGAGAATGGGTGGGACTGCTCGCAAACCTCGGCATAAACCAAAACAACGAATTTTCGAAGACAATAAAAGGATGAACTGAATAGGTATGTGAAGGGCACCTCATGCAAACAACCAGGACTGTAGACCTAGAGTGAAGTGCGTGCATGGAAACTACTCCCCAAAGTGAGAATTTTTGGGCCTCAAAGGGGAAAAACATTATTCAAAGCAGGAAAGAAGAGACTGTTGGTTATCGGTAGGAGAAGTGTGTGGATTTATATTGTTCTTTAAGGTGGGTTGACGGGAATTGTCAAGGAGGTTTGAATGCCCATTGCTTAGCCTATGACGACGATGAGAGGGTTTGAAGGTATATCCGTAAACGAGGCCTGAGGATTATGTAAAGGGGAATGGTTAATGGTATGGCTTGCTATCTAGTTTGGGATATTGAACATACAGTGGGAGCATCGGGAGGTGGGGTTTCTGGTATGGAGGGGGCTTCAGATAGCTGGAAGTGAGGAATGAGAGACAGGAGGGTAGGATTTGAAGAAGGTGTAGAGGATAAAATAGCCTGGAAGTAGCTGTTCAGAAGATCGGATGAAGTGACTCTGCTATCTAAGAGAGTTGAAGGCTCTCCTTATATACACCGAGCTTCGGAACATACTATCTCCAGATCCCGAGTTGTGTCCCAGGCTCTAAGCCCCAGTCCCAGGCTCCGAGCCCCAGCCAAGGCTCTCAGTATACGCGACAGAAGGGGATAGCGAGCGAATGACTGGACGTAAACAGGGAGTAGGGCACGATATTAGCTGAGCCAGAGATATTTCGTAGCCGAGCATTCATTTATTACGTTCGTATATGGTGAATCGAGGATAAGACACTGGATGAGAAACATTCGGTTCGTAAATGAACGAATATAAAGCAGCCTGCTTTTCCCCTAGGTGTGTGGTAGCTGGTAGGGAAGTCTGCATGATCAATTTCAGGTAGCAGACAAAACAAACGGCCTCCGTCTTGGAAGTTTTAATCGGGCACTGATAACAGCAGATATTTTGTAGCTATAAAATGCAAAGCCTTTCAATGCTGGCATTACTCTCCGTGGTCGCTAATAACGTTTTAGGCCGTTTGCATGTGTCTGTAGAATAGGTGTTTGCAACCTCTCTGATTTGGCCGCAAGTGTGGCTATCCGACTTTTAGACACTGGTTGGTACATGAGATATCCCACCGGGGTTCGCCATTTACGCGCTCGACATACACCGGGTGCACTTACTTAAAACGTCGGTCGATAACTGAAGGCAGCGATAAAATCTAAGATGTATGGTTAGGGTGATGTTTTGCGACTGCCCTGTAACGTTGTTAGGTCCGTGAATTAGCAAGTCTGGGCTGAATATAGCCAAAGCGATTTCGCAAGTCTATAGATCATAGAATTGAGGTTGATAACTCGAACAATAGAGTGTATCGTCGTGATGGAGACGTGAAGTCAACAATGCGGGAGGTAGTTCGTTCCGACCTTCCTCGGGTATTAGCGCCGGCACTGCCACAGTTCCAGCCTCATGAACTCGCCACACCATCGTTTCCAGAGTCGCCGTGTGCAGCTGAAAATACGCAATCATGTTTCGCATTCTGCACGATTTTATTTCCGGTTACCGCGCGGCGACTCAATGACAACCTTCTCACTCAACATGGAACGTGGTCAGGGTAGATTCTTTCTGTTGAACGGCTTGGTGGATTCAGGGGAGAGTGTAAATAAAATGCAGATATCTGTCTGAAATTGCCCCTGTCATGTTCCACCTCCGGCGCAGAGGTGCAGTCGAAGCCAAAGCCAACAACAAGTGACTGCGACCCTCCGCAGCGGTGAGAATGACTTTTGCCCCTGGCTCCCAAGTCTGGGGAAGCTGAGGCCTGATGTCACGGCGCGGGAAGCAAATGATTGAAACTTGGATAGTGGCAGCTTGGCACATTGGCGTGGCTTGTTTGAGAACTGCCAAGGGAGTGAGGAGCGAGGTGGAAGCGGACAAGCAATGGCAAGACTGCGAAGCTTTGGTGACATTGCTGCACGGGCAATGGCCGCGATCTGAATATGGAAATACACGATTGGTAAGTAGATATTAGTGAGGATTTGAAAGGAGATGTTGGGGTTGAGAGATGCGTGAATATTCTGGGGCGAGCAGAAATTGTGGCTTTGCTAGCGCCGATGTAGCGAATCTGTGTGGACCACGCACCTGCTCTCCTGCACTGCTGTCTGTGCACGGGGGCATTTGAGAAACAAGCTGGGAATCCAATGATCTCCGCCATGACGCCCACGGCTTCTTTGACTTCTTCGCTCGCTCTCCTTCTTGCTGCTGGTCTTTTTCATTCCCTTCACCATCGCAGCTCGCCTGCCCTGCACCGCGACGCGAGCCGTTGCTGAAACACTCTCCACCACCTCCCTGACACGGCAGCTTTATGCCGACACGACACCCTCCAACCTTTTGATCACAGACTCTTCGTAGCACGAACTTCTTCTCTACCCATCGTCATGGCCCGCCGCTCACGTAGCTCGCGAGAATACACGCAAGATCCCAAGTCGGAAGCCACCGTCCCTCCACACTCATCGGGGCAACACCATGGCCTGCACCTTCCGCGATTTAATCACAATGGCCACGAGGTCACACCGGGCATCGAGCCGGAGGGCGAGAGTGGCAGGAAAGGCATCCACCCCATCAAGTTCTTGAGGATCTGCTTTAGGAGCTCGAGCAGGGTGTCGATGGCCGTGAATGCTCTGTGGCCCATCGTACCAATCGCCATTGCACTTGTGAGAATACGCCTGCTTGAGGATGGAGGCGTGCATATATGCTAACAATTCCAGCACTTTGCCCGCCCGGAATGGCATCTGGCCATCTTCATCACCAACTATATCGCCATGGTGCCTGCTGCCAATCTGATTGGGTTTGCCGGCCAGGAACTCGCCCGCAAGCTGCCCAAGGTGCTCGGTGTCGTTCTGGAGACGACACTTGGCTCAGTTGTCGAGATTGTGCTCTTCATGGTGCTCATCAAGACGCATGGCGAAAGCAATGTACCCGTCATCCGCGCCGCCATTTTGGGTTCCATCCTCGCCAATATGTTACTGTGCCTTGGCGCCTGCTTCCTTGCTGGAGGCCTCAAGCGCGACGAGCAGTCATTCCATGAAGCCATTTCTGAAGCTGGTAGCGGACTGATGCTTGTTGCTGGAAGTAAGACTAGCCTGCCCGCTCACCCATATGATTTCCCCGCTAATCACTGATGTAGTGGGCCTCGTCATCCCAACCATCTACGCCAACGCCCTCGCCAACCGCACCGACCTCCCTGCCGGCGAGATCCCCAGCGAAACCCTCAAAATTTCCCGTGCCACTGCCATCATCCTGCTCTTCGCCTTTTTCGTCTACATCTTTTTCCAAACCAAGACTCACGACGGTCTGTTTAGCGAAATTTTCGAGGCCGATGAACACAAGGACGCAGATCGCCACAAGGATTTGGCAAAGGCCAAGCTTACGCTGACGGAGTGCGTTGTTGCTTTGGTCATTGCTCTGACCTGCGTGTCTTTGATCGCTGTGTTCCTGGTGTTGGAGATTCCGTTCATCGTCGAAGAGAGACATATTAGCGATGCATTCGTGGGTTTGATTCTGATCCCGCTCGTGGAAAAGGCAGCTGGTACGCACCTCCTTCCCCGTCCCTTTCAGTTATCGTTACTAACATCTCCGCCATAGAACATCTCACGGCCGTCGACGAAGCCTGGGATAACCAGATGAACTTCGCACTTGCCCACGTTCTAGGCGCCAGCATCCAAACCGCTCTTCTCAACACTCCCCTTGTTGTAATTGTCGGATGGTGCATCCACGTTCCCATGGACTTGAACTTCGAGATGTTCGATGCTATAGCTCTCATTCTGGCTATCTTGGTCGTGGGATCGTTTCTTAGGGATGGAAAGTCTAATTATCTCGAGGGTGTGCTTTGCATTCTCGTCTACATCATCATTGCCATCTCCGCCTTCTTTTATCCCAACCCAGCAGGCCATGGCGGGGGTGAAAGTGGTGGTGGTGAAGGTGGGCATTAGAATGCTGCAATGTACTTTCTCTTCCCTGCTTGCAGTATCGGTGGCAGGGGAGCGAGGTTGGGAAAATATCTTAGATCGGATGAAAACGACATGCTATAGTGTCTCGGACTGGAGTATCTGAAATTGTTACTGCATATCTATTTTGTTCGCTGAGAGTCAGGGCGCAGTGAAGCGAGGAGTCTTCTGTATATAGCATCTGCGATGCCTTTCCTGTATGTTGTTCGGAGCGAGATACCAGGTGTTAATGACGAACCTAATTTCTTTCACACAAACATATTCTTTAAGCCATCAACTATAACAACCCAGATCAATGGGGCACATTCATTTTCCGAGCTAACCACAGTCTCACTAGCGCTAACGGGAAACTCCGCGCACACAACCTAAGCGAGTCTCACGAATTCCAACCTCACCCCAATCTCACCTTAATTTTCTGCCATCAACCCACAAGCGCAACCCTCACTCACACTCGCCCCTCCTCAAACCCTTACCTCAGCACAACACAACGGAACCGCCATCATGGGTCGCGTGCGCACGAAAACGGTCAAGAAATCAGCCAAGGTTATCATCGAGCGATACTATCCCAAGCTGAGTCTGGACTTCGAGGTCAACAAGCGCATCTGCGATGAGATTGCTATTATCGCGAGTAAGAGGCTTAGGAATAAGATTGCCGGGTATACAACGCATCTGTAAGTTTGCCTTTTCGATGGAGGAAATGAGGAGAGTCCGGGAGAGAATATGAGTGAGATGAGGGTGCACCTTCGGGGACGGTGATGGAGATGGGAAATGGGGAATGGGGAATTCTAGAAGAGTTGGGTGCGATGCGCGGTTTTGAGGGGTTTCTCTCTGGCTATGCATTTTATCGGCTTTGGAACTGCGAAGCTCCCACTACTTCCCCCTCTCCCCCTCACCCTGCTCTCTCACACCCGCAGCCCTCATTCTACCTTCCTCGACAGTTCTCCACCTAAACTCACTCTAACTTCTCTCAGGATGAAGCGTATCCAACGCGGTCCCGTCCGTGGTATCTCCTTCAAGCTTCAAGAAGAAGAGCGCGAGCGCAAGGATCAATACGTGCCCGAAGTTTCGGCTCTCGACTTCACGCAGAACAGTGAGACTGGTACGCTGGATGTGGACCAGGAGACCAAGGATTTGTTGAAGAGCATGGGTGTATGTTTTCTTCCCTTACCTCTTTCCCTTCCACTTCTGTTCCCACCTCCCGTACCGAGTTTGTCGGTAGGAGAGTTGTGGGGGAACGGCCTTTTTGGGTTAGGAGAGTTGATGCAGTGCTAACACGATGGCTTGTGAATAGTTCGACTCTATCCCTGTCAACGTTGTTGCCGTGGCCCAACAACAAGTCGCCGAGCGACCTCGCCGCTTCGGAGATCGTCGTCCGGGACAGTAGAGACCTACGTCCCCCTCCTCCCTCTCTTCGACTCACGGATAATGGGCATACTTGTGCGGTTCGGATGGTGCATGCATGCTAGGGATACTGTGCCGGGGAATACACAGACAGCCTACCCATCATGAATGGTTAGTCATGGTTCGGCTAGCCAAGGTTAGGTGAATGAAAAAGAATCTTTCCCCATCAGGTGTCGCTGAGTCTGTACCGCGAGAGCGGTGTAGATGAGGCTTGATTGCCATTTCCCCTTCCCCTTCCCCTTTGCTCTGTGAGTGATGTGTGCGTATTTAGTTATGGTGCTGGTGTAGATTGAGCTTACAGATAGGTAAGTATACGTTTTATTGTTGGATGATGTATGATATAATTGTGTCGCTATGTCGATCTCTGTCATTCTGCAGGTAGCTACAATATACCCTCTTTTCCGCCGCTGTCGCTTTCCCAACTGCCGTGCCAAAATCCAACAAGAAGAAATACCTTTGCTTCATGCTCTGTAAACTAAGCCTGAAGTCAAGTGAGCTCTACACACTCAGCGCCACTAGCTTCCTAAACCCAGCTTGGCTCTACAGCAAGGGCTGGGGAGAGGGGTGCGGATTCCCCTGAATAAGGTGAATATTGGACGATTCTGACAAGCTCTGGGCGTGGGAGGAAGAGTGACAAAGGGGTGCGGAGGATGTAGACTGTTGTCATTGACATAGTACTGGATTCCGGGGGAGACGTGAAAGTAGATGTGGACAAGTGTTTGTGCATAGGGACCATGACAACCCTCTTCTTCATTCCCATGCCCATCCAGCTCTTGATCCGCTCACACACCCCTACCTCCGCGCTCTGAATTCCAGCATGCAGCTGCCGGCTAAGTCGTTTGAAGATTCCCGGCCTGGCCCATGCAAGGGTACACACGGCGACGATGAGGACCGAGACCGGGAGGTAAACTGCAAGTGCGAGGAGGGTGGGTTGCAGCGGCATCTGTGCGATGTGGGTTAGTATGGGTTGTTAAAGAGGGAGTGGGAATGCAGGATAGTGAGGGAGGGCAGGGGAGGGGGGAAGATACTTACCTTATCTGATGGATGGGAATACCGAGGATGAAGGTGTGGTTGAGATCTAGGACTAGCCGAGATGTGCGTGGGGGTGGGGGAATGCGAGAGAAGATGTTGTATGCCGGTCTGGTCTTGGAGGCGTGGAGATGGGGTTGCGTAGCTCTCACTTCACTTCGTTGGCGGCTTGGAGAAGTCGGTCTTTGCTTGGGGCCTGTTTTTTAGCTGTGCTGTAATGCTGGGAGGGAAGCCGTTGCTAGGATTAACTGATATGACCTTGTGGTCTTGGTCAGGTACCTGAGGTCGGTGGTGAGGCTGGGTCGACGAGAGGCGGAGGACAGGTTGGGGAGTGTGAAGGTGTGTGGCCGGGCCGTTTCATGCGCAAGACAAGTCATGTGCTGTGGCCGCCCGACATGCCGTTATTGAGGATTCTGTAAATAGAGGGAATGAGAGTAGCGGTGAGTGGCGGGTTGTGAAGGTTCAGGGAAGGTGAAAGATGATGAGAAGCTGTAGGCGAAGGCGAAAGCAAGGCATTCACGACATAGGCCTTTGGCTTGGCACGGGTGTACAAAGGAAAGAAGCATGACGATAAGCTAAGGTTCCCCTTTAATGATGCGGAGGCACCTCTTGTCCACCATACCAAGAGTCTCGAGTCCTTGTAGACACCAACTGCGAACCGAGTAGATCTCAAGGCGACGAGTCCTTCATGGAAATCGACGACGAACATAAGCATACCCAATCCCATCATGCTTTTAATAGCGCTGATATGTGATGTGCTCCGAGCCGTTCATTGGCATCATAGGCGATCCCATTCCCATCTATGCCATGCCATTGATACCTATAAGGAGGTGAATGATGGCAACGGTAACATGTATGCAGACGAGCTTCAGCACCAAACAAAGCCACGACACAATATATTAGAATTCTTTCCTTTATTCCTCCAAAAATCTTTCAACAAAGTCCAGTATTGTAAGTGAAGGCCCGTACGTCCTCCTGGGAGAGGGCACGCGAGGGTGCTGGTAAAGACGTAATAAAAGGCAGCCCTCGACGTCGAAATATGTGTTAAATGGGCGTGTACCTTCCGTTAGACGCTTGGGCAAGATTTTTGCTCAGGAAGCAACGGACGGTATCCCTCGCCCCAGTGTACGAGGATTGACTGAGTGGCACATGGATGATTATCTGTTGCAGTATAGGCAGCTGGGGCTAAAGCTGTGATTTCAAGAACTCCGACGAGGCTCGATATTGGTGTTCGAGGAGGCAGATTGTGGTTCTTGGAAGTCTTCGGGGTTTGGCTAGCATCCTTGAACAGGGTGGTTGGTAATTCTTTGTTCACGTCTTTGTTCCATGTCATTCCCTAGATGAGAAGGATTAGGCTTCATATGGAATATATGAGGGTGCTGGCGTGGCTGGTGTAAAAATTTATGGGACGCTTAAAGCATCAAGAGTTGTGGGATGCTGGACTTGTGGTCAGCAATGATGAGTCTTCGAAGGAACTGGGAGAAAAGGGATGTGAGGTAACGTACTAGATTGGGAACCCTGTTCACGACCTTGTTGAACATAATTTCACCTGCGCCTTCTGCGTTGAAGTTCTGCATATCTTTAGACATCCGAATAGAGGGCCAGGTGCAAGTCTCTTTAGACATCTGAATGAAGAGCACGTAGCGAGCTGACTCGCACCCGGCCCTCCCCGGCTAGCCAATAGAGTCAGCTATGACAAAGCTTAGCACTAGAACGTAAGATGCCAAACGACACAGTATAGGGATAAGAATGTCGCCCCACCAATGGAGGAGGGAGTAAGGTATAGTAATAGATGCCGGCCGATAGTAGTCAGCAGTAAGGGTAAGAATCTGCAGAGTGTCAGCAAGAGTCAGTGTGACACTGTGGTGAAGGGTTGTCGGGAGGGATGGCGGATTTGGGGTTGAGAATGGCCTTAGGAGGCTCCAACTAAGGTGTGCGTGGTAGGGTGGCTAATGTGATGATGCCGGCGACTCTCGAGGCTGTCGGCGTTTGTCCAAACAGGCCGGTTAGCTCGACGGGTCGAGGGGGGTAATGTCGACAGGATGCTGATTCTAACATGGCGTGGTGATGGCGGTGCTTTCAATAGATCCTGATGCCAAAACGGTTGTGTGGTGAGCTGGGCGAGGCTGCTGGACCATCCGCCAAGCGTGGCCATTTCTGTGGTGGCGATGGTCGAGGCCGGGTAGCCCGGTTGAGAGGGTTCTGTGGATGTGCGTGGGGAGCAATGGGGGTGAGGGTTGCTGAAGGGAGGCTAGAGGGCTAACTTACACAATGCAAGAATGACGTCGAACAGAGCGGTTGGTGGAGGATAGAGGAGAGCAGAAAGCTGGGGAGTGGCCGGTACTTAAGGCCGCAGAGAGGCAAGCGGGCGGAGGAAGGAGCTATGCTGCATGCTTTCTTCTGTTTGCAATGCTAAGGCCCCGCGGCCGGGCTGTGAGGGGAAGAAATTTGGTGTGAGCTCCTCCTGATTGGCCTTGGCGCTTCACGCCTGCCCTACCATCAACCCCTCTCCACCAACCCACCAGCAACAGCACCTCGAATCCGACAGTCGCCCTTTCTAGCCTCTCTTTAGGCTCGGGTGTCATGCTCCTAAGGCATCCTCCTCGTTTCCGGCATCCAAGAGGCCGCCACGACCCTAGTTAGTGTCCTTCACTTCGACCTACCCACCGCCCTAGGGCGGCAATGGCAGCCCATTAGTGCCTGCAACCTATCGGGGAAGTCTACGAGCTCCTTCGGGCAGATAGAAGTTTCGAGATGGTAGCGAGATGGTAGCGAGAAAGACGCTGCTGGTGTCGACCGATCATGAGAGGCTGCGCTACGGCGTCGGCGATCTGGTGAGTCCCCCTTACCCATCCCTCCGTCCCAAAATTGCCCTGCATTCCTTGCGCACTGCCTGGAGACGCTCGCGAAGGCCATGCGGGAGTGCTCAGTGCCTTTCAACGGTGTCCTTCGAGGCTGCGGGCAATCGGCGCCCCTGGAGGGTCTCGTTGATCTCTAGTCAGCCGCGACGACGAAGTCCCCAAACCCTGACTAAAATCTTCCCCGAAAGACCCTGCAAAAGGCTCTGAGCGAGAGCTTCAGGCGTCTTGAGAACAATGTCAAGGACTTGCTGAGGTGGGCGACGGTGTGAGTCGGCTTGGCGCCGCCATTCACTTGGGAAACTGACCGGCCCAATACCCAACACCAGGCCTTTAGTAGCTCGATACCTTTGCCACCGGTGGCCATACTAACAAACGCAATAGTGATGAGGCGCCAAGACGTATGCTACACCATTGAGATCCAACGACATTGTCGACTCCCCGGGGGCTAGCTAGCGGAAATGTCCTGGTAACTAACCATAGAAAATGACCGATACCTTTGACAGGGCGCATATACGTCCCAAAAATGGAAGACCTTGTTTGACAAAGCTAATGGAGCGAGAAATTTGACACGGAGGACGGACACATGCGTACACAATGTACGCGAGGAAGACCTATGGGGGATGATGGCTGGCTGGCTGTCTATATCCTACCTATAGCTATTGCGAGCGACCACGCCGCGCAAACTATTTCGCTGGACTCACACCAGCCCCTATCCTCAATCCTACAGTAGGGATTTTTCGGTATCGAACGATGACTGCGCGACTTGATCTATGAGGATGTTCGAGTCTGTCGACGACCATCCTTGAAGGCCAACGATCCCCGAAGACCGAGCGTACCCCACGAAGTTCGATTTAGAATGAAGTTTTCTCCTGGGGTATTCTGTTTCTACATCTCATGATGCCGAGGGGATCTTCGGACAATCCCGTGCAGCGCTCGTACCAAGTCTGCCCGGGTGCGTCAACGGAGTCACTCTCTCATGTTTTGGTGAAAGCTTAATGGAACACGCCGCTCTCTCACCAGGACAATCATCAGGTATGATGCACTTTCAGCTGCCTTCCCCTTGACTCAGCAAGACCAAACTCGAAGCTGGAGGAGAGATTGTCAGCATCGGCACATGGCCAACATCATCTCATGGATCCTCTCTGTGCATTAAATGGAGCCACACAGGGGACGTCCTTCAAGTCCACTGGATCATACATTGGATGTAGAGTTTTCCTCAATGCATTTATTCGAATGACGTTGGGTGTCGGTCGGACATCGGAAATCAGACATGGGACGAATGAAACCGAGTGGCTAGTGCTCGCTACCTGTGGCTTGTTAGCGGATCGCACACTTCGCTCCCAAGGTTGCTCAAACCTGACACCTGACCGGAGAAAGAGGAGAGAACTCGTCCAACATAATTGGCAGACGCCGCGGCTGGAATCTAAATTGGAGGCGCTGCTGGTTTGTGCCTGCTCTTTAATCACCCCATATCCCTGCAGAATCCGTCCAGCGCGCCATTCTTGCCTTGAATATCATCCATGGATCCAGACGAGAAGATCGAGGGGCTATTTTCTCGAGGTCATTGAGTCCAACGTCGGTCCACGTCGACAGCCTCGCCAATACCTTTCCAAATCGTGAATACTCTTACTTTTCCCATCCGGCTCCTAACCCAAACACACCTGTGAATGCTGTACGGATATCAATGGCCAAGCATGACGCTATACGACTGCTCTTACTATGCTCAATAGCAGAAAGATTACATACCATCAGCAACTCTTGAAGACTACTGGGTGGATACTCTGCTTACGACATTAGTTCGTTGAGCAGATACTGAGGTGGACTTGACTCCGAGTCTCTCGCCCTCCACAGAGTTTCGATTAACATGCTGCCTCTTTCTGTCGGATAGCTGTCAGATTCCACAAGACCTCTGCATGGATGCTCTCTCTCACCTACGGAATGTCACCAAATCTGTCTCTTGCATCGGCGCCTCGACTTTACCTGCACAGGGCATTGCGCTCACCGAGGTCTCTCAACGGATCCATACCTCCCTCTTGACTACCCATTCTGTCAGATGTCCTCGAAAACGGTAAGCCAGTTTCAGGCATATGAAGTCAGCTCACCTTCCTGTCAGCCAATCTCTGTTCCCTCTTCTTGTCTTGGGCTCCTGCTAATATGTGTAATGCAGTTTCTTTACTTCGATGTCTCAATGCGTTCTTGCTCTCACCGATATACTCTAGCCTCTGCATCAAAGCTGCTCACAAATTCTCTCGTTACCCCTTTACTGCAACTTCTTCACACCGCTTCATATCTGACGGCCGAAAATCATCATTATGGATGCCTGATTAAAGCCCGAGCCAAACTAATTGCGACAAAGAGACAACCGGGTCGACCGTCAGTATTGCATAACGGCACTGGCCGGATTGATTCGGGGGCCTACATTAGGCTGGGGTAGTTTTACTGGCTGGTAACTTTCCTTTTGTGTGGTATCTACCTCTTTCAAACCCCTGTTCTCTCCTGTGATATTGGCCTTGCCTATTTCTTTGTCGTCGCTTTTCTTGTTGCCATCCCTTTTGAAAATCGACTTCGTTTCTCTTGTCCATCTCCTCTTTATCTTTTCGCACATCTTCTCTGCACTCTTCCAAAGTAACGTCATCTTTTCCAAATTTTCAATATCGTATTCTCTATTCTTCTTCACCAACATTAATCTCTGGCGTGCCATTGGACTTTATTTTTTCACCTTACTGCTCATTACTGAAGCCATATCCTTCGCTCTTGTCATGACTCGTGTATTGCGTTCACATCGTCGTTGATCGGTTATTGTCGTTATCTTTCACGTGCCGGCAACCTTGTTCGTTCTTCTGACTTTAGGATACCTATAGAGCTCCGGCTCTTTCACGTCTGTTGGCTTGTGTCGCCTAGTGTTCTGGTTCTCGCCTGTTTGTCTTTTTAAAGTCATCTATCATCTAGCAGTTCGGCTCATGTTATTTGTTGTTGATTCTATCTCCGCTCTCGTCACTGGCTGGGTCGTTGGCCCTGTGCCATTTAATCGCGTCTTTCGTCTTGTCGTCCTAGCTCTTCCTCAACTCGGCTAGGCTTTCTTGCGTAGAACTTCTTGCCGTGTCTTTTCTTCAGTCCTACCCGTCCTCATTTCTGCTCGACCCAAAAGCGGCCTTCTCTTTGCGCTTCTACTTTGTGTCGTCACTCTTGATTTTAATCTTGCTTTGAAGTTCTTACAGCATCTCTGGTCTAACTCGTTCCTTGTTTGCTTCATTCTTCTCTCATTCTATGCATAGTCTCCTCTTTACTCCCGAACGGACATTCGTGCACCTTTCGACTTGCGTGGGTCGCTCTTTTTGTTTCCCGCCTCTTCGTTGTTATTTGCAAAGCGCTATTGCTTTTAAACCAATTCAAGTTGCGGGCACTTGCCTCGCTTTCGTTCCGCAGAAGTCACTTTTCATCGTACCGTGCTCTCCAATCATTATCGTTTTCTACCCCTCTGGTTAATTCTGCACCCGCAGTCCTCATTGTTGCGAATTCTCACCTCCAATTTCCTGGGTCTTCTTCCATGCTAAGCTTCTCGCCTTCTTTCTTTCGGCTCTTCAGTGGCATCTCTCGTCTTCCAGTCTTTATTTCTTCGTTAATTTTCTAACTTGCAGGGTTAACTTCACCGCCAATCTCTCTCGTTATCGTATTTTCAGTTGGATCCTGATTCTGTTGTCGATTCTTACTGTAATCCCCATCCAATGTCTTTTCTCAGTCGTCCACTCTTCATTTCAGTTTCTTGTAGCCCTAGATTTTTGATGCTGCCGGTAAGTTCCCCGCCTCCTCACTAATTACTGTTGATCCGCGTTCTTGCGGAAGTCGGTTTATTTGCGCAGTCGTCTCTTCCAAAACTCGGGTCTCCTTCGTCCTCACAAGTCTTCCTAGACCTCCATCATTTGCAATGTTTCTCGTCAAACCTATCCTCCTAGCCACCCCCGCTTCTAACGTCTCCGATTCTTGTCCTTCTTTCTTTTCATTTATCTCTCCGCTCGTCATCGCGTTTCTCTTTGATCGAACTCTTCGCCACCTAGTGGCTTTCACACTTGCCGTATCTCACCCCCAGAGCTCTTTCCATTTTAGCACCCTCATTGTCGAAGTTTCCTCGATTGTTCCCTCCGTCATTCCATTGCGCCCGGTATTTTTGCTAGACACTGGCTATTCCCGCTAGCTCGATTCTGTTGTTTTGTTAACATTTTGTCACTTGCCTCAATCTTTCAGCTACCCCTCTCTAGCTCCCCTTTCCAACTTTCCAGTCTTGCGAGCCAATTTGCTTTTGAAAATTAATTAATTCAAGACTTTTCGCTAGATCGTCGTTTCAAAATTGCTGTCTCGGTCTTCGTTTCTAAGTCCCTGTCATTCGTCAGCTCCGTATCATTCGATCTTTAGACTCGCAGTCTTTCTCCTCTTAAACCTCCCAATCCTAGCCTCAACAAAATCACCGCTCCCCACACTCACAGTAGCGGTGGTGCCCGAAGGCTTTTTTACAATTTTATTGTAGCCTCCGACGGCTACCGGCCACGCCCTACCACCAGCTATCCCCTTCGCAGAAAAGAAAACTTCCGGGAAGCCGCCAGAGGACGCCGACAGAAACCTGCGAAACATAGTAAACGAGTTCTAACCGAAGGGACGTACTATTGGGCTTGCAGCAGTTGATACCAACCTTCCACCTCTGCTCGGTCACTTGGGTAAACCCCAAGATCAGTTAAGATTCTCGGGGGAAGCAGGGGGGCTTGGGCCTGCTCATCTTCAGTCCTCGCACTTCCCACCATCTCGATCTGAGGATGAAATAAACAAGCTAATAGCACTGGGTTGCCCACTGTATGTCCGGCATCGGTGTCGTTGACGGTCTATTACGTCTCCCCGTGGATTTGGGGTGTTTTTTTTTTTTTTTTGCAACCGACGTTAAGGTACGGCCGCAAGATCGACATGATATCGAGCAGCATTTCCTGGTCTACCTTGCATCAACTTCTGATCCAACTCATCGATGTCGGTTGACTTCTCTCGGATGAATAGTTCCACCGTATTCACCTGCTGGATTATTTTCTATCCAGCAATCAACTTGGGCATTGCAACCTCGCTCATAAGCAACTGTCTCTTGCTCTCCGCCGTGCCTACTCTGCCTGGATCATAAAATGCGCTCGCATGGTTTGTCTTGTTTCTGGAAGGGAATTTCTCAGGCTCGAATGGGTCCATTGGGTCCGTAGATGGAATGGCCGCGATGTTAGTACGAAATGGACTCAAACTCAGCGCAGTCATAGGGCCCCGACATTACCTCCAGCTTCACGCATTCCACCGCCTCGAGGCGTCTGCCCCACTCAGGTTTCCTTCGGCCCTAAATCTGTTTTCAAGATATTTTCGCATTCGACTCCAGTTTCGATCGAAGTTTCTACGAGTAGGGGACCAGCTGAGATGGCGAAGTCGCTGTGGAAACTACCGCTGAATTGACTGGGGTCGTCTTGTCTGCATTTCCTATGTCAGGATTCAAGCCGCTAGCGAGGTTTCGGGAGAAGAGATGCAAGCGTTAGTCCCTCAACTCGCATTGAGGTAGAGGATTGTGTCTCAATCCAGAGAGGCTCTACAGAACATTTTCGACGTACCCGAGCGATAAATGGGCACACTCCCACATCTTATCTGATAAACCCCTTGCCACCCGGAGTCGGTAGAATCCGTGCTCACCTTCCTCTCCATACCCTCGTGGGTTTCGTCAATTCATTTCCGAACATCTTCTACTCTGCGCTTCTCTTTCTTCTTGGCCTTTGTCTTTTCAGCATAATATCTTTGTATACGATGGAGTGGCTAAATATATCTTGCGAATCGTGCGTCCACCTATTTTGTTATATAAGAAGCCTTGTGAATCCGCCGGTTTCATACTACGAGGACTTGTATAGTACTTGGAAAACTTTCGCCGAGCGCCTCTCAGACTCCGGAGGCCATACGATGATGACCTCATGGAGAGCTGGAAGGAAGCATCTCAGCTTAACATTCAAGTTCATATTCTGGAAATCTAAATAGGGCAAGTTCGTGCGCGAGGAATGTTCCGGTTTTGGTCGATGAACTTGATCCTGAACCCGACGGACGGACTCGAGCTTACTGATGAAGAATTCAAGCGGGGCAGAAGCGGTAATGCGAGGCAAGACGTGTTTATTCATGCAAAGATACCAGATGAGAGCCTGGAATTGCCACAGTTGCAACGAACCTGACACGGATTCTTGTACCCTGAACCTCCTGGATGGTCCACCAAACCCAGTATGCATCGTGTTGCTTGGCTGACCTTACTGCACGAGATCACTGTCAGTGCTTTCTTCATATGGATTTTAGTTAAGTCTTCCTACTTCCGCGAGGTCGCCGCCCATGTCCTTGTCGTCAGGACCCTCAACATGGTGTCTAAAGGTGTTGGTGCCATGGTTGCAACCCGTGCCTAGCTGCAAGCGGCGAATTTGTTTTACTGCTTTAAAAATTATCTGGTCTTCCGGATCCACTTCTTAGGCTTGTGGTAGTGCAGGTGCGATCTTCGTCCATTCGCTTGCGGGCGACGCACATCGAGAACTTAACGGCTCCATTCTTTCGCCCACTCATATGCCATCCGACAACTTGGTCGCATTGGGGTTAGGCAACACACTATGACTAAGTCCTGCGTTAATGGGATATAGTTTGCGTGGTCTGCCATGGAAACCGATCTTCTCGACATTCTTCAGGCAATCGAGCATCTAGCTGTATGCGGTCTTAACAGGGCACTCAACCTTCGTACTTTCAGGGTTTGGCTCAGCATCGACAACCAATTTCGTAAAGTCCTCATGGAAGCTACACCACTTATGTCGCCATATTGAGATGGCTCCTAAACGGGAACTTTCTCAGTAATCGTGAAGGAACCTACCTCACTGGACAAGTAACTCAACCAGTGCAAGCACATCGATGCGCTGCAACTGTTTCCTAGTTTTCACCATATCCCGGAATCCTGCTGTCGCTGCATCGGCATTTTTTTGCATCTTGGCTAAAGATCGGGAGCGATAGTGTCCTCTTCCAATATAGGGACCCCTTCGGAGACTCTAATTCCGCTCACGACCGTCACGAGAGAGTTTATGTCATCGGCCCTAGTCATTGCCGTTTATCTGACCCCTCGTTTGATCCAATTGAGCCTGCACTGCGACCGACTTGAAGAAATGGGCACTTGTCGTTCTGCTTCTGCGTACGCTGCGATGGGCGACAGAGCAAGTTGTCGACATTAATAAACGGCGTCCGTTGATGAAGTGGTGGGTCAAGGCAGCTGTTGGAGTCGCCATTGAAGCCTGGGCCCGTCTTCGACATCAATCCATGGGTAACTGTATTCGCGGATGTATTTGCCCTGATCCTTGAAACTGTGAAGCTGTCCAGGCAACTGATCCGATACTGCCCACCTTGGTGGGCCGCTGAAGAAGACTCGATAAACATCTTGGCAATGGAGAATAAATTCCATATCCGGTCTGAGAGGATCTTCGGGAACAAGCACCTGGCATGCAATTCCGCTCCAGGTTGGTTACAGGACCTTGCAACATCAGGTAGAGATACTAATTAATGTATTGCCTTCCAAACCTCGGGTGCGTCTTCAATACGAATCCGTGTAGGTAGCCCTAATCGCCAGCGTATTTTCCTTGCTTGTTGATGTTGCGGAGCGGTTTAGTCTGTCCGCCACCGCCCACTTCGGTGGGTACTTTTTACAACTATTGACATATGTATTGCTTGCTATTCCGGTTAGAAGGCTTCGTTGAGGTGAGCCTCCGGCTTATGCTGATGTTGTACTCGCAGTTGCGGAGTCAGGAGTGGGTACCACCGGAATCGTGGGAATGCGCAGGCGAGGCTTGTCAAGAGAGGAGGCTGGTAGTTCCATTCGATGCTGCTCGCACCACTTAAAGACCATTTTCATGACGGCCTCATTCAAATCAAGGGTGGGAGCAGCTTCGCCAGATTCTCCACCGAGATCCTCTAGAAAGTTCTTGATCAGGGTTGAGCTCTCAGCAACCTCGCACCGGTCGCCTGGAACCTAGCCGCAGTAATTGATAGACATCCCAAGGAAGAGGATCGCTGCCCCAAATTCTGCGGCGAGATCCCTAGCAATTTATCCGGACGTACCAGTTTCACAAGGTCATCGCCACAGTCCTTGTCGCCAACACCCTAGAACCTCTGTAATTATCGAATTACCAAAGTCTTGACAACTTCCCAATTAAGATTATGTAGCTCAACCGGGACCCTGCAATAGTTGCTAAAGATGCAGGCTTTGGAGCTCTCGACGGGATGCTTAGCTTCGCAATTTCATGGCCGTCTCAATCGATATCTCGGGCAATCGTCTATTTTCCAACGACCGTGGTCCAATTCCTCTTCAAGTTGTCCGACCAAGCTTGGGCTATTCTCAAACTTCATCTCGTCGTGCCGACATGGCCTCCTGCTTGAATTTATGGACGGTCGTGCTGCTTGTTATTGTATCGTGCATCTTCATTTGGCCTGGGGTTTAGGAAGTGTGCTCTTTATTCCATGTTGTGGGATTGCGTAAAAGCCTTGGAGGCTCACCCCGGAGCCCCAGGGTCCAGGTCCCTAAAAGTAGCTTGCAGGAATTGGCATTGGTTCTTGATGAACGAACGCGCGTAGACGGATCAATCGACGAGAACTTGGGTCCCATCCGTCAAAGTTCTCCGATAGCTTCGTGTTGACATGTTTGCCTGCCAACTCGGAACCAACTTCAAGTTTATCCCAGGGGTCTTTACCGAATTGTGGAACAGCGAGTGACTGATACGGTCAACGCCGAATTCAGGGACCAAAGGAGTTACTTAGATCAGCAATACTTGCGTTTTGAGGGTGAAGGAGGCCCGAACAATTAGTGTCAACACGGCGAACTTGTTCAGATATTCGACTGATTCGGAATTAGCAAATTCAGAGTAGTGAAAAATCTGTTCGGAACTTTCAGATAGCCAGACACTAGATCCAAGAGTACTAACGGCCTCCGAACTCCATTTCACAAGCCCACTCTGAGAAGTAGGATGATTGAATTCTTGGACCGCTGGAAGTCCGGCATGGGGTTGTATAGAAGCCGTACGGACTGGAACTCGTCGCTGCCCCGAGACTGCTTACATCTGCAGAACTAATTCTAGCTTCACGTATACCTGTACCTCGAAGTGTGTCGGGTGACCTCTACCAGTTGCGGGAGACAATGTTTTTCGATTCCCTACTCACCCGCGTCACTGGTGTGCTTATGTTTTTCTGGTATTATAATCCAGACAGAGGGGTGTTCTGAACAGCCGATGATCGTGCTCAGCTAGTTTATTTACTGCTGGTCTAGTATCTCCCATGGTCAGCTTTTTGAGCTTGTTTTTAGTTTTCCAACGGGTTCTCAATTCCGCTTCATGAAAGAAGAGAGCATCTCTGAAATATGGCATCCCAAGTTGACGATTAGGAAAATAACAGTGGTGACGTTCTCGAAGCAATATATCCACATATTTTGTTTCGAATTTTAGCATCCGGTATCGTACATACGATCTAGCAAGTTGCTGGTGGAATTTGTACACCCTCTGGTACGCGGTTAAACCATTTGGCGAAGACAACATTGCCAACGTCGGTCTTGTTATCATCGACTCTCATCTCTGAAATTTCCCATAGCGGAGTGTTAAGGGAAGTTACAACGTAGACTGGTAATTTGATATCCCCTTGCACGAACATGATGGTTGCGTGGCTGGCCATCCTAGCGCAGTAATAACGGAGGTCTTGACGCACAATTCGAGCACCAATATGCTCTCAATGGAGTTCGTAAAGGAAGTTTTGGGATCCCGTACCATAGTAAATGGGTAGAGATCTTAACATGTCTCTTTGTCGTTTAGGTATTGTCGAAAAGCGATCCATTTTGGACATCTTAAACCTCAGAAACTCCTCACGATCCTACTCGGGCATGGATCTTCGTACAAGAATAAATCTCGCTCATAAGACTGACCATTTCGCCCGGGTTATAAAATTTTTTGGTACCGAAGGTTTCCTCCTTAACGTATTTGCGTCTTCGGGGTTCAGAAATCGCCAGAAGACGATCCTCTTTCGATATCACAAAGCTCGGGAATCCCACACGGCGTTGTCGGAGTCCTTCTGACCCCCTTTATATTAGTTAGCGCGCCGGTTATATTATATAAAATGCTTCAAAGATAGCTCCTGTTGCGGTTTCGAAGTCGCCGGGTGTAGATGAGTACATTTTATTGCGGTCTCGATCTCGAGTGCTGTTGCTGCCATGCGGGAATACGCCTGATTTTGCCATCGCTACTATTATGTTTTTCTCGCTCCCCATCAAAGTGTTTTTTTTTTTTCGTGTTCTCGACCCTGGCGGTGTTTCCAGAGCTATGACTTGAGTCGAGAACGGTGAAGGTGGTTTGGCGGCCTTTGTGTATAGATGAGCATCCTCCAGCTTTCTAGACGAAAATAAGTCCGAGTTGTGGACCACCTGCCCACCTAAGCCCCTAGCAAGCGACTCACAGAGAGTATTGAAATTCGCCTACGACTACAGGGTACCGCCGACTTATCGGGCTAGCTTGCCAGGGCCGTTCCATGAATGAATTAAAGGGAAGCCCGGTGGAAGGACTCCAGAATACGGATCGGGAACCACCATCTCGTTACTATGATACATTGGGCACGGATATTAAAGTCATGTCTGGAGTGATACAGCTATCAGTGGTGTGTCCAATCGAGGCGGGGAGCGGTGTGGTGTTTCTATAGGAAGAGGCTCTGGAGAACATTCCTGATGCACCTGGACGATGGAGGTTCTCTAGAAGTTCATAATATTTGAATGGAGACGCCAACGGAGGAGGCAACCGCTGTTTGAACTGTCTCCTAAAGGGTACACCCCAGATTGACGAAACAGGATACTGGATGAAATTCGCAACAACTCGATGCGCTTGGGTGGGGCTTTCCCATCGACAACTGGAGCCTGTGAGGTCGTAGAAGCCTTAATAACAGAGCGGCGATTCAGAGGTTCTGGCTCCTCGATGCAGGCAATCTTGTGAATCATGGACAATCAGTTAAAGTTGTTGACGTTAACGCCGCCAACACCAGTGTGACCTTACGCGGACGCGCTGCTCCACCAAAGCCTCCAGTATGCGTGTCACGGTCATTAGCTCCGCTAAAGGCTATGCATAAGATATCGCAAAGACGTTTTGGATATCTCCAAGAACCCGTCCCGTTGTCGAGCTTGCTGAAGCTAGCGTAACGATGACCGTTGAGGCTAGTGGCCACAGTATTTCAAGTCTCTCCAGAAATCGAACCCATGGTTGCCGCTTCCATCTAGATATTGTATGGAAGCCCTCAACACGGTATTCCGTAGACTGGTGCCAGTATTTTCGCGCTTTCTCGGCGAAAGGCTAATGCTAGAACTGTTATTCCGTTCCGTCATCCTTCCTGAATACCTGTTTGGCGATAATAGTATGTGCGGGCGGTGGTGATGCAAAGACGCCGGGGAAGCCGCTGATGAAGCAACTCATGTTTCGAAACGAGTAAACACAAGAATTCGACCAGCCCAACGAAGGCAATGTTTCTAGTGTGGAGCCCATCTTAATTGGGCGCCACTTACACACAGAGATTCCTCCAGGATACCCAAAACGAGCCTGGGTTCTCCAAATGTGATCCCCTGTGACTCAAGTCCCATTCGGTAGAAAATCAGGCTCATTCCACTTTTTCTCACGGCTCGTTCATCTTGTCATATCTAACATATCTCATACTCGCAGTATGGGCACGCGATATGATGGTAAGGAGGGGCTTTCTCTTTCTTGACTCTGTTTCCAGTGGTCGTTTGTCCATATGAGAGAGATTACCGAATGAGTCGATGAGATACTTAGTCGCTAGGAGGATGTGTAAAAGTTCCGGAAGAACATGTTGCAGGTTTTGCAGAGGTCTTAGACACGTCCGATATCCGCTCGAAGCATATCGAAATACCGGATCCAATTCAATGTCATCGCGCTTGCCCTGTCACATGTTTGAATCGATAATGGATTTGAATGACCGCGGATCAAGTCGACAGAGTGGGGAGGTAGCTTTTCAATCCGCCTCTTTGTGTGTTTCTTTGAAGAGCTCATGGGCTCAAACCCAGAGATGAATTCTCATTTCCCTCGGCGGGAGCAATGCTCATGGAGTCAACGATGACACCCAAAGCGCTACTTCTGTGGTATTAAAGAGGCTCTTCTTCTTCAGTCAGTATCTTGGAGAGTGATGTTGTTGGAGGTGATATTGTTCGGCGGCAAAATGTCCCTGTCGTAGATTTCGCGAGGTTGAATACGATATCGAAACAGATCTGGCCAAGAACAGCAGCATAAAAATACAGAATGAATAGCGGCTTGCTTCGAACACTTGGCGGAGGTTGGGTGTTTTCAACTCAGAAAGGCGACCCTGAGGGTAACCTGGCTCCCCAAACCTCGAATTGACGACTCAGTGTTCGTGGACCTTGGTTATTCGCTGACTGGGACTCCCATGAAGCGAGATATATTGGTGGTATATTTAGAAGAGAGAGCCATTATGTCTGAATAAAAGGTCATATCTCAAGCTCCATTGGGCGTGGATTACTGGGTGGCTGTGGCCCCATGGGTGGCACTTCGATGTCTCCATTTTGCGGCGGAAGAGAGAGTGAGATGGTTGGTAAAGGGAGGACATAGTAAAGAGAATCCTAGATTTCTTGCAACACCAGCCGCTATCACTAGGCTGTAACCGCGTTCCACGTACTAACGCGGAGTGAGCCATCTAAGGAGTAGGCAAAAGTAAGGACAAGACACCGGTCAAGAGAAAGGAGCGATCCGAAAGCTGGGTGGTGTTCTTTCTATTTAGTTGTAAACCTTGGTAGCGGGAGAAGAAGACATGAGGGCGCAAGCTTGCCGGCCCTAGGATATAGAGATGAGGAGAGTTCCCTCATGGCCGAGACTTTGCGGTGGTGGTGAGAGTGCGAAAGCGTATCGTATTAGAGAAGGGGAAGAGTGAAGTTTGCGAACGGTCAATAGGAGGTGGTACCACAGATATGGTCCTCAAAATTGACGTCTTTTGTTTGGGAGATGAGGCGAGCAGCTTCTGAGGTCCTATAACTGGGCTGTTATTACTTGCGGTGCTCGCGAAACTGGAGAAACCGCCAATATTCTTACTCGGGGGCGAGGGGTGGGGTGTAGAGTACGAAACATGGACCTACGCTATCGTAGAAGCTCCTTCGAAGGCCGTAGGCTTCTCGTCTACAGAATCCATCACCCTCCTTACCCCAGGCCTCCCATCCACTTCGACAGACTTGATATTGGGACTCTGCTTCATGCAAATGAATTGCTAGGGCGAAATATGCCGGGAATGGACGTCTTGGGAAACCCGAGAAGTGTACTAATGCGGTAGAATGTAGGCAGGACAGTATTTGGGAGTTGGCAAGTTGCTACCAGCGTACTGGGATTTATTGAAGGAGAGACAGCCCATGTCGAGTTGTTCAGTGATATCGAATGGAGACGTGAGTAGTGTTACCGCTGGGGATGTACCGGTACAACTACGAGTGGGCTCTCTTTCATGCCTTGTCGTAGATTGCCATTGTAGTAAGCGCTCTAGATCATCTGGATAGATTCAGCGCTGATGTCGACGAAGAGATGACAGTCCATGAAATGCCGTATTGATCCATATAACGCGCGAGCCGAGTCCAGAGTCGTCCAAGAGACCACTCGCCGAGCTTTCGCGCCTCTTGACATAGGCTCCTTCTTTATGGCGTGGGTGCTGATGGTCTCGGGGCTAGTAAAGAAAAGATCAAATATCTTAGTCGGAATTGACGGAAATAGATCGCCTTGCGACAAAGACCCAATCCACCGGCATTTAGAATCTCCACGTGGAAGGGAGTCTGCCGGCCGCCTTGGTTGAGTCTGGAGCGCCATTCTCACCGACCCAAAGAATGTTACATCGACGACGGTGGCGGTCATGACAGTGACCTTCCTAACTTGGTCGCGTTCGATATTTAAATTACGTGGTTAGCTAAGCTGTAGAGCATCATGAGTGTTACGGCACGCTTACTGTGCGGTTAAGTATTCAACCCGATTTCTCCAGTGGTAGCGCCAATGGCACCAATAGCGAATGGTTCTTTGGCTAGCAACATACTGAAGAGCTTGTTCTTTGGGACCTGACATCCTATCTTCTTCTGTCTCGATGAAACTATCAGATCATCTGGATTCACAATCAACAGAGCGAGAAGAACAGGGAGGAGTACATACCTGTCGCTCCCATGACTGAAAATTGGCATGATGCTATTGATGGAGCCGTCCAAACTAGCGAGGATCTTCATTGGGCCTTCGCAAACTAAGTATATTACTTTGCCGATGATGTATTTGGCCCCGTGGTAGACTTGTTGACAGGTGGTCAAGATCGAGGTCGAGGTAGCTCGATACACCAAGACCACATTTTGATTGTTGCCTGTGTAGGGTCCGTCGTGGTCTCAGATAGCGTAGTGAACAATTTCTGAACTCGCAGCATCCGTGAAGCAAAACGGCTGGAAAGAGTTCACTATCTTGCTGTGTATGCTTGTCGACGCTTAGTACAGAAAGTCGATTGGCCATGAAGTCTTGGTCCTTGTCGCTCCCAGTGAGATAGCACCAGGAACACAGCCTAGAGTCGACGGTAACAAGCATATTTGCATAGTAAACAAACAACAGAAAAAAAAAAAAAAGACAGTGTATTGGGCAATTCAGGCCTGGTGGCGAAACCCAGCGGCGACTTATTGGGGGAGGAAGAGAGACGCTTGAACTATGGCGAAGGAGGAGCAGCTATTGGAAGTGAAGGGCGACGAAATTTTCATCTTGGCGTCCCCGCGTGAAGGTGGCATAAGTGTAGGAGACAGAGCCCGATCACCCCCAGCCTCGTAAGCCCACCCCTCAGTCGATGCGGGTCAGGAAACTTGCTGCGGAAGTCTTATGAGAAACAGCAAACCCCTTCGCACTGAACCAAGGTTTATAACCCATTGGTGGCAGAGATTGGGCAGTGTGGGCGATGGAGATGACTTGGCGACAAAGTGCATGTTAGCGAAGTACAGTGAGCCATTGATATCGCTCCTACAGTTTGAAAATACATGCCTTGATGGGTGTAGGCTAGGAAGCATGCTACAGGGCCCCCAATGAGCAGTGAAAACCAACTCTAGCTTGAAGACAGGCCCCCAGTTGTGAAGTTGGAATATTGTGTACTATGAGAGAGATCGCCCAACGAAGACGACACTAGCGGAGGAGAGCGAACGAGCCCCATTTTTCCCCGGCTCATAGGCGTGTACCTGGGCGATTGCATGCCAGGAAACCCCATACGAGGCCTTTATTAAGCAAAGACACTGTATCCAGCTATAACGCAGGCCCAGGACGCCCCAGCCGTGAAGTTTGAAGACTATAGGCAATAGAGCTGACTTCATGGCTCAAGGGAAGGTGAGTGAGGAACCCCATCACTCACTGGTTCACATGAACACATCATGATGGATACAGGGTAGAGAATATTGTGTGGACAACAGGAACTTTATCCCGTCTAGATACAGCTCAAGACTCCCTCGTAATTTAGGTAAGGTATCATGGGGTCAGACTTAATCTCACGATAACAGAAATCCGTGGGGCGGCAGAGCGCCAGACTGAAGACTCCAGTAGATTCACAACAAACTTGCTAGGGCGTCACGAACAACATAGGGTTTTCAGGAACTGACTGCAGGTTTGTACAAGCCTCTCCCATACGACATTCACGCCTGCGAAGCCTCCTGGAAGCTTCTTTGGTGGCAGAATGGAGGCGGATAACAGACTTGTGCTGCTGGGCAAAATTTTAGAAGTTTGGGAGAGCGCCGAGAATATCCCGCGACGCCCGGGACTTTATGTGGGTATATTTAAGCTTTGGTTGTGCGGCTACCATACCCAGAGGCTTTTTTGGCCTTAACGAAGGGGTTGGCAGCGGGCTCAAGCTTTTATGCCTCAGAGTAGAGCTGCTGAAGTACGGCGGGGTAGATCGTCAAAATCAGCTCGCGATGCTTGGAAGATTTCTATAGGTAAGTATAAACATCGGCGCGGCCATCAAACTTATCGCGAAGCTACTCGCTACTATTTTTGTGGCATCAAGGAACTAAACTTCAGACTCCGGATTCTAGCTGAGTTGTAGCTACCTTAAGAACCTCGAAAGCACAGCACGGCGTCCAGAAACCGCCACGAGACAGCACAAACATCGCCGGTGCGACCGCCAAGCTGCCACGAAGAAATTGCTGCATCATGTTGTGGTGGCAGAGGTACGTTATTCGGACTTCAGACTCTATTTGGCTGTCTGGAGCAGCAGCAGCGTGGAAGAGCATCGGAAACAGCGGGCAACACTTCGAAGCTCGCTGGGACTCAAGACAGCCCAAATCCAAACGGCCATTACGCTCGTAAAAAATTCCTAGCAGTTGCAACTCACTTGACACGTTATAATATAAATACGCCTCATTTTGTTGCTTAACTGAAAATCCGGCTTTGACGTGGCTCCCAGAAGCATTCCGCAAGACAAGACAAACGCCGCCTAGACGACCATCATTCTACCGTAAAACCGCTTGCAGCTTCGGTTTGCGCGCCGCTCTTTGCGCTCTGTAAGATTCAGCCGTACCTACCTCCCGCCGTGGTTATTCATCTAGGTTTGACGAACCTCTGCCTTCATTTCACCCTAGTTCCGCTATACCGACATCCTCCATATCTCCTTCAGCGCTTTTACTCCTTCCCCGGTCGCCAAATATCGCGTCAGCGCGTGTACTCCTATATTACAACTATAGCAGTGATTGGCGCATGTGTGGAGGCTAAACCAGGGACTTGTTGGAGGAACACCGGGAAAAGAGGGGACTTAAGAGGGGGGTGTAGGCTTTGAGGCTCAGTGTAGAAAGACCAATACCTATAATCGCGTTATACCATAGTGGGTGGGAATAGCGCATGGAGTATATGGGAACTTTACTAGGAAATGCAGTTACAAAAAGGCGTTTAGATGTATGCGAGAAGGTTTGCGCCTTTAACACGCTTACACTTCGCCTCGGCGTTGGTGGCCGCTTTTGAGCAGATATTGGGGGGGGGGCGCTCTGTTTGATACAAACTTTCTAAGCACTTTCTAGAATCAGCAGTGGCATTTCTATCTGTCCAAGGACGTTATGGATATGCGCGCCACTAATTGTACCTATCTAGCAACCTAGAAGACTTGAGCTTTAACATGAGAGTCAACTAAACAGGCGGCTGAGTTACAGTTTCGCTTGACTTCATGCAAAGTAGCGGGAGACTCGAATCAGATGGCTTACTCTAGTTCGAATTTGGCTACCTTAACTTCGATTTTAACACCTTCTGACTCCCCTTATTGTGCATCCTACCTTTCATACATATTCTGAACGGTCATGTGACTCCAACGCCGTCAAACCTTCGCAACGAAGCTACTAGACGAATTAGCACATTTGAACTACAATATACCATACAAACATCTCCCAGCGAACTCTACCACAGGGATAATTAAAGATCTGATGAATATAGGGCATGGAGTTGGGAGGGGTCGATTGGGTGATGATAACTACACTAGGTCAATTGAGCTATTGTGTCAGGCCAACTATATAGTTAATAAAAACAGGGACAGTCCTATATAGGATGCCAGTGTGGCTCAAGGACCCACGTTCACCTTTGACGCAGAGCCATGAGGGATAAAGTCACGTGCGACAGAAGCGACCCGTGCCACAACTGCATTTCAAACAATATAAATTCTAGGAGAGAATTCTTGCCAGTTTGACCTTATATAAGTAATTTCGGCTCCGCAGCCGCCTCGAAATTCTCTTCATACTCCAATGGGCCTTGATTTTGATTTGACACAAAGATTTCCAAAGGCAAACAGTTCTGTTTTTTTTCTGCAGTTTCCAATGAATCCATCACGCATAGCTAGCAGACTCCTGTTCGTAAAAGGCCGGTAGAATGCCTCTTTGGGGCATCTATAAGCTCATCCCATTTATCAATGGTTGCCAAAGTGGAAAACCGATCAATATCAATCTTGGAAAGGCCGTGATTGTTACCACAAGTATTCAAATCGCCTGGAAAGCGGAGAAGTTGTGGGCTTTCAAGGCACCTTAGTACATCAATGTCTCCCCCCAGTATCCATGGTCATGAACCGAGGTCATAACCTCGAGGAAATAAAATTGTACGCCTCGCTTCCTATGGTCCCTAATTTCTACGGGCAAAACATAATCCGTGAAACCCAGATGAAGAGTAGACTATGGAAAGAGTTACTCCTTTGGCCATCGAATGGGTAATGATTGATTATAACCCACTTATCATGATCAAGTCCGCACATTCGAACATCTACTATGGAGGCCACTAACGCAATTCCCAGTGGACCAAAATTACCAACTACTCTATGGATTTGGTTCCTGCCAACCTACTTCCATCGGTCACTGAGCAGACGATTTGTGATATAGAGGAAAATTCTAGACTACATAGCCATGGCTCTCAATGAATCTGGTTCAACATCATAGCCTCCCGACAGAAAATATAGAGGACAGTCAAATTCCTCCTCAAGCCTGAGTTTGAAATTACTACGGGCTAAATGAGGATTTCTACCTGTAGCGGAGAGTATGGTAACATTTTTGTACTGTTTGCGTCTTCTCTGATCTTTTACTCCATAGTGAAGTCCTGTTCGTCGATTCTGCCCCTAGCGTCCACTTATCATTCAATATGGGCTTATTGGACGCCTGTAGAGATATTCGCGCCTTTGGCATGAATTGATACAGGGATGACAAAGTGGGAACAATCCACAGTGAATCAAAAATGAGAGATCAAACACTATACTCTTTCCTAAGGGGGTTTCTCCAACTCATGAGCAGAGATAAGGACATCCATGAATGCCACATTAAGCATCATTACCAGGACACTACTGTTTATAGAATCAAGATCTTCAGTAGACTAATCATTGTCGAAGTCATTGTCAATAATATGAAGACGTATCTTGAAGCCGTAAATGTCTCTAGAATTCTCGTTCTTTCTGGAACTGTGACCCTTTCTCAAGCTCTAGGATTCGCCATAGTCAACTGGGATATCTGAATACAAGTCCCACGCAGACAGGCCGAGAAGTGGTGCTCCAGTTTGAATGCTCTGCCTCTTCCCATCAAGGATTTTCTTTACCGTGGGCATCACATCTTGCCCCGTCTAGATAAAACTATTGTATAGTATACTAAGGGCTATATATTAACTAGAAGGCCGATGTTGTTGATGATCAAGGAGAGCTGCGTTCGAGCTATGCTCAAAGCTTCGTCAGCTGTCGCGGTATACAAGCCCGCACAGGAATGGCGCCATTCCGCTTTTCTTCCTTTCTCCTCGCTTTCTTCTTGCTACCAGACGCTATGCTCTTGAACGAGATGCAGTTTAGTTGCTGAAGGTCTTTACACTGTACGATCAAATTACTGGCCTTTTTGTGTACTTAGCCTCTTGCGGTCTTTGGGGTCTCATATGTGGTGTCGAGTTCTATGTTGGTCATACATACCATTCAATTTAAAATGCAAGAAAATATTTAATATTATCGTAGTGCATAGTTTTTCATTGGTAGAAAGTATATTGCTTGGTCTGAGGAAGAAGGTTGTTTAGGAATCCGCATTTCATGAGAGAGAGAGCCTCCAAACTTTGGCATCACATCTAACATGCCATTACCAAGAATCCGAACGAGGCTAGAAACCACCGGACGCCGCAGCCAGTAGCTAAGTTCTCGGAAATTCCGACGGCGCCGAGATCCTAGCACAATTGTAGGCCTCCACAGTTCCTGGATCACGCTGCAGTCGAATATGGGGAGACGCGGCAATATTTCGCTTATGCATCCTGCCTTACGGGAAGATCTATATGTTGTCTAGCTACTTCCCTGGGCAAATGGAAGGAAGCATTGGACTGATAAACATCCCTGGTCCTTCAGGCACTTGGACTTTCATAACTCAATCCGAGTGGGTGTTCGTGTTACAGAAATACTTCTGGTGCGAGACATGGGTTTGGGAATGAGAAGACTATAGCCGAGGTGCTATTTTAGTTCTCTTTTAGTGGACACCAGGAGTAGACAGCCCGCAACCTACAGAGATATCACTAGCTCAGAAGCCTAGTGTGTGTCTGATATTTTTCCTCCATTGTCTACGAACTCCCCAACCCAATCCCGAATCCTTAACCCGCTGCCATCGCTCGAAATCTCCTCTTCTGAAGTTCCGGCAATGACAACATAAGAAAGATGCGAATCAGAACCCTCGACAGCTGCCACACCACCTGGGAGATTATAATGGGCGTGAATTTTGAGAGCAAGCTAATAGAGTTAACAGATCTGCAAGGGCTGTGGAGAGCTTTCAGGGAGGCTTATTCATGAAGCAGCATGCACGCCGGTCTTCCTTCAACAAGCTTTCGGTCGAAGGACAGCAAACCTTGGGTGCAAGAAAAGAAAAAAAAAATGGAGCCAAAGATTGCGCGTTGGACGCATGCCTCTGCATGTTTCCTACGAGACCCTTGAGGTTATACTTGCCGACAGGTTGAAAGAATGCTTCTGATTGGTTCACAGGCCACAACCATCTCAACCCCCACTTGCTTCCTACCACCTACTACACAAACGCACTCACTTGCATTGAATACATCACATGTTTATTTAAACAATCCAACTAATCCATCCCACTAGCATAATTAATTCGATCCCGCAGACCAACACGATATGATAACGATACATGGAGGTTGGGGGGTCAGGGATCGCTGTTGGGGAAGGCGCAACGGAAACCACGGCTCGGCGCGAGCCGCACATGTCGCGAATCATGAGCTTCTTTAGACGTCATTGTACACGACGACAATCAAGGCCACTTCGGAAACTATGATTGGTAAGAGATATAATATTTGCGCGTGCTATTATGGCAGCTATGTTTTGGAGGGGGCTGGATGTTCAAGTTGGAAAAGAATGTATGTCACTGTTGAGATCGGCGATCGGCAGCAGTCTTCGAACTGTGATGCAGCCTTCAAACCGCCCTTAACCACTGATCCCCGAGACACCGGCAAGACACGCAACCCGAGAAATCTTATAAGATCGGGACAGACTGAAATAAACCTTCCAGAGGTAGAAACTGATATAGAGAAAAATGGCCCACTAAGAACTCTGTGCAACTGTTAAATCGAAAACAATGCCTCAAGTCAAATAGGGCAGCTGTGAAGCTTATTGGGGACGGTAGTGCCCCATAAGTAGGGCGTGCGAGCAGTGAAATTTGTATTAACTTTACCTGTCTGACATAATTTTCCGAATCAATTTCGTGCCTTCATGGAAATATCTATAGTTTACGAAGGACAATGAATCCAACCCAGAGGACTATTCCATTAAAGCGTTAAAATGTGTTAAATCTAAAGCTGTTTAGGCTTGCATTTTCTAGTTATTCATATTGAGCTGTGACTTTAATTTCAGGAAAGAGTGATCTATCTCGCGGGCGGACGGCTGTAAAGCTGCCAGACTCCCAATTCTCAGGCCAAAACAGGTTGTAGAGGAGGGATTTGGAATAGTCAGTGCTATGAAATGGTATCTTGCGACGCGCCGGACTACCGGTCACTGCAATACGGCCAATTTCTCACCTTAACGAAACATACCTTTCGCATGTACGTATTTCTGACTTAGTTTATCTGTTTACAATAGTCAGGCATGGCTCTCACGATAGTCGCCTGCTCACACGATGGTCTCATGTTGGCAAGACTTACCCCTTTTTTTCATATGTATAGACCCCTAGGTGCACTCCTTTAGCAATCAACCCATTTCTTCATGTCTCTGGTGCTCCTCCTAGCTTCACATTATCCCTGCCTGAAATTTGGAGATTTTGCTGAAGGATACTACCGGGCACCAACCTGCCATGGTGCTTCTCACGTACTCGAGGTTCTAGCCATTGTGGTTGCAACTGCAGACGTAAGCGGCGTGACACTCGTGGGGCTGACGATAAGTCAATTTATCCCGTTATTTCATGTGCTCTACTGATATTCTGTAGACCCTACTCGGAAAGCAGACGGGGTTTGCTCTGGTCTTGTTCCTTTGTCTCTCAATTGCTGTTCTCGTATTTCTTCTATAAGATGTTAAGATGCAGATCGCCTGGCTGGAGATTAAATTCCAACCCATGAACCACGATGAACGAACTCCGCATCGCCCACCGTCACCATCTCCACCACCTCCGCTCTGAATAAAGGATTCTGCAGCTTGTGTACGTTAAGAGAGGAAACTATGAGGCGCTCTTATAAGTGTTCCAAGTTTTAGGGTATTTCGCGACGCAGTACTGACACGCTACAGAAACTAGCACTTCTAATAGGACGTCCTCCGTGCCGTACTGTCCCAGAGGGGTCAGCTACGGAGGTCTTATGGAGGTGCGTAGGTCCGCTGGCAAATTATAGGTGGTATTCAAGGTATTCTAGTGGCGTGAGATCTTTCCAAGCCGTTTAGACGCGGCGGCATAATAATGCTCGTACAGATGCTTTAAGGATGAGTTGTAATGGCTAATAACACACTTAGATTGGCGCATAAACTTATCTATTGGAATTAAGATAGATTTAATGGTTAAGGTATGATTCGGTATACGAGTGGGTTTAAAAACACCTTAGGTACTAGCAAGGCCACAGCAGCATAGGAGGTTGTACAGCAGATCTTCTGGTCAATGCTCCTCAACGCTACCGTTCAAGATAGAGGCTCTCTGAGTTCGGTGACTTCTCTAGAGGCATCTCCCAAGGCAACTCAACCAACACTAAAACAGGCCGCGCAACCATGCTCTTGGCCGTACTCAGCGTTCCAAAGCACGTCCAGCTTACTTGATACTTACAGCTTTATTTTAACGCACCATACTAAGTCCTGTTGGAAGCGCTGATATTATAAACCTGACTAACAAGCCGGTCCACAACCTCCACTAAACTATCTAGATACAGTGATACATGATCGTGACCTGGTACTTGGCTAGCACCGTCAGCCCCTACCTTCCAAGGCCCTGTCGCACTCCTCTATGTCCGAGCCCTCTGCAAACCCAAGAGATGTCCATATGTATGATTCGCTCTATCTTAAGCCTATTCTCCGTGCTACTTCTTTTAAGCGCCCTTGATGCCAACAACGCGACGCAAATGTGTCACCGTGATTAAAAAGAATACGGCTAGCAAAACGAACAGAAGAAGCCTTGACGCTTTACCAATCTTCGGATTGAAATAGCTGGGTGCTAGCGGCGAGACTCAAAGGTCTCGGCGATCTCCCGCAAGACTGTTCAATACGCTTCGTTTGAAGAATCAGAAGTAGAACAAATCGAGAGACGAGTCAGGTTGGCCACCAGTACTGCGTGAAGAGCAGCCTGTGCACCCAGTCGAGAACTAGTCGAAAGGTCACGTGGTCGCTTAAGGGATCCGGCAACGAACGACGCCACGGAGTCCTAGCGTAAGGAGGCGGCACCTATTCCTCAGATTGAACCGGAATAAAGACCTCGATTTCGAAGCGGTGTGGGCTCAGCACACATATTCGATGCGATGGATTATATTGAGCCTTGCAGCTTCTCAAGTTGCTGGATTCATATTTGGTAAGAACTGAGCGGCTCCCGAGCTACCCTTCTCTGCAGATACTATCGAGAAACGGAGTTGCCTAAGCGAAGCAGCTTAGCGGCAAAAAAAGTGCCTTGGTGTTAAATTGAAATAAGCAAGACACAGTAGCTATGAGGTACATCAAGGGATCGACATGTTTGTGAAACAGGACAGCATGATAGGAGAAGTTTGGACCTCACAGAGCGAGTCCACCCCGGCTGAGAGCAGCCGGCATGCCACTAACTCGTTTACAGCAAAATCTGAACAGTAATTTGTTAAATATAGACTTGATATAAAAATAAGAAAGGGTGGTTGAGTGAGATAGCGTGGGTAATGGGGATTTCCTTCGGGCGACGGCACATGTGTAGGCAAGAATTCAAGGCCGCTTCTTTTCGTTCTTTCAATTTTAGTACACAGGGATGCCACCCAGCTCGAAAGAGGCTAGATTAGCCACGCGTTTGAATTTAGATTGGTTACGCGAATCCTAAAAGAGTAGTGGCAATGGCTAGGGAACATTGATAACGTCGGTATATAGCGATTCGTATCCCTTTTCTCTTCGTAGTACATTTTGATTTATCCTGATTTCTGATTAAAAAAGTGCTGATTTCCTTTTAATGCTTTTCAAATCGTAGTTCCTAGCAAATAGAACCATAAACTAGTGGTGATGTTACAATTGGTTAAGATTTCTGTTATCCAAATGACACAACAGAAAATACCGCGTGATTCCTCAATCTCAGTTAATGCGATAAGTCGGCCTTTCCAGGGGCTTTTGCTCGTACCTCGGTCATGAATATTCCGCCTCGGCCTTCAAAAGGTTCGGATTTCGTTCTGGGAAAGAGTCGTATATTAACGAGGAGATCCAGGAACTGCTTGTTGGGATGAATGAGGTGCTATAACCCCGACGATGTGTGTGTTAGGAATGGGAGGGAAATGTGTTGTAGCTTTATCGGCCAGATATGAAATAACTGGTGAGCCCAAACCACCTTGGTAGCACGAAGATGGGTTCGAAGAAGAATCTGAATCACATGCCGTGGATAGGAGAGACGGAGTGGCAGGGACATGAGCCAAGACAGGAGAATGTTTGTATCACGAATCGGATAGCATTTGGGACAACGCCAGTCGTCTGTATACGACAATTCGGAGGTTAGTCTTCCAAGAGCGTAGGCTTATATACAGATTGGCCCCTTCCGGTATTTCAGCGCACTGGGTGTCGCGTAATCTACCCCTGAGATATGAAAAGTAGCTCAATCGCAATCGGCCTTTCAAGCTGGAATGCTATCATTTTTCATTGGTAGCCCCGAACGAAGAATGGTTGCATCGAGGAAGGCTTGGTCTTGACGATTGTGCAGATGCTGAAGGAAGAAAGGCGGGGGTGTCTTGGCGGTGAATTGACAATGGCGTGACATAATCAAGTTGAGCCGTGCGCAGGTCGGTGTGAAACGGGTGGAACCCCGCACGGGCACGTGCCCGGACTATTCACGGAATCGTGCACGTCACGAAACATCAAAAAAATGTGTAAGAGAGCATTTCTTTAGAGGGGTATTGAAAAGCAACCGTAGTGTCTGACCAGACATAGAAGGGAAAGGGGAAAATGCGTGTGCCACCGTGACTCGCCATGACATGAAGAAGCAGCCAAAGCCCAGAGCACGCCACCCACAGAAGACAGTAGATAAACTCCAGAACCGGGAGCCAGACTCCGACGCCATTGCCGCCATCGCATGTATGAGAAGATGCAGAAACATTGAAGAAATTAGGGAAAAGTTTTCAAGGCCTCACAGGGTTCGAGAATTCCAGGCCCTCCATGCGAAAGATCACACGGTGGCGCCATTGCTAGCGGGCCCGGTCATTGTCGGTGTTGCTGCTAGCAGATACACCTTGATGCCGAGTCTGACGTAGTATTAAAGAGAGACTCCGTGGATATGCAGATTAATCGAAAGCTGGATGTATAGTCTATGAAAGATCCATTGGGTCGTTAGGGGTGCTGCCTGGTCTGGATTTCGGTGCTGCAGGTGTATGAGACGGCTGATGGAGTAGATTCAGAAAGTTTGCCTGCTGTGTCGGGAAAGTGGGAACGTTGGGACCGTTTTTGATGCTACCGTGTTGGGGATAGGGGGAGTGATGCTTTGGGGGGCCGATTGGGGGACCCATGAGTCCAACATGCATCGAGTGAGCAGACGACTTTCGTTGGGGCTTTGACCGAGTGACTCGAGCGCGAGGAGCCGGGAAACACGCGTTCTTTACACGAGTCTGGAAATCAGCAGCGACGTTGTCGAACGGCTTGCGGTCTGCGAGCTCCTTCCAGCCAAGTTTCTGCTTCATACACTCAGCGCGACGATGGCTTATTGTTGAACCCTCAATACGGATGCCATTCTCCTCGAATCTCTTACAGATCTCTGACCGGGTCAGAATGAGCAGCACAATAAGAAGGCTAATGTTGTCGTTGTCCAAAAGATGAGGGGCAAAGTCGCACACATCGCACGCAAATTGCCGCATCTTGATTAGCTCGAGAGTGTCGGTGCAATGAACGAACTTCTGGGCCATGAGGTATGGACGAGTCATGTCGCGACAGATATGGGTCTGCAAGATGTGTGCAACTGAGGAAACAGACACGGGGTATATCTGCATGCGGTCGATCTTGTTCGTCGCAGTTGAAGAAACGGTTCCAGGGATGTAGATGATTTCGATGTCATCAAATGGACCACGAGGCTGGGGACCATGGCCTGGGCTTGGGCTTTGTGTGGCGATTAATGCTCGACGTGCAGCAATGACAGCCTCACGCGGGGTGTGCACTCCATTCTGAGCAGCGAGCTCACGAGAATCCGGATGCATTTCAAAGCGGGATAGTTTTCGCTCCACGTCGTGAGGGCGGATCCATTCCTCGGACCAGGGTTCGTCGGCAAGAACTTTGTAGAAGACTTTAGTGAGAGCGCGGAGCTTGATTTCTGTATCGTCAAGCTTCCGGTTTCCGAAGTACAACTCATCGGTAGCATGGTATGCTGAATCGATGAACTGCTTGCGATCTTTTTGCGTGAGTGACCCCGTGCGAGGATTGTCCCGATACTGCTGAATTATCTGCATGAATTTGGCATGGAAAATCTCGTCGAAATTCTCCTTAATTGGTGCTACAGCCACTATTAGTGATGTTGAAGAACAGAAACTCAGATATTGCGTCATACAATGGGGTGGTTGTGGCGGGGAGGCTAAAGTAGGAACACCCTGAATGATTGGCGCAGGTGACATCGTGCCCAGAACGTGGATTGCCGAATAAATCGCAAAATGGAGATGAGGAAAGGGGCAATCGACGGAACTGTGAGAATCTTGATGAGGGTCGATGGTGATGTCGGCGCACGCCGTCCCTGGTCGTCGATGTTAGTGGTGAGAGTTGCGAGGTTGAGATTCGAGGTGCGAGGTAAAATCATTCACGATTCGCGTAGCTAGTGGCTTGGCAATAGACCAGCCAGTCACATGCTTACGCCAACCGTGGTGTTGCAGGGGAGAATGTTTACCAAAATCGAAAATTAAACTGACACATCGTATCGCTGTACCGATATTAGCGTCCTTCTGCCCTAAAGCTGCAGCAGGCAAGGGGTTTGGAAGACTGCAGCTGGATTATAAGCGGAACGCAACGTACTACAATAACCCGACCCACCTCTACCGACCACCCAGACGGGTAGCTGGCAGAGGGCCGGGTGCCGGCACCCTGTCCCAGGGTCCCACGCTACTTCAAGGCTAGTAAATATCCTTATCCCTCTGCAAAGCTAAGGTTCCTTACCATCGGGCCGCGTCCTTGGTGTCCTTTGGTGGAGGGCTAATCAGAATGAGCTTTAGGTTATTACAGGTCAGATTTCGACATCGTCTTACGTTGGAGGGCGTTCGCGCTCCAAGCCCTCCAACAGAGGCTGCTCCTCCAGGGGCGGGGACATGGAGGGTCGGGGACGGCGGTGGGGGGCGCGGCGGAGGCGGGCGCTATGAGATATTAGACTTGATCTACTATCTCTTGGGCATAGAATGGAAGAGGGACTTACGAAGCGGCTTGGACGATGTCCTCCCAAAGCTCGGCGAGCTTCTTCATAATCCCCATTACGGGCAAGGAGCAAGGCTGTGGGACGGGAGAAAGGGTTGGGGGAGAGTGTGAGGATGTGGGTTAGTGTCTATGAACAGGACTACCGTTTGTGTTTTAAGCTCCTATGCGTGCACGGACCAGACAAGCAGTCTTCACTGCGCTATTGTGGCGTTAATTTGCCTGAATATCTCATATTTGGGCCATAAGAGTCCGAGCCGTCCATAGCGCTAGATACACCCTTAAAGAAGCTAATATCTCCATTCCTACTTACCAACATCCACCAACAAATACTGAGGGATCAGTGGTCATTATTAGCATTACATTATATAAAATTACATCTACGCAGAATCTAGTGGATGCCAATACCATCCGTAGTGGGAAATTGTTTTTCATAAAATAATAGATGTAGAGATGATGGTAAAGTTGAAGTTATTTTCGTATAATGCATCTTTTCGTATGTCGTCATAACCCTTTCTTTTTCTAGGAATTCTAGCGCTAAGCCAAAACCTAGTTTCCTTAGTATTTCTGCAGCATCTAGTAGTGTTGTAATACTTTTCTCTATGTTTTGAATACAGCAGAATGATCCCATTTCAGCTCTCAAGACGTCCATTTCTTCCAAGCACGCTAGCTACCCTGTGAACTCATCAATCCCCTATTCTCCCTGGTCCGCAGTGTCCTCTTAGCTGGTGGTGGACTATAAAGTCATCATAGTTGCCAAGTGTGGTATATGGGCGGATGGTTGGGCTTGCCTGCCGCCTTTAGCTTGGCTGTAGTATTTTGGATACCAGGCACTGCAGGTTGCTCAGATCACGGTGGTTTTTAGAATCATTAAGCGCGTCTACTACCTTGCGTTTCGTTCCTGTCTTCAGTGGGCTGCCTATGTCTGGTGCTTGACTCAGCTGGACGGACGCTGAAGAATTTAAGTTAGAATTCCATAGAATCCATACTGTCTTAAAAGCGAGCCTTGCCTAACGGAATTTCTTCATTAGAACTCGTGACATAACACGAAAGGTTTTAGCCTCATCACCCACATCCGGGCATGCATTCCTGTGCTGCTTGGTTGAATCCTCGTCTTAGTAGACTTTTGAAGTCGTACTTGCAGCAATAGGTCCACTTCCGTGGACTTGGGTCACAAGCACATAGCGTCCTAATGACTCACCCCTTCTACTTGTGCCCGAATTACTGACAGCTAACTCAAGCCCTGACGTGGGGAATATGGAGTCGCAGCCCCTTCAATTCCTACACTAGAGGCATCCAGCGCGATACTAGACTCCCTAGTTTCGAGAGACGTGCTAGTGGGTGACAGGGCGCAAAATGGCGGGTCTAGAAACTTTTATTGGATTATCAGACCGATTTTTGACACTCTAAATTGTCTCCAGTCTATGATTTAGCCTTATTTATCTTTTCTGGAGGTATTATTGCTTGCTGCTATAAAGAACTAAACGTACATCAACCTATTAAACCAAGTACGGACCGCATTACCGTAAGTTACTCCTCAAATAGGAGGAGGGAGTGGAGGGTTTATATATACGCAAGCCACTGGGAGAATGACTTCCGCCTTGCTACGTCCCACCACCCAACCTTGTATGATTCTAACAATCACAAGCGGATTGTATACCATATAGCTACTCCTTATTATTAAGCCACTTTTTGGGAAAACACGGGATTCGGCAATATCGTTCCCGCACACTCCACCAATTCCCCCCTATAAAGACGGTCCTGATGCCACACCAAATCTTTTGAGGTCTCTACCTAGCTGCTAGGAAGGCGTCACACTCTAAGAGTCCTAAACGGGGCCAAAGAGCACCGCTCAAGCTTTTCGTCGTAAGTCACGTCGCTCACTTTCCATGGTGCTTTCGTGACGAAATTATTTGTCACGAAGATGTATCACTTAAAATTATAATAAGACACTCCCAACATCTACACTTTTCTTTTCCTTTCTTACAACAGAAAGGGGTTGGAGAAGGTTTGTATCCGTTATAAGCCTCCCTAATATCTGCTAGCTCCTTGTGAAGTCGGTGTCCAGTGCCTATTAGCGGTTTCTCATTTACTTTAGACATGAAATGGGCTAGAGGCGGAAGAGCAGGAACTCTTGTCGCTAGCCGCCCTCTCCAAAACGAGGAATGTTTGCAAGGTCTTATGGCAGGTATTCAAGGTCGTAAGTGGACACTGTGTTAAAGCATATCCTTCAATCAACGGGATGGCAATAATGCGAAACACTAAGCAAGAGTACAATATCTAGCCATTGCCTTCCCCTAGCCAGCATGCGTATTCCACCTTGCTCCTTTTTCAAAAAACTTAGCTAAGTAGTTTTTGATGTCAAATGAGGGAACTACAAGTAACATTTGGCAAACAATTGTATCTACCCTTTTGTTACAGAGCTTCATATAATTAGTTCAATATTGCGTCGTCACAACATTGGCTCCGCTACGCAAAATAGGGTATAGCAACGTTTGAATATCTGCCAGCAGCGGGCACAGTGCTCCATTCAGAATTACACCTACGAAGGGATTGCCTAGGTATTTATCTCATTCTGCCTCAGCAGAGTACCTGAGGCTTAATCCCTCTTAGTAGAATATGTGATTTCCTGATGGTGGCGGGTGCAGTATTTGGTACAATGCTACACTCGCTGGAACTTCCTAGCTATTCTCAGTTATCTTTAATGGATTTCCACTTCGCCAGGTTCCCTGGAAGGAACTGTGCATCCTCAGGAGTAGCTCACGTGACCCCATGACCTCACCATATTTCAATTGACCTCAGCTTTGTATCAAAAAACTTGAAACGAACTTCGGCTAGATCCTTCACAACCAGAACTAGTTCAGCCTACAAAAACCATTATTTAACGCAATAATGTACTAGTCACAACAAGTACCCAGAGATCATTTTTCGGCATCAGTTCCGTTCCCTTATATAACGTGCCTCAGTTCCCGTCCATTCCATCTCAGCAGGCTCCACTTTGAAGTTTGAATAATGCAGATTAAGCATGAAATACCCTTCTGTCCTGTATTGTGGGCATGGTAGGTCAGTTCTAGATAAAGAAAGCCAATTCGATTTCCCTCGCATGGCGAATAGTTGTTTGTGCCATATTTCCATCTAAAATATCTTGCTTTGCACCCAGTGACAGAGGAACGGTGAAATAATCTCTGACTGGAGGATATTTAGCCGTAGGGACGCAAGATGGACTCGAGCTGTAGCTGAACAATCGTATCAACCCAAAACCATAGTCTAGGTATATAAGCCCTCCTAACGTTTGGTTGGCAAAAATAAAACGCTCCAGCACCATTACCTAGGGCATCTTAACCTTCTAGTAAGAGAAGGAGACTAATTCGTGGATATCAATTGTGCCGCAGATGACCTTAAAGTTGGAAAGCTTTGTGAGCAACTCGGAGCAGCTGCTGAGTAACAGAGTCCATATTCCATTTTCAGATAACAACTGCAGGCTCTGAGCGTTGCTACAAGCTTACAGTCAAATTAATATTAGTAAGGTACCTCAAAAACTGAAATATGTGCCATCGTTCGCTTCGTCGTTAGCCGCTCTACAATCGCCCAAGTTGGGATAATTATTGTACTGTGGCGACGCTGCATATTGAAAGTAGTAGTTCTTCTAGGCCGAGGTCCTAAATTGGCTGTTATCTATTGAGCCTGTGTTGACAAGACTATCTTACATTTCATGAAACCCTTGAATCTTTTTAATATCGTCTTTTCAACGGTCGTCTCGATGAAGTCATCGCGACATTGTTGTGGATTAGCAGGTAGATGATTAGATTTTCGGTTACAGGGATTCGTACGGGAGTAGCCATCAAATCTAAATGCTACATGACGATCGTGTGCTGAGATGTTGCCGTCTTTCGAGATTGCGGTGGGCTTGTTTAAGTTCGGGACATCGAGGAAAAACTGGGCAGTTGTGAAACACCGCCTGCCGAACACGAACAAAGACTCAAAGAGAGGTAAATGAAAGAGGCACTTTCGTCCTTTAGCGTATTCGCATACGCTCTCAATTATTTTCGGGAGCATTGGATTGAGTTTGTGGTAAGTTATAACGTAAAATACGCTTTCACTAGCCAATGTGCAACCAGGGCTTCCAACGAGGCGTAGTACTGTACGATTGGGCGATTTTGAGGCCTGTACAGGTGAGATTTTGTGTACGTTCGTACGACAGGGAGGAGGAGAGGTAGGTGTCCGTATTGTAACTGTTACAGCTCACATGATCTGTACAAGTAGTACAATTTAATTAAAGTACACTGTACTCTAGTTAAAACAGCTAAGACTATAGGTCTCTAGAGACGTAAAATTAAGGTCTAATTAACTATAAAATAACTAGTTCTTTCTAGTAACAAGAGCAGATAGGACTAGATAAGGCCTGTAAGGCGGCAAGAGGCGTAGATAGATAACTCTGCAATAGAAAATAGTCTGTAATAGGCATTTTTAAGACAACAGACTGCAGATAGATAGATTAAACCCCTTAAAAAGATATTTAAGCGCCTGTAGGCCTCCTGCTTGCTAGAGCCCTTCTACCCCTCTAGAACTCCTATATAAACTTCCTAAAAGGGTAATATAATTTGTACTACGTACTGTACCTAGGGCATCATTAATTGTACAGTACAGCTCACGAACTCGGTACGTTCGTACTGAACACGTGACCGTTACGGTTCACTTTGTACGGACCGTAGTACGGCCCGTTGGAAGCCCTGTACAGTGCAACATCCTATCGAGCAAGCGTGCTAAATCCTCGTGCTAAAACACAGAGCGTTCGTCAGGACGGAGAAACTTTAAAGTGCATACTTTCCAAAGGCTAAGCGTCTTAAATCCTGGATCTGTTCATCTTCCCTAATAGAAGTAATGTATTCAGGCACTGAAATTAAATCTTATGCTAATAGTCGTAGTAGAGGACAGGTACAAAGTAAATACACTTCTAGACGCTCCAAAACAAAAGATCAACAACACGATCAGGAGCCCTGTAGTTTTTAATTGCATACTAGCTCTCTAGGGAGGAATGCCTAAAGAATATAACTATATTAGTCATAACTTGATTAAAGCGTGGGGTAGAGAATTCAGAAGCCTAAACAATATTTTCATTCCGGCACAAGTGGTTTTCCGGCACTCATGGAAGGACGTTAGTTAGGTCGTCAGAAGAGGGCTAAGTGTGAGGGCTCGTATTCGATTTTGCGGTTCCCCAATGGAAGCTTGCGCGGGCTTGGGATGGTTAGCTGAGAGTAAAGTAGTTGCAGTTCAGAACCTAGAGGTTAGAGTAAGTTGAAGCACTTGTAAACATGGCAAGAGAAGAGTTGCAGTAGTCTTCTTGCCTATATTGGAACTATCGTGAAGTTTGGACATTCACCCAATTCACAGCCTATAGACCATGGTAAATTGAGAGGCATGTAAAATCAACAATTGCGGGTTTCAGGGGGCCTACTTACGTAGATTTGAACCACAATTACTCCAGCCTCTATGGCTATCGAATTTGCAGGCTCTAGATTAGAGTTGGCAGGCTTGCAAAAAGGGTAATAAAGTGTTGTGAGAAGCCTCCCTCCGCAAATTGCGAGAGCATTAACGCTGATGGCCTAATCGATTAATTTATAGGCTGCCAATTTTCGTTAGGTAAAGAATTCAAAATGAGGTGAGGAAAAACATAACAAGGGGAGTGCTGGGGAGCAGTCCACCCATTTCACCTAAATTCCTCCATTACTGCCAATATTGTATAAACCCCATGGCTATTTTGTACCTTCCTTCTTCTTTCCTCCGTACTTCCGCCTCCCGCCGGCTAACGGGAGGAACAATTTAACGAGAGTAACTAGTTGGCTGCCGCGATAATTTCGAATCCCAACTGCAAGAGAGCTCAGCCTGCCGGCGTTGCGGACGAAGATGTAAATAGCTTACAAAAAAGTTACTATACCATGTTTGTCGCCGTATGTTTGCTCCGGTGATGTGAGATTGGGAATTGAACTTCAGAGGAGAGAACTACATCTTCGAGATGAATGATGCTGAAGTACCCCTCTCTGTTAAAATTGTACTCTGAATATTTCGTTCTGCGAATTTTTCTTTCATCAATAATCGGCATCTTTACCTAGAGACTCAAGGTCTCGGTTGGGTCAGCACTGCTCTATTGCGAGCACCCTTTGCTATTACCTATATATGAAGTTTTCCTAGCCTGGAACCCAGTTAAACTTGAAAGAGACATGAAGTTGTTATCTGATATTCCTTCTACGTTAGTTAGAAGAACTATGGTTGAGAAAATAACATGTAATCGATTGGACACGTGGGAGCCAGGATGGAATGGGGATCCACCCCTGCTGCGTTAGAATATGAGTCTACTTTCCAAGCCCCCGGTACCCTAAAGCGCCATCTATATGCTCGTCAAAAGGCAGAAAAAATATCGAAACAAACCCCTTTCACATCTACCCAGTCGGCGCCCACTTACTCCTCTCCCTAATCTTCGCCCCATAAATATAAAATAGTGCCGGCACGGGCGCAAACCCCACACATAAAAACCCTAATAAACTCGTTGCCCACGGTACGCCAAGATTCTGATACATTGCATGTGTGAACAACGGGAAAAAAGCACCAAACAGTGATCGAATAAACGTGTTCACCGCAATTGCACTATTACTATAAAATCCATAGCAATCAATCAGATACGACATCCCTTGCCAGAACGGAACCATGCAACCGAGACCGATTAGAGCCGTGGAGAGGACTTGAGGTACCCAGGTGATGTGCGGGTTGGATGTCCATGCGAACCAGAATAGACCGATGGGAAGTGCGATGGCACCGGCGATCATGGGCGGGAGACGTTCTTCAGGAATGGACTTTCCATGTTTATTGTAGGCACGGGTGAAGTTGGTGGCGGTGGAGTAGGCGATCATGGCGGCGCCGAGGGCGATTCCGACGATGAATGCTGTGAAGGGGAGGGTTGAGACGCCAAGGGACCAGCCACGTTCTTCCAGGAAGGATACAGGGTACTAAAATAGTGTTAGTTGAATCATGCCTAAAGAAATGGACCGATATGTGAATGATAGTGTCATGAAAATTTCCGAAGCCTAGAAATTGGGGCGAACTTGCCGCTTCAAAGAGCAGATAAACGATCCCGTAGAGAAAGCTCATGTATGCTGTCACGAGTGCCAAGATCGGCTCTTGAATGAACATCTTAAACGGGCGAACGAGATATACGGTGACAACCGTAGATGTAGTCAGCTTATTCTCGTCGGCTTTTGAGTGGAACGCTGGGTTACCCGTCTCCTTTCGCAGCTTTGCCGCGCGGATTTGCAGGATCCTTGCTGGAGACGTCTCAGGAATTATCAGGGCCGCGATTGATCCAAAAAGGCCGGCCATGATGAGTGTAATCCATGACGTCCATCGCCATCCAAGATGTGATTCCGTGATGAATCCTCCTGCGATTGGTCCGGCCACGGGTCCTGCAAATCCACCCGCTGCAAAGACGCAAATCGCATATGCTCGAGGTATGGGTTCCCAGAGATCGGCTAGCGCACCTCCAACGACTGACAAAGGAGCTGCAGCAAAGAAACCGCCGAGGAAGCGCCCGACCATTATTGTAGCGACGTTCTGAGCGACTGCGACGGGGATTTGGAAGATTGCAAACAGGATGTAGCCGATAAAGAGGGGTGGGCGGCGGCCAAGAACTTCTGACATGGGACCAAAGACAATGGGACCGAAGACAAAGCCCTGGAAACATCCTAATTAGCCTTGGTAGCAGTCTTGCGTGGGGTATGCAGGGAGCATACCAGCACAAAAAGTGCAACGCCCAAGGTGGCGACTACCGTGCTCGTGTTGAATTTCTCCTGTACCACTCCAATATTGACACTAAAGATTGAGCTTGCAAAAGTGACGGTAAACACGAGAGATCCCATTGACAGCGTTATCGCCCATCTCCTTTTAGTGGTCCAGTTCTTGGGGTTCCCCGCATCGTTCGGTCCCTCAAACTCCACTAATTCGGATTGTCGCTGTAGCTGCTGTCTGTTTTCCGTAGATTCTTGTGGAAGGTCATGTAGACGCTTCTCAATATCTCCAATGGCTTCATTCGAAGTCGCGAAGTCGTCCACACCTTTTGTCGCTTTCTCATTGGCTGGCGGGAGGGGTTCATCAGCCGAGGATTGGTTGGACGGTGTTTGCGATAGGATTGGCCCTAGCGGCGTGATTTCCGCAGCCATTGCTAATCAATATCGTGTGGGACTGGTACTGAAGATGCCGAGCGCCCTGGGGGAACAGACGGTATTTAACGAGTGCCATACTAGGTGTTGTAGTTCCCTTGTTATTTCCGGAGAAAAGAAGGAGTTAGCCGTAGGAAAACTAGCTAGTGGTGCCGATCAGCCGGACCTTTTCCTTGGGTCACAAAAGGGCGGAGTCCTGTATGTCGTCACTGAGATCTGCGGCTCAATAATGTTAACGTTGACGCCCTTTTTCATTTGCGAATTGCGATGAGTGGGCATCGGATGATGTAAGTGACGCTAATGACTGTTGATGACGGCAGGCTTTTGCTCGGAGTTATTCGTTCTCTTGGCTTACCCCAGTACACCCAAAATCCCCAGCCTGAATCGGGCCGTGCGATGGCTGCTGAGTAACGCTCTTACTCTTCCTGGGTGCCCCTCAAAGCTTCATTGAACCTCATCCGTCCGCTACCGCCGTCGCGCACACAATACCACATGGCAACAAACTAATTAGCCTTCATGCATGAGTAGCCCTAAGCATATCTTATCTTTGCGTATATCCTAAGCCGCCATCCACTGACCCTTTGCGTTTATTACTCCCCTTATTTTTACGACCCTACGCAACTGACCTATCATCTATGCATCGTCATCCATCATGGGGAGAGGGGACTGCTTAGTTTCTAGTCTAATCGAACCAGTCAACATGCTTAAGTGCTAGGCCTCTCTTCTTCAGGGACTGAACAATTTGCCCTAAGTGTCGAGTAAATATTGTGCACTTGTAAATATAACGCCTTGTCAGTAAGTTCTTCCTAGACTCATTCTTGCATGACACGATGAAACGCAGGAGGAAAATTCTTTATTGCAGGTGTTCTCATCATTCAAGTTCATCAATGCTGCATTAGCGTCTGCCTATGCGGAAAAAGGAAACATGATCATCTCTTCAATTTCCGGCCTACGTTCGCATTTATTAAACTCAATCTCCAATCATCCCGCTCCCTAATCCCGGCATCTCAGCATCTAAAACAAAGAGCCTGCTATCTTCACTCTTAGACCCTTTTCTGCTTAGCTCTTAACATGAGTGGGTTTCCTTTTCACCCTTTCGTTAAGCACTCGTAATTCTCTAAGCTTAAATCCTTTTCAACGTGATCATGTCCACGCTCCTGTCCTTCTTCGCTCCCTAGGCCCCGGTCCGTGGACGAGGATGCTATCTGGTGATCTAATCTAGGGCTCTTGAAAAATTCGAGCCGCAACTGTAGCGGCCGCGCCAGGCGATTTCGTAGCCAGGTTGAAATGGATCATGGACATGAACCTGCCTCAGCGCTAATGACATGTTCGCCGGTAGGTGGGAATGTGGCTTGCAAAAGCGCATCTAGGACAGTAGTGTAGACGAGCGTGAGGACTTGGCCTGGGACTGCGGGAATCGGATAGCAGCAGCGAGAGCAATCTGCTTTAAACAAAGCACTATTTCAGATACAGTGAGCCCCGAATCTAAGTTTCGTGATCTTGAGGTCTTCCACAGATATCCAGAGAGAGTTTCCATCCAGCACGGCCTTTAGTTTCTTGACGCGCGGCGATGCAATAGCGATTAGGGCTGTATCTACCTTGCACCGGGCATTAAGCACCTCATTCTCCCCAAGACTCTGCCATTATCTTACCTGATGCTGTGATCTTTATTCTGTAGCATACCTATCATGTCGAGGATCCACAACACCTTCCTCCTCCGCCCGATCGCAACACACTACACCTGAGACGCAAAATCCACAGGTTTCACGATACCCGTTAAAGCTTTCATGCTATATTGTTGAAGAAGCTTGGTTTCCCAAAAGCATAAGTCTAATTAAAGCTAAGCGTGCAGAAGACGAGGCGCGGAGCCGAGTAGTCTTGTGCGGTGAAAAGACGGATGACGATGCGTTCGAGGATTTTGGTTAGGAGGTGGACCAGCGCAATGTTTGGTGGTGGTTATGTTTGAGGCGGAAGGGGTAGAAAGGGGCATTGGAATTGGCGTCCGAATATGCATTGTGCTCGTCCCCATTAATGTCAGATATGGTCAGAGGCCACTACTTCAGAGTAGCACTAGGCTAGTAGTTAAATTTTTCACCGTCAGCAAGTCCCATTTCCCGAGTCAGCAGCGTTTGTAGTCCTCAAACTGCTCTGCAGTGAACTAGTCACGTAGCCGACACGCGCCACGCCACTAATTAGCTCCCGTAGTCCAAAAAATCCCGAGAAAAGTAATTTCCAACCTCAGTTTTTGGCCAATATAAAGCGGTTGCGGTTGCGGAGTTCTCCGAGCTCCACCACCTGCTCGTATTCATCCGCTGCCTACCTTAGCACCATGCTGCCTAGCTCACCCCTTTGCATATATAAACCACTAGAATACGCGCCTTAAGCAATCGAGTCGGTTTCTCAGGACCTTGGCACTCCCAAAAGCTTCACATGAATCGTTTAAATTTTAGTTTATTCGTACTCCGGACATTTGGTTGAAGTCAACGACATTTTGGACCAAATGTAGAGGTAGAAAAAGATTGTCAAACATTTTCTTCCACTTTCTTCCACTTTTCCACCCCCAATGGCTAAAAACTAAAACTGCTGGAATGACACATATCGCCAACTCCAAAGTGCAGCGCAAAAACCGAGCCGGTAAAGGTAAACATGGGGCATACTATGTACATATAGGCAAGAAGATCCGCGAGGATGATATAGTGTATGGTATGGGGAAAGGGTACGCGATATGAAGGAATTGGGTATGGGGTATACATATGAATAATGAACTGTATAGGAAGGCAGCAGAAGGAAATACCGGCTTTGTCGCTGTAGTACGTATAGCACGAGGAGGCGCAGTAATGAGAGAATGATGAGAACACCGGCCTGGTCTATTGAAGATCGCGAGACGCCCAGCCCACAGGAATATGAGAATTTTCCAAGGGATACAGGAAGAAATGGGAAGGAACCGCTAGAAGGAAAAGTCAAGCGAAAGAAAAGGCCCATTCAAACCAACCCACAGGGATGATCTAACGTGAATAAAGAAGCGAACGGTAAGGTTTCAAACCCTCCTCTTCCCATGGCCATGCCCATGTTTCCCAAGCCCAAGCCTAGGCCCATACCCAGCAACCCTATCTTCCTCGTTCTCGCTCCTACTGTCGTCGTAGTCGTCCTCGAACCCAACAACCTTGCCCATGTTGCGGGTAGCTTGCTTCGCACGGTCGTGTCCGCGGGTGCGATCTTCAGTAGCACGATCAATGACTTCCTCGCCACGTCGGCGAAGAGTGCGTTGTCGGTCGTCAGAAGGCTGGCGATGGTGAGTGGGTGCGGTTTCTCGGGGAAGCGCTTCTCGCATATCTCGCGCAGCCCATGTGTCGCGGGGTGGCATTGGTGGAGAGTGGCGGGCAGCAGCAAGAGGCTGAGCGAATGGGTTATCGCTATAGGGTAGGTGGCGAGCTGATGGACGGGCCTGCGCTGATGGAGGTTGCGAAAATAAAGGTGTTGAAGGCTGTTGGTGGTGCGAGCTTGACGGGCGAGTCGAGAAGGGTTGTGGGAACGTTGTATTGAGAGGCGGGAGATTTGCGGGTGGAATAGGCTGGTGGACGGAAACTCGTTTGCTGTTTGACCTACCAAGGCCCACTGGAGGAGCGTTTGATGAGATGCTGTTGCGTCGAGATGAGACAGAACCGCGGCGGCCAATGCCTGGGCCGTCATTTGTGACGGAGTAACGGTCATCTCGTCGTGGGCTCCAATAGGCCTGAGATGTTTCTTGCTGCTGTCTCAAGAATGCCGCTCGCTCATCTCGCTCTCGCTGCTCAGCAGCCTCGCGCTCACGTGCCATCTGAGCCTGGGTTTCCATCAGCAACAGCTCGCGTTCCTTCTGCGCGATTTCCTGGGTGATTGAATTCCTCCGGGACTGCGAATGTCGCTTGAGGGGGTCGCGGGTCGGCGGTCGTGAGTCTCGTTTTTCAGAAACTCGAACTTTAGACTCGGCCTCTTCAGCTTGCTTCTTCCGCCGGGCAACCTCATCTTTCAGTCGGTTACGTTCCGTCGGCTTCTCTTTCTTAGCGTCCTTCGCTGCACGCTCATCTTGTTCTTTTAGCTTCCGTTGCCTATACTCCTCCCGCTCTTCCGCCCTCCTCTTCTCGCTCTCGGCGAGCAGATTTTCTGCTCGTTCCTTTGCCCTAGCGTCTGCGCGGCCAAGCTCAAACCTGACCTGCTTCGCTTCCTGATCCTGCATGGACCGCGCTAGAAGTTCGTCGGCTTCCTCCTGGCGTTTCTTCTCGGCTTTCTTCTCGGCCTCGGCCTTCAGCTTCCGTTGACGTGCACGATCGGCGTCACGATCAGTGATCTCAGGAGCTGCGGCTCGCGTGAAACTGCCATTGGGGGAGCTGGAAGGGCCATGAAATTCCGCATAGTCAAGAGGGAACAATCCATCTGATGCAATGTTCTCTTTAGGCGCACTGTCATTTGGGGTTGCAATACGGTAAGAATGATTTGAAGGGGCAGGCGCATGTGTCACAGTGGGCGATGATGGCGTAAAAGTATTTGAGGAAGCCCCATGGGGAGGATTGTGCACAATAGTCGGAGGGTACCGGGCAGGACGACGGGTAGAAGGCGAGTCAGGTTCTGAGGTTGCATACAAAGAAGGAGGCTGGCTTGAGGTCGTGAAGGAGGAGGCTGAGGAAGTGTGGCGGTGGTGGCTTTTCGGCGCAGCGGTTACGATGTTGAAGGCTGGTGATTGGCTGAATTGGTTAGGTGGAGAAACAGAAGCCTCTGGGTACCCAGTGAATACGGTGTAGGATGCGTCAGAGCCAGGAGAGTCGATGTGCACTTCGTTCGACGACGCAATGGAAACTGCGCCAAGCGACGTGCGTTTGTGGCCAGGTGCTGGGTACCGTTTGCTCTTGTCCTTCTTGGAACCGATATTGATGATGATTTCCGGTTTGATCGTTCGAGTGGTCCCATCTCGAGTTGAGGGACGACGAGTGACTCCTGCAGGTCGTCGCTTCTCGACCAGGTAGGTTCCAGTACCAGTAGGGGTGGGCGGATTGTAGGAAGCCGGTGAAGATGCATCATCACGGGTTACTGAAGGTGGCTGCGAGTAGTATTCGATGGTCTTCCTGGATACATTGTTGCAGAGCATTCCACGGCGAGCATTGTGGCAGGGAAACGGGTCTTCAAACGTCTTACGGACGCCATCCACGACGTAGACTCGCTCCTCCACTCGGCACATCGCGAAAGCTGCCTTCCGACTCTCTCGTCGGGTCGAGGTTAAGATGAGCTCTGCTGCGAGCCTGTGCTTCTGTTGTTAAATGGCACAGTCGATGCTTCCGAGATTGGGGTTGCGGGTGAATGCGCTTATCCCGAATTAATATCCGAAGTCCGAACTATGGAAACGATGGTCGGCAACGACACCGAAGCGTGAAGAGGCGTGGGAAGCTGATTTCGAGCAATGATTCTGACTGTTCGAAGTGAATCCGGCGGTCATGAATGTACTCCTCGTGGTCTTACAGTCTCTTGTAGATGATGTTGGGTAGTCGTGACAACTTAAGGGAGCAGGTGACGGGCCGACTGAAACAAGTCGCAAACAGAAGGACTCGAACACTGAAAAAAGGCGTTGACGATAGTGATGAACAGTGTGAGAGTGTTGAAGAGAGTCAGAGGAGTGTGCCAAAAAATAAAAGATGTCGTGCAGGAGCAGGATGCAGGAGGTTATGCACGGCGTAAAACAAAAGTAGCAGCCCTACAGGGCAGTCGTTGGTATAAGTAGATGGTGCAGCGAGGGTGCAGCGAGAGTGCAGCCTGAAATGCGGGCGTGCGAGTGGTCAGGGGAGAAATTGCACAGCAGACTGAGGGGCAGCGCCTCTGAAGAAGAAAAGCCAGGCCGCAATGAGCACCGCGAGATTTGCATGAACGGCTCCCCGTCCGTCGTCGTGGGGTCCATCTCGAGGATGATGTCTGGGAGGTCTGGTCGGCAATGAAGCGTGCACTGCCTCGACGAGCGTGAATCAGCCACAACCCGACCTGTGAGCCCCTGTCTGGGACCGGTGTGTCTGTGCCTGACGAGAGACCGCCGTCGGGAAATCCATCATTGGTGAATTACCAGTGCAAGAGCGGCCGACTCGAGTCCGGTGTGCGCCGACGTGGTCATTCGCAGCACTCAGGATTGTTGTCTCAGAGCTTCGTGGCGGCTAACCACCACATTGAAGACTATGGAAAAACGCCCTACCTTGTTTAATTGCCGCTGAAATCACCAGAGACACTACTGGGCGCGCATCGCGCAGGATGATGCGTTATCTGGTGATGCCGATGCTGGTGATGCCGATGGGTGAGGAGTGTGTGAGTGTCGCCGGACAGCTGAGGCAGATGGTCGGAGAGTGGAGGCTATGCAGTCATCCCCCTTTCACTAGCCACGGCTTGCACATCACCCCAGGCACGAGACAGCCATCCCACCACGACTGTCCAATGCCCGACGAGTGCTGCTGAGGCTGGTGGTGCTGACTTGGACCCTCGATTCGCTGCCAGTGTTCGAGACGCGGCACGCAGGAGCGGGCGCTAGGGAGTCAACCGTCCTGGGCAAGCAAAGATGCGGCGTTCACAGGGCGTGCGAATTTGCACTCGTTCCTAGTCGAAACTCTCCCATCGTGAGGCTGCAGTCGCCCAGTGATGTTGCGGAACACCCTCGTTCTCAGAAGGAAGATGCACTAACTAAACGGTCTCCGATAGCTTCAGTTATTGATGCTTGGGGGGGCAAAACTCGCTGCCCGCGTGAGCACGATCCGCCTTGTTGCCTTGAACGCGGCCGAAGTCGGGAAAGCTTCGCATACCACTCTAGGCAAGAGATCAAATTTCAAACATCTATCGAGATATCGCCACGGCTGGTCACATCGAGCCAACCTAGTGGCGGGCTCAACTTGGGGTCGTATTACTTGCTCATTTGCGTTGCCGCCGACCCGTATCTGAGCCTAAGATTCTTAGGACGCAATGGAAGGTTCGATCGGTGACTGTGAGCACAACCCCCAAAGCAACCTCGAAGATCCTCAGCTCCAAGTCCGGAAGTTACATGAACACGAATCGTTATCTCTGGAAGATATTTTGAGGCGTGCATATCGAACTGTTAAGTTACACCGCCGACATGTCGAACGCAGTTGATCATCCGCCTTGTGCAAAAGCCACAGGTTTACGTAGGCTCTGAAACTTTCTGGAGAAACGACAAGACGGGTTTGGGGGCCGCGCTTCGATGGCAGCCCTTGTACTCATGAAAATATTCGGCCACAGCGAAAGGCCGCTTTTTGTTGATTACATTCACCATGACCGTGATATCATGACTTTTCGGGGAAGCCTCTTGGACGAATCCGGCAACACAAACTGCAAAGCCACACCTGTCAGCAGCCACAACTTGGTGACAGAGCGCTCGAACACGAGGGAGCGATTGTGGCTCACGAATTTCGCTTGGAAACGTTGGGTAAGAGAGGAGAATATTGAATGACTCTGGTCATTCATCACTCCCCAATGGATGAAAGACACGAGTTAATGGAGTCCTTCATTTCGTCTCCTGCTGCTTGCGCCAAAAGGATGATCGCTGATGGTAATAAAAAATAACGCATCTATTATCGAAACCCCAAGACGTTTTGGGAACATTCCTCACACAAACACCTTCTCCAGAGCTTCGAAACATGCTTCGCTGAGCTTATTCCACTCCCACTAGCAAACAAGCTATCCTAGATAAAATCCATCTCCCGCTGAAGTACGATGCTGCCGTGGGTAGCGGGAGCACTGGTTTGGATTGGCTTTGATCGGTTGAGCTTCAGCCACGGAAGCCACAGCAGGCTTACCCCTGAGTGGTTTGGCGCGTGGCACAGCTTTTTCGACTGCACCTCCAACTCTCATGAAACCTCCATCCTAGCGTGGTCCGTCTCACTCAGCATCGCCTCCGAAGCAGCGAAGCTCGCAAATCCTCAAGATTTCCAACTTGCCCGCCATGCGGCCGTAACTCCGAGGCCCGACGGGAAGCTCTCTTCAGCTCCCACGCGCCCAGTATCTACTGTGAACTCCTCTGATGCCAGACTTGCATTCTAGTGCTAGGTGTACACTGCCGCCGAAGAATCGTACCGCCCACGGTGTAGCCACGACCATTCGTCCTCGCCACGTACTTTCATGCCCTTTGCGGCACAGCAGAGGCAGTGAGCGCTGTCACCACTTACCAGAAAACCTTCTTTTACCCGCACGGCGAGAACCAGTCAACCCGAATCCTGCACCTAGTTTCAAACCCTGTGTAACGGGAGGCCTTCTGGTCACAGTATTATTATCCGCAGTATCCGTCCACAACAGTAATCTACATACGCAAGTATCACGGCATCAGCTTTCGCTGAAAACATCTCGAGGCTTTCCATTATCTGTCTGTCTGGTGCAAGATCTACCTGTAAGGCGTCCCACCAGTTACTATTTAGTTTCGATACGTAGGAGAGGGAGACATTGGAAATTGGCTCCCTTGTTGTCAATTTACTGAAAGAAATCTCAAACATTCCAAAATCTCAACACTTTCCATGCATCCAAACTTAGCCCGTGGTCGCCGCGGCCCCCACAGCCTCACCCCAGCCTCACCCGCACTTCATGCTTCAAGGTTCTGATGTGTCTACTCTATCTAAGATTATCGAAGCCCGAATCCTCCGGCCACAGGCTAGGGCCTTATTTAATCCTAGCCGAGCCTGGTATTAATGTGTACTGTAAGCCTCCCGCATAGAATCCTTCAGCATTTCCTCAGCGCCACAGCGCTCTCCGCGGCTCGGGAACTACGCCACAGAACGTTCACTTAAGACTGTTGAGGCCCAATCATAGCCCCCAAATGTAATCGTTTTGTGTATGCTATGACTCCGAGGACTAGGAAGGAGCATTTAGGTATGGGAATGTGTCCCCTGTCCAGCTGAGGATGCTTGCCACTCTGAGGGTGAGGAGGACGGGCGGGATGGATGGGCCGAAGTAGGCGGCGGGAGTTTGAGCAGGGTGGGTGTAGGCTGCAGCCTTGTTTGCGGGGAAGGATTCGGGTCAGATGAGGATGGGAGAGCGCTACGCCGTACGCGTATGGTGGATATCACGTGTCTTGCTTTCTTCCTGCCCGCTCCACTCATCAAGTAGGTCCACAGCCCTGTGTTTCGAGTTCTCTCATCAGGTGAGGAGGTATGAGTCGAGTTTGGCTGGTGCACAGTCTCTACTGCTTCGTGCGAATCTGCGCACACTGTGCCTTGCAGAGTGCGTATGGACATCCTCTTTTGCGCAGTTGCCACATCCTTCCGTCTTCACCGCTTCAAGCAATTACCATATGCGATATGTATTTTTGCACATTTACTCTCCAGGAAGGACACGCTGCTTCTACCCACCTAACCCCTTCCTCGCTAGATCCAGAAGCCTGTAGTGACCATTGCCCGTTCACATCCAAGATTCAACGGCAATGTCTCATACACACTGGGCTGCAGCCTAAGATTGGGCTCTAGACCGAACGAGTGTAACTTGCGAGAACCGCTGTTGGGCTTGTTCCATACACCCGTCACTTCGCTCTTTCTTATAAACCAGTACCTATTTTCAACAGACTTACCAATTTCCAACTTTATTTCAGGGAGCGCTAGTATACGTTCGACCCGCCTGCTCAGAGATCCTCTTCCGTCTCCCTCACTCTCGGTCTCTAGCCTCCAGGAAGCATCTCCCATTATCACGGACATAATTTCTGTGTTTATCACCAAAAACCTCGCACCAGATCCCCTGACCCTCTCCCAATTCCCTCCACCCTTTTGCCAGCGTGACCAACAGGAAGGACTACAATTCGTAGAATACAATACATTACAATCACGTGCATTATAGAGTTATAGTGGGTCTCTAAGTTGTATTAAATTGTACTTAAGCCTAAAAAGTATATTGTATTATAACTTGTATAGACTTTTTTAGTAGTAAAGTTTAAGGTGAGGCCTAAGGTAAGGTTGTTGTTGTACAGAGTACGTAAGGGCTATAGGCAGTGCAACTAGCAGAGTTTTCTGTATTGCCTCTTAGTATAATTGTATAAAAAAACAGTAAGGAATTACCTATTTTTGCATTGTCTATCTTATAACCTGTTTAATGTATACAGATCTACTTGTTTAGTAGCTCTAGATTAGTTGTTTACAGTACCCTACTGTTTTTAAGATAGCCCTTAATTTCCTCTCTATACTAGCTGCTAGTTGCAACTGCAAGAGAGCTTTTTTTAGAGGCAGAAGGACTGTTACTTTTAAAAAGAATCTTTTTAGTAGAGCAACAATTTAAGCGCTACAGCTGTAAAAGAATTAGCTTTATTATAAGCTAGTTGCTAGTAAGCTTAGTAAGTTAGTTAATTACATAAAATCTGCCCTATTTAATTGTACTATAAACTAATTCTTAGTAATTATAGTGTAAGTACAGTAAATTAGTTTGTACTAACTATAACTTGTAGTCCCCTCTGCTCCTCTAGTAATTGTATAATTGTACTAACAAACTGAGTTGTAGGGCGGTTGAAAACTCCCAGTTAAATTGTATTACTTCCGATTGGTTACGCTGCCTCTTGCTATCCCCCTTCGAGATGTTCCAAACTTCAGCATCTGCTTCGCCCACTACGCCACACGTGCAATCCCCATCACACCACTCAGCGCTACCTACAGCATGATATCACATAACATAGACCACGACCAGGGTGGATTTTTCTATCAAACCTCTTTGCTAGAAAGAGGGAGAAGTCAACAAGGCGCAGTTTCTGTTCGAACTTACCCGTGTCGTGTTCCACGTTCGGTGGTTAAATACAGCAGGTCGTTAGTTCTGAAGTACTTGTACAAGACCACTTGATTGTGTTCGCTATACAGTTGTTTTGTGTGGCTTCATCGGTCTTGATATGTATGATGTACGGTGATGATGGCTATAAGTAGAGTCGGGTCAATGCCTAACACCGTAGCTATTTCGTTATCAAGACAACTTGTGACTGTGCAACTTGCAGTGGTGCAATAGCGGTCTAGATGAGCTGTACGTTTCCCCTATCTTCCTCATTACCATACCACAGATGCATATAGTGTGACAGAACAATGAGGGGTGATGATATCATTCTATGCCCTGATGACTTGAGTTTGTGATGTAAATGTAGGTATGGGTTCGAAAGCTTAGAGAACTAACGTCTTAGGCATTGGACATGGCAGCAACGAAGGTAGGCTCGTCGCGCGGTAGTTTTTTTAATTTAGAAAATGTGGTGTTTGGGTTGGGGCCATGTATGTGTATATATGTTACAGAAAAAATACAACATAACATATTCTACAGGTCATTCCATGTAGGATTTGTGGGATACAAAGGCGCTGGGGGTTCTGGTAACCTCACTATTCATTCCTCTTTTCCTCCCAGCCCTTCAAATTCTCAAAAAATGCCTTGGTCGCCCTGTCTAAATCTACGCTATCTGCCTCTGTCTCTGCCTCCCCGAACGCTTCACCCTGCGCATCCAGCTCCCTTATCCCACTCTTCCCCAGCCCAAAGCTCTTCGGGTTAATTACGTCAGAAGATGATGTGGTTTCCCGCATCGGCGGCACATCAACCAACAATCCCCGCTTAACCTGCACTGACTCCCCCACCCTCCTTTGAATCCTGATGTTCACCCTACCGTCGGAACCCACGGCCGCGAATTCCGGCTCAACTTCCAGTTTATAACCACCAGGCGTTACGATGTCTAGGAACTGAACGTCGGAATTATTACGGTTGTATGATTTTCCTGGATTGCCGCCATCGCGGTATTCATCGTTCGTCACGAAACCAGCGACACCGAGACGTGCTTGGGATTCCTTCATGACGCCAGTTTGCCGCGGTTGGATGACGCGCGCTTGGATGGGGGGTGGATACCGTTGGGGACCAAGGATCGGGTGGTTTGCCATGTAGGCTTTGGTTCGCAGGTAGCCGAGACCCGCAGACGGGTGTGTGGAGATAGGGGTAGTGTTGTCTGTGAATTTCTCCCCGCGGAGGGTTTTAAGAACATCGGGGGAGAAGGTCGTAGATTTTACACGCATGGGGGGAAGCCGGAGGAAGGGGATGATGAGTTTTTGGAAGAGGTCGGAGTTGAGGGGATTGGATGCGCATTGGCGTCGCAGATTGCGGATTTCGGTGGAGATGTCAGAGGGGGTAAAGGTACTCCATTCTTTTTCTTTTTCAGTGTATTGTGTTTCGGCTTCTGTAGGGTCGAGGGCGTGGGTGGAGGAGTTGAGGAATGCAGCGGTGCGTTGCGTGTAGAGTTTATCTTTTACCCATTGGATGAGATAGCGGGTGAATTCTGCCTGGCGGGAAGAAAGATCTTTGGAGAGATAGGTTTTGAATTCCATGTCGCTCATACCTGGTATCCAGGGTCCGCCATGTTTCCAGCGGATGCTGGTTGGTGGAGGGGGGCTTTTGTGGGAACGGGCTGTGGGTGTGAATTCATTCTCGCTTGCATTATTATCTGCATTTTGCTTCAACTGTTCGAAGAACATCCCGGCTTCATCTAATGCATCTATACCGTCGTAATTTGTGACATCTACGGCTTCTTCGAACGCGCTCTTCCTGATACCGGATGTGTCCGTGTTCCCTGTTTCGCCTCGTACGATGGGTGTGCCCATCTCGATAAATTTTTCTCTTGTCCGCACATGGTCGCTCGCTGATTCAAAGTCGGTCACATGCTCAATTGTATCCAATTGCTTTATCCTCACGACTGGCTTGCTCGACTGTACGAGATGTGATCGCGATGGTAGAGGCCTTTTTAAACCCCAATCACCTCGTGCAAGGGAGCTTGGAGTTGTAGCAATGGCCTGGTGTGTAGGATAAGGGAGGGTTGCGGTATCGGAAGACTTGGTGGTGCCAGAGCCGAAGACTTGAGAGGCGACGACAGGACGTGGGAGGGGGTCCGGCAGCGAGAAGAGGCGAGAGTTGCGGAGGAGGTTCGCTGTGGGAGAGAGATTCTGTCGGCGGAGGGCCATGTTGATGCGACAGCCGTGGGGATGTCAATGCCGGCTGAAGTGGATGTGTTGATGTGGGTGTGGGAGGTGTGGGATAAGAATCTTTGAAGCTTCTCGGTCGGAATAACTTAGAGCCGAGCATGCGTCCGTACTTTCCATCACGTGAATGCACAAATCATTGTCACCTTGGTGTAGGCGTGATTCTTAAAGAACCTAATTATTGGAAAGGGTAACACTATTACTGTATTCGCTTCATCTCTCTATACTGCCGCGGTCTCGTGACCGTGCCTTTGGGGCAACACTCTTTGCCAATTCGAGCCTTCCAAACTAATTAGATGCGTAGGTGGATCTATATTACTCCCCTGGCCTTCTCGTCAAATCAGTGAGCCTGAATTTGTCTTAATGTGGTTCAAATCAAGCTTGTACCTGGCTTCGAAACCCCTGGGGGTTGGGGTTGGGGTGCTTAATGATCCGATGTTTTTGTGGAACGGTTTCCTGGCGACAGTGTTCCGAAACCCAGCGTTTCACGCACATGATAAAATGATACAAAGTGGAGAAGGTCGCTTTCAACCAGGTAAATGCTTGTCCCAGTCTTGGCCATCCTCATCGTCGCTCTCATTTGACTTGTTTGCTCTCGGCACATGTCCTTCGATGGCCATGTGTGACTGCCCTGAAGACTGCGGAGGCTCCGGCGGCGCAGGAGGCGTGCTCTGCACCCTCTCTTTAATGTCCGTCTGGAGAAGCTCCCTGTTCGCCTTGCTTAGTCGCCCGGGCTTCTCGCCGCGCTCGAGGGCTAGGTCTGCCAATGCGTCGTCCCTAGCAGCCCAGGCTCCGGCAATATCCTCCTCTTCCTCTTCCACCACGGGTTTCGACGCAGGTGCTTGTTTAAGCCTCAAGGGAAGCGCCTTGTGGTGCTCCGCGGCGTTCTCGACCAAAAGCTCAATCTTGTCGCCGACACCGCCCCTTCGCATCCATGCCGGCTCCTCGCTGAGCTGCACTTTGACATACAAGGCCCTCCGCGCACAGTCTTCCGAACACCATACCTCAAGGGTCTTCTTATCCACAATCTCCACACCCTTGTCCGTCTCAATGAACTGCTTCCGAGCAGAGGAAGGCGCCTTCTTCTTCGGGCGAGGACATAACGCGTAACCGCATTTGTCGGCAATGTTCCGCTCTTCGATGAGCGAATCGTAGTCCGAGGTCTGGAATGAGATTATGAGGTCCTGGAAACGGAGTGCATCGGATGGCGCAGGGCGAGTTGGGTCTGCATCAGGTGACGTTGGAAAGTCAAGGAGGGTGATTATCGACTGCAGAACCTCCTTCTCGACGACCTTCTGCTGCTCAATGAGGTTTGCATGGTGCAAGGCCGTGTCTCGGTGGCGCTGCGTGAATGGCGAGGAGGCAGAGGGCTCGTTTGTTGATACGGTAGATTTCTTGAGGATGGATTTGGGTGCCATGCTAGAGGGGCGAGCCCAAAGCGGGGTGTTGATGGTGAGGTGAAGCTGGGAGAGCAGCTCCCTGCACCTGTTGCTCTGGAGAGGTGGAAGGAAGGCGGCGGGCTTGGCGCGGGGCGTGGCTGCGCATCGGGCCCACGCTTGCTGGCTCTGCATGACGAAGACAAGACACGACACAGTGGCCCCTCCAAAAACCCCCCAGGCAATCTCCCATTAACACTCCACTCTCCCTATATCACCACCAACGGTGAACGGTAAGGCCATGTTTTGCACCCCGCTGCCCCGCAACGCCGCAGACGCTGACGACGCCACCAGATCGCAGCCCTACGTAATTCCCATCGCCTTCCGCTCCGCTCCACCACGCCTGAAACATTGTCCGAATCCTGCTCCAGCTCCGTCTCGTCGCCGGAAATAGCTGCCTGCGTGTTGCTCCAGCTCTCCCGCCGTCCTGGCTTCCTCCCTCCGCCCCCCGCACATCCTCCACGATGCCGAGTTTTAAGGTCAAGGCGGTGTACGACTACTCGTCGCCGCACGAGGATGACTTGAGCTTCCCCGCGGGCCAGATCATAACCGTCACGGAGGAGGAAGATGCGGACTGGTACGTGGGCGAGTACGTCGATGACAGCGGAAACAAGAAGGATGGTCTGTTCCCCAAAAACTTCGTCGAGAAGTACGAGCCGGCGCCTCCCCCCCGCCCCAACAGAGCTTCTCGTCACAAGCCATTGGAGACGGCTCCCGCGTTTGTGGCACCCCCAACGCCTGAGATTCAACAGCAAGAGGCTACTCCGGTTGAGCCTGAGGAGCTAGACACCCCCAAGCCGCAAACCACGCCCGCAGAGAAAACCGCACCCGCAGAGATCCCCGCGCCCGCCAAAGCCCCGGTGTCCCCCACGTCTTCCCTCTCTGCAGCGAGTGCGAGAGCACAAGAACCTCTGCAGAAACAGCCCGCTGCCCCCAAGCCTGCTCCGCCCCCCCTAGCAGAGAAAAAAGCCCCTCCGCCCGTGGCCACCAAGTCAAGCTCCTTCCGCGACCGCATTGCTGCTTTCAACGCGCCTGCAGCAGCTCCAATAACGCCCTTCAAACCAGGTGGCGGGCCACCAAGCACTTTCATCAAGAAACCCTTCGTCGCGCCTCCGCCAAGCCGCAATGCATACGTGCCTCCTCCTCGTGAGGCTCCCCAAACGAAAGTGTATCGCCGAGACGAAGATCCTGAAATCGCTGAACGCCAAGCCCAGGATCAGCAGAATGCGGAGAAGGCTGGCCTCGTTGCACATGACACCGGTGCATCCAATGAAGCAGATGAAGAAGACCAGCCAAAGCCCATGACTTTGAAAGAGCGCATTGCCTTCCTGCAAAAACAGCAGCAGGAGCAGGCCCAACGTGCTGCGGCGATTCAGAAAGAGAAGCCAAAGAAACCCCCAATGAAGAAGCGAGCCGAGTCGCATGAAAACAGAGCGCACCATGAGGAGGAGGGCGCAGCATTGGAGAAGGTGACGAGCATTGAGTCAAAAGAACGCGCATCCGTGGAGGGTGGCCGTCCGCGAAGAACTTCTCATAGCATGAGGTCGCCTGAAGTATTGCCGCCCAATCGGGAGCTTCTGAGTGATGCCAATGACGCGGACCAATCAGGTGCCGGGGACACGGAAGATGCCGAAGGCGAGTCGACAAGTGTTGAGGAAAATGACGAAGCGACCAAGCACCGAGCACTGCCAGAGCGTGCAGCTACAGCGCCATCGAAAGAGGCAGATGTTGGCGATGAAGAAGGTGCCGAAGAGGAGGAAGAGGAAGAAGAAGAAGAAGAAGAAGACGAGATGGATGCCGAGGCACGACGGCGATTAGAGCTGAGGGAGCGCATGGCAAAGATGAGCGGTGGCATGGGCATGGCGGGCATGTTCGGAGCTCCTGGGGGCATGCCAATGGGTGGTTTACCTCCAAAGAAGAAGAGGCCCGAAAGGAAGGCCACCGGCGACAGCGAAGAATATGCAATGCCGCAGCAGCGTGTACCCATGATACCGGTCCCCGGTATGCCAGCTGTCAAGAGTCCAGAATCGGAACATGCCCCTCTGGCAGTTGGGAGGGAAGACGATGCACCTCATCCAATCCAGAGTACACATGACGCAGACGATCTTTCCGATGTTGAGGACGTTACACCCCAACAGACGATTCAGCGGACACCAACTGGAGACCGACCTCCGCCTGTTCCTACAGAGAGTAAGTTTCTCATTCCTCGTAAACCTGTTGATGGCATCATTCGTGAATCTCTGGAATGTTTTCAGTTGTCATCCTCTGAGACCGTATCAAAGACCTATGTCACTTTTGACGGAACGTCGGAGTACGTGATGACTGTGAGCGTCTCCAGTAGGTTTAGATTATTGTGACGAATATTACATACCTCTCAATTTAAAACGGTGCGCTAACTCGGTGTAGGACGGCCTGTGCCTCCACCGCTGCCGACCTCTGATCGGCCAGTACCTCCTCCTATCCCGTCAGCTTGTGAGTATGAAATCCCTTTTCTAGCGAGCAATACTGACGATAATGTAGCTCGGCCGGCTCCTCTCTCGCAACTTCGTTCCCCAAGTCCAGGTTCAGAATCTGGCGACGAAATGACAGAGCCACCGGCGCCGCATTCTGCAACTTCTCCCAAGACACCATCCGCTCATCCACCTTCCAAGCGTAGCTCCTATCTCGCATCGGACGAAATGTCACAGGATTCTGACAAGAGAATGCCCCCGATCCCGTTAGCCAGTCCAACGCTATCCCCAACATCCCAGACGCGGCCGCCTCCTCCTCCTCCGCCAATTCAAGCTCCTCCATCACGGCAGGCCACCTTTGACAGCATATCTAGGAAAGTTGATCGCAGTGAGGGTGAGACGGAATATGAGGGTGATTATGACACCGATATTGCACCTGGCGCAACCCACAAAGATGCTCTGAAGGCTCACGCGAGGGAGTCTAGTCTAGATGAAAGCACGACCGCTGATGAGACTCCAGTGCGCTCTCCAACGGTACCCTCTGGAATGCCCCCTTTGCCCCCATCGATACATCGTGCCGTACCGCCCCCTCCACCACAGCAACCACCGAGCAGGGTGTCAGTGGATGCTCCGCGAGGTGTCCCACCTCCCCCGCCCATTCCTCCACCTTCTAGAGGGATGGACGAGGATGATGATGATTACGATCCATATAAGTATGTCGCTTCACCTGGAAGAGGAGCACCACCTGCACCAAAGCCCATGCCTCCCACCCCACAGGCTCAGCCTCCACTGCCTCAAAGTCGACCTCCACCTCCTGCTCTGCCTCCAATGCCTCCATCGATGCCTCCAATGCCCCAACAACAAGCTGCTGATTCATCTGACGACGATGACCTTTACTCAGCACCAGCACCTCGGAAGTCTCACGACCGACCACCCCCACCCCCTCCTCAAGCTCCCCCTCACCAGCACCGGCCCCCTCCACCACAAGAGCGTTCTGCCCCTCCGCCCCCTCCACCAGAGCCATCCCAGCAAACTCGAGCGACTGTAGGACGGAAGTCTCTCGACGTCAACCGCGTCACCCAGCAAGCACGTGTCTCTGTGGACCAGCCTCGACCATCTCAAAGCCAAGAATTCATCGCCACCGACATCGACCTTGGCCAATCTTCTCACTGGTGGACTCAACCCAACATGGCTCCGCCATCTCTACAAGGCCGCAAAGATATCCTGATCGAAATGGATGAATCCCGTTCTGGCAACACCATCGAAAAGGCTGTCTTCGTCCTCTATATGGACTACTCTCAAACCGTCATCACCGCGCGCTTCGAAGCCAACAACGTCTCCTCCGTCCACCTCGAACAACGCCAAGACCCACCACCCGGCCGTCTCCGACAAGACCAACTCGAAAACGCGCACGAAAACTACGGCCTCCGCATCGCGAAGGATATCGAATCAAAACAAGGCACCGTCGTCGGCGATGGCACCCCATATGCGCTCATCCACGAACTCTTGTGTCCCTACCCCGATGCCCTCCGTCCCATCTCCACGCGCGCCTTCGGCGCACTTGTCTACGCGAACCTTGCGAATGCGTCGACTCAGCAGTATGATGAGATTCGACCGGGAGATATTATTTCTTTCAGGAATGCGAGGTTTCAGGGAAAGCATGGCGCGATGCATGCGAAGTATAGTACGGATGTGGGAAAGCCGGATCATGTGGGTGTGGTGGTGGAGTGGGATGGGACAAAAAAGAAGGTTAGGGTTTGGGATCAGGGGAGGGAGAGTAGGAAGGTCAAGGTGGAGAGTTGGAGGATGGGGGATTTGAGGAGTGGTGAAGTGAGAGTTTGGAGGGTTATGGGGAGAGGGTGGGTAGGCTGGAGTTAGGCTTTTGATCGTGGTGCTGGTAAATGGCTGTGGATAGTGATGATGCGAAAGGGGTGGCTGGCTGTATGCATGTCTTGTTCGGTTAAGGATGTATGGTTGGTGAATTGTTATTGATCCTGGAGCTTGGGGCTTGGAGCGGAGTGAGAATTGAAGGTTGTTGGGTGTAGCCATGTATCTGCTCTGCAGTGCAGTGCGCTGTAGTGCAATGTAGTGTAGTGCGAGACGAGACGAGACGAGACTTGAACGGGACGCGTTTGAACATGTTTCTGTAGGCGTCTTCTGGCGTTGCTAATGTAGCATTTCTGCTCTGCATCACACTCGCTTCCTTCCTTTACCGGTACTACCGTATTACATCTCTCCTCTCCTATGCCGATGCGCTCAGCATCATTGTGTGTTATGCTCCTAATTTTTGATCCTAATACTGTCGTTCTTCTCTCTTTGGATACTTGTCTACCGCAGATTAGCGTGCTGGCGAAGCAGTCGTTCAAATTCCTTCGTTGGAGTGCTCGTCCACACTATCGTTCGCTCGCCACACGTACCACCATCTCAAAATGGATATCGTTGTATTTTTGTTACCCAATCACCTGTAAAAGTATATACCAAGACCTGGGAGTTATTTTGTCTCGATTGTTAAGTGCTTCTTTGAGCCCTCATTCGGCCGTAGACTTTCCACGTCCCATTTTCCATTTATAATCAATGTGGATGGATGTAATCGATGAGCGATATTGGTAGCCCCTGGTGGATGAAACCGGGACACGATGGGGTGAGATGCATTTAGAGGGTTACTTAACGCTATATAAAGCATCCTGCTATCTCTTTCCCTTTCCCTCCGCTTCAAGGCAGAGAGTCATGCTCCACTGAAGACCTTCCTCGCTCCCACTCCCCTCCCTCCACCTCCTCCGCCATTATCCTCCCTGCTATTCCCTTCCTGCCTCCCTACTCTTTCCCTTTTTCTTGTTCTCGAAAGTCTAACCCAACGATGGTGGATAGCACGATACATCTATTTCATGGAAGTCGAGAGATGATATTTTACAGTGAGGAGGTTTGGGAGGTTGGTAGCGTGAGACTGAGGCTTCAATACTTATGGGTTTGATGGAGTGGGTTGATGAATTGAGAATGGAAAGAGAAATATGCGGGGATGGCGTGATGAGGCAGGTCAAAGGGGAGGTGAGGAGATTGAGGGAAAGGGTTTGGGGGCGGGACCGCGATTAGAGGGGGAAACAGGTTTGACATCGTGAGTTAGAAAGGAATCGTTTCTGTAAGTAATTGCAAGGTGCAGGGTTTTAAAAGTGCATTTGCCATATCTAATATGTCAACGCCATCTGTGGTTAAAAATCAGCATATTATATGCTCCGAAGCTATTGCCGGTTGTGGGCAGGATGAAGTAATCCAGCTCACTAACTCAGGTCAGAAGAAGGGCGGGCAGTTATATTGACCGACCAGACTATCTAGCGCTGTGGAAATTTTGGTGAACAGCTCGGTCGCTTTGCTGAAAATATCTCTTCCACCTCAACCTCAGTTAATAAACATTATTTTCCAAAGAACATAAGGTTGGGGTCTCTAGCCTAGTAGCACTGCAGCCCGATCTCAAAGTCTCGCCTGAATTAGGCTTCACACTTTCGTCGATTTCCACGTCTGTGAAATATACCACAAAAATCTGCCCTGTGTCACAAACACTCATCGCACACAGCAAAATCCAGCTTCTTCTGTGCCATTTAGCAGACCCATACTCAGCCAAGACCCTCCTCACCAACTGCGACCTCACGTCTTCTACCCACGCCAACACAAGCATTATTCCCCCAGGACACACGGCCCACCCATATCCTATCTCTGTTCCCCTTTCCCCCCTTCCTCGAATGCACAGAAAAATCCCAACAACTAAATGTATCATATCCTTCATCTGTCACATCGCTATTTGAGCCTACGGGCACTTGCAAACTTGTAGAGCTACCATGGGTATCGTGGTTCTTGTCAATGAATCGAGGTTGATGGAAGATAGGAATAGGGTCGGAGTAATCCTGGAGGCAGCAATAGTGGTGGCTGTTTCGGGCGTAGTGGGAGCTATTCGGGGGGATTGATGTGATGGATTGATGTTATTGGTTTCTAGAAAGGATGGTGTGATAGGAAGGCTCTAGTGAGTGAGAGGATGTAAGGCTGTTGAGAGACTGTATCGCTCTGAGTGTATTTTGTGTGGGGGTTTGGGATTTGTTACTGGGTGTTGGGGACTGGCGTAAATAGTGGATACACCTGGGATAACTTCAGTTGTTATGTGTCTTTGATGAGATTTTAGGAGCAGGACCTCACATTCGGAATAAAACAAAATTTTGTTTGTTTCCTGCTTCTGGAGTCTCAAAAAGTCAGCATCATGGGTGTCATTAATATGAATCATCCTCTACCCGCTTTCATTGCTAGGGTGGGTGAGTGGGTTGCTCAAGTTAGTAGAGGGGTTCTCTTATAGAATGATAGAGGCATTAAGAACTGTGGTTTCTTTGGCTACTTGACAGCTGGGTGAGAGACTATTATTATACAACTATCTTATTCTGTGAAGCTTTTGGGAGCACTAAGGCCATGAGGAACTGAGCTGGTTGCCATGGAGGGAGCCTACGGATCTATGTATATGCAAGAAAGGGGATAAGTTTTAGGAACATGTCACTATCGTGCGCAGGACGCAGGTCGCCTGTTTACTATAGGCCTCCTAAACGAAGCAAACCACGCGCACAAGGCTTTTTTCTATAGTTAGGTAGGTGTAAGTTGATTAGTAACTATATGCTAGTGTAATAACTTTTCTATCTAAATATAATTTTAGTAAGTCTGTCGGCACAAATACCTACCTATACTCTATATTTTTTAACTTTCGTAGATTTCTTTAATCTGCTAGTATCTTCTTCGCTTCTTTTTACAACCTTTTTGCTTCTGTAGCTGTTGTAGTAGCTGTTGTAGTAGCTGTTTAAACTTACTACTTTTTGTCTGTGTAAGCTCTTTTTACCCGTGCAGTACCTTTAGCAGAATCTTATTATACTAATGTAATGTTACAATCCTTGCTTCGTGGAAGCACTCGGGTCTCATGGTATTCCTAGGGGAGGAGTAGGACGGATGGTAGGGGCCAACCGGTAGGGTGTACAGTCCTACGTATAGGCTATTGGGCTAATAGAGAGTTTCTTAGGGTGACCAGATTGTAGTTTGCCCTATGTGCGGCAGTAGGGAGGCTAGGGTTAAACAGTCCTGTTAGACAGGGTTAGAGGTATATATAGTGTAAGATATACAGATAGTATTACAGCTTTTTAGAAAGCTAAATGCTACTTAGTCTATATAAAGAATAAACTAAACATTAAACACACCTTCTAAAGGTTGTTTAATGTAGGAACTATATACATGTGCTAGGGCGCTAAGGGGAGTTTAGGCAAGTTTAGATAAGTTCCTTAAGTTAGCCCTACTACTAACTTGTCTAGCTTACTAGAGCTTACTAAGCTCCCTTAGGCCTTGCGTTCTATTCCTTATTAGACAACACATTCTTCTATTACTGCAGGCAGCTGCGCCGCCTCTGTGACCTCTAATTAGTCTATAAGCAAGCCCTGTCCTAATCTGGCTAGATTGTGGAGCACTGCTAGTAGAGTTATGTTAGTCTAACTATAGACTATAACACGCTGCCCCTCCTCCCTAGCAGCGTCCTTACTGCTCTGCTTACACAACTGTGTTAGTAAAAGTTTATTTATAAAGTAGGTGTCTACCTACTAGAAAGCATCCTTAACATCTATTTTTCTTATACTAAATAGCTTGTTAGTCTTATTTATTCTATTATCTCTATGTTGCTTTTTATTTTAACTCTTTTTACTAGATAAAGATAAGGCCCTACAGCGCTTACTAGTTTTTAGGGTTGTTATATGTGTTAACACTGTCCTTAGACAAGTACATTAAGTGTGTAAAGAAAAATAACAGGTGCAACACTTTTATATCTAATGCTGCATAAGAATGCTTAGAGAGAGAGAGAGAGAAACTTCTTTATTCTGCTAAGGCTTTTTAGGCTAGAGACTAAGCACTACTAGATAAACAGCTAGTTTAGGATTACAAGCAGCTCTATTTATAAGAAGAGATGTTACAACAGAGTTAGGAAACTTTAAAGGCAAGGGATAAGAAGCGTTTTAAATAGGATTATATCTAAAAATTATTAGATTTATTAGAGGCTTAGTGTGTAAAGTACTTAAAGGGGGACTTTTTCTCCTTAGACAAGATAGAAGCTCTTAAGGCTAAAGTAAAGAGCTGTCCTTCTTCTTAACCTTTATTAGCTAGGACTTGTCTCTAAAGGCTGCTACTATCTAGTAATAATATAGCTATTTTTTTTAATATAAGTGCCTTATTGCCTAGCTAGTTTCTTTTAGATAATCCTAAAGGTACCCTTGTACTAATAGCTGCGCGTTTCTTAAATTCTTAGCTAGTTTTTATATGTTCTTACTAGTAAGCTACTTTTTCTATTTTACTAGAAATTCCTTCTAGTTTTTTTAATTACTTATAATGTGTTTAACTTTATATTCTGTTTCTTTATCTTCTTATTCTTACATAGATAAGGGAATCTTTTTAGGTGCCTTTTTTAATCTAGAGATATAGAACTACAGGTAGATTTTTATGTGTAAGGGAAGCTTAAGCTTGCAGTTGTCTTATTAAGTTTATAAAACTTTATAAGGTCTTATTTTTTTTTCTACTAGCTTCTTAGAAGGTCTAGGTGTTTTAAAGTTTTTTATATTAAGATACACATAATCCCCTAGGTAGATTTCTAGTCCTAGTTATTATAATTTATTTACATATTTCTCTATTATTTTTCTGCTAGACCTAGCTTTAATAGCTAACTTTTTATATATCTGCTATAAGTCTGTTAGCTAGTCTACTAACTTCTATAGGTCTATAAGTTAGTTCCTATGTAACACAAAATAAAGGTTATACCTAAAATTAGCTTTATATAGAGTTTTCTTAGTTATAGCTAATTCTATGTTATTAATAGCTAACTATGCTATTTGTCTGAATAGTGATATTCAGGCGCCTGGTTGATAGTCACGTGGCTCGGATGCGCCCGGATCCCTGTGCACAGAGATCTGTGCGCAGAGTTTAGGACTATATTAACCCCTTTCCTTTGTACAATAGAAAACAACAAGAAGCAATTAACACTAGTTACCTAACACCCCTGTGCAATGTTTACACTGTGCAAACCTCTCTGTCTTGTACGCATTTACTAACACTAAGTGCTAGCTAGCAGAGAGTCTATTTAACACTAATTAGTAGTTTAAATACTGTAAGAGAGGAAGCTCTTCTTGTACCTTTCTATTTAAAAGTTTGTGTATAAGAAAAATCCTTTTTTTTTACTACTTTAACTGTAAATTAGCAAGAGTAAAGACAGAGTC